GAAGGCAATGTGTGGTGGTCGTCGGCGGGGGGGGGGGGGGGGGTACAGGGGTACAGTGGTAGAGGACAATCTTGAGGTCATGAATCCAGTGAAATTAGTCGCACACCTTTTTACAGTAATAAGTTACAGCAGATCAAAAGTGACATGTTTTGACCATTTTTAGGCTATTTTGGACCAAAATGGCTGCTTTAAATCAATATTTCTACAGTAAAAGTTTCTGGTCTTTGGTACAGTGGTAGAGGACAATCATGAGGTCGTGAATCCAGTGAAATTAGTCGCACACCTTTTTACAGTAAAAAGTTACAGTAGATCAAAAGTGACATGTTTTGACTATTTTGGAGGTATTTTGGACCAAAATGGCTACTTTACCTCAATATTTCTCAATATTTCTACAGTAAAAGTTTCTGGTCTTTGGTACAGTGGCAGAGGGCAATAATAAGGTCATGAGTCAAGTGAAATTAGTCGCACACCTTATTCCAGTAAATAGTTACAATACTTGAAAATTGCACTAGCGGACCAAATTGTGTACTTTATACATGTAAACAATAGAGTGGCTATCCTCCTGAGGACTCACAATCTGCCGGAGGAATCGTAGGGGGCTGGTGCTATGTGTGCCGGGTGGCATCTCTATAAGGTTTTAATCACAAAAAACGTGTCTCCCAGACCCCAGCGCGCTTTCTGTTCGATAAAAATGGGTGACTCCGAAAGGACGTTCCGCTGTTACCGTAAGTTCTCAACAAAACGCGCACCGTCTTTTCCCCGATGCGGGCCGCATGTTCATAGAGCTGAAAGATGCGGGCCACTTTACCGCGGTAAATTAATAGACACAGCTGCTTACAGCGATGATCGCTGATGGAGACGGAGACACGCGGTGTGCACGAAGGGGAGGGGCTGTGTGTGTGTAGGTCTCTGTATGTGGGAGAGACGCGTAGCTTGAGTGAGAGTTACGAAGGGCCGCCACATTTTAAACCCCCCTCCCCGCTGTCAAATTGACCGCTGCGGCGGCACTAGACGATGCATGTTTTAAATAGCGTAACAAAAAAAAATATATATATAATAATACGAAACGCAATTTGTGGCGGGCGGTCTCTAATCTGTGGCGGTGCGCCACAGATTAGTCTATGTGTGGGAAACACTGCAACTGAAACAAAGCCTTAATCCAGTTCATTAACTTTGACTGCGAGTTCTTATCCAGGAAGGACCACATTTTAAAAAACGCCAATTAGGAAACTGTGAGAGTGGAGAAAGTGCGTAGGTGTGATGTTTCGGTCACATCTGCAGCCTTCACCGCAGAAGAGAAGCAAGTGTTTATGTTGAGCGTCGACAACATGTGCTACTTATGACATCACTGTATCTATTTCAAACACCAGCGATCTTTATTTATACAGGCAAACATTTTCTATAAACAGCAGCCCACTCACTGCATGGCAATGAGGCTGGCTCTCATGGATGTATTATATCATGTGGATGAGGTATTTCTGCTTAAACCTGTCTCCACATGGACAAGAGGCCACCGGCGGTACTGCAGCCTAAATTCACACAGGCTGGACAGGAGATTTTCCCCATAGACCTCAATGTTAACTAAAACGGCTCGTTCCCAGCTGACAGGGAACCTACAGCTTTCACAAAGGTCGGTTTATGTTGGGATTTTAATGTCTCTTGTCATCCTACGTTTTTGTGTGTGTGTGTGTGTGTGTATAAAATCTATCGGTTTTCTATAAATCCACTAACTGTGCTCTGATTGGTCAGAACGCTCACATGTTACTCTGGTCCTGTGGAAGTAGAACCATTGCACACCCACTGCACAAGACCGGGAGAACCAGAGCTGGCAAAAACGCGTCACTTCCGCTAATCATTGTGACGTCCATGGTGCGAGTGTGCACCAGTGAGCACAGGTCATTGATCTGAATGGGCAGACATCTTTTAGACCTGGGGCTTGGTGGCATTATGAAAGGCCAGCATGCATCAATGCTCAGAGATTCATTAACCTGCTTGATTATTTTTATTATGGAAGCAGATTTACAATATGACTGTAGAGCAGAGGTGGGCAAATATTTTCTTTTGGAACACATTAGGATATCACCCTGTTGTGGAGGGCCGGCCCCGATTTCACGTGGATAATTTTGTGTTTAATCTTCAACACACATAAAGATAACCATTGTTTTCTTTGTGAATATGTTGTTCAGAGAATATTATTACCACATCTTGGGTTCATTAATGAGAACAGAATAAATGTGTGACAGGCCATGGTAGCACACATGTTACAAGTTACAAGCCTTCATTATTAGTTCCAGGAATTATTCAAAGATATAAACTGTCCATGGGAATCAATGGGAATTTCAACAAACAATTCCCAGTTCTGGAAATGTACCAGCAATATAATACTTATGTTATCTTTTCTATTCAATTCAATTCTACAGTATTACAGACAATATTTTGTAAGAAGTTATCTTTAATAGTAATGCACATTGCACATTTCACAAGCCAAGGTCACCCAAACTGCTTTAATGATTTTGTACACATTGTCCAAGTTTGTTTTCCTATATTTTCAAACAAGTCAGCCATAATGAGTTTATACAGTGTCAGACATATGAATATTGAGCTGGGAAGAGTCCAGTGGCCGTATATACATGTGAATCAGGCTGTTTTTCCCATGGGTCTGCTATAGGCTATACATGCAAGACTCTCCTATGTGAGGTTTAGGTTTATATGTTTGCAAGCTAGACCCCTGCAAGCATCTTATGTAAGGTTGCCAAAGTCATGAGAGGGTACGCAATAAGCCGCTGTCAAATTTAACCAGTCCCATGAGAGTGGCTGTGATCGTAGTTAGCTTTGTTTCCTTCGTTCACCATGGGACAGGAAGGCTTTCTTTTATATTTGTGTTATATGTTTGAAGAAAACGCATATGTTATGTTAGGACATGTGACGTGAAATAACCACGTGATAATGAAGGAAACTAATTCTGCCAACCATCAATTTCCAGTCAGCTACACACAATAAATGTCATATATATATGGCATACATACTCATAATAATACCATTAACTAACCATTTTTTATATTAAGAAAAGTCAGGCAGTATCCAATGTTGTATCAGTGAGCAAATGATTTAGGTATATATTAATATATAGTAATTAATATTCAAATAGTAATACATTAGGTATATCCAGGTATGTATTTATTATGTATGTGATTAAAGCTCTTCATTTAAGTCAAGCAGCAATTTTTATGTTATTTTTTTTCGTTCTATTTTTCATCATCATCCTCGTGTCTGAAGCGAATAACCTTCAGACACGAGCAGCTGCGGTCACTGCGATGCAAGTCTACAGTCTCCACACACACCTGTCACTTTCTAGCTACTTCAAAGCAATAAAGTAACACCTTAAAGCGTAAATCTAGCCTTGACAGCAAAAGGGGAAGAGCTGTCGTCAAACACAAGTGGAAAGCAAGTTTTGAACTCCCAGCACAGGTCAAATATGCAGGCCCAACGCAAATTATTATGATTTCTATTTCAATTGGAGGCATTCCAAAATGGCTGCTGTCTGCCTGGGTTAAAATACGGCTTATTATTAAACGCACGGTGCTGTTCTCAGAGAGGCTCACAAATATGCAGAAAAACAAGACTTTTTTTTCTCACCTATAGAGAGGAGGAGGAGGACAAGACACACTGGGTGGAAGATACGGACACACTGTCAAAGCCACAGACGAGGAAAAATGAAAAAGGGTATATATGCAGCTCAGTAAAAAGCGCAATCCTCTTTATGGAAGTGGTTCTCCTTCAGACCAATGGGCCCGCGAGCTCCTGAAATACATCCTGCATGGAGCCTGCCCCACGCCCTCCCCACCGGGCAGGGACAGGCAGACCCCCATCTGAGCACAGCACTGGGGATGGGTCGCTTCAGGCAAAACATGTTTTTATTCAACCAAGATTTTACAGAATTGAATCATGTATGCGTGTTTCGGAAAGTCCATTCTAAACCATACACATTGACAAACATGTAACAAAGATAGATGGTAAGTTGTTGGGATTGAAATGACTTAAAGTGATGTGGGTTTTTTCTCTAAATTAGGATAAGAAGAAGTGAAAAGGGTTCAAATATACCTTTTTAGTTACAATCGACAACTGTTTTAACTGGTTCCAATGATGAGGTGTTTTAACGCACTGTTGACTTGTTATGATCAAAGCTTTGTAATTAACAAAATAAACTCTGAGGAGACAAAAATGTACTGTTTTCAATATTTCTAGCTTATATCCCGGATCAACCAATCTCTTTTGACAATAATTGTGCGTCCTATAGCTGCTAAAACCTGGATGGAGTCAAAATAATAAGTCCATAAAGTTTGCCCTGACAGTAGCCCTAATCACATAAAAACAAGACCAGTGTATTTCCCTGCGTCTCCTTCTGTCGTCGCTCTGCTGTTCACATAAACATAAACCACAGCTGATGAAGAGCTGCATCCAAATTGCTGTGTCCTCTTCTACAAAAAAATAAAGACATTGGTTGCTTGCTATATAGTCTTTTGAGGGTATATAATTGCATTAGCTTTGTGTAAATTATTTCAATACTATCCTGTTTCATCCATACTTTCCACAGAAATATATACTACTTATACATATTTTACTGTGAAAGGACTAGTAAGTGTTTTCCAATGGCTCCACATGGCACCCTCACCACCAGATGGCAGTAATGTGAAGTTAAAGTAAGTATCTTCAATCAAAGATACTTACTTTATGAATGCCAAAGTGCACAATGGCATAAACTAGCACCACTCCTTCTTAAACTGGCATAACTGAGGAAAAAAATAGTTTAAAAAATAGCTGTTACTTGGAAACATTTATTTTTGCAAGTGGAATATGTACATAGGTGTAATGTTTCACTGGTTCATTTAGTAAATAGATCTACTGTAGCATCGGTCCAATCCTTAATCTACAAAAAAATGTGTCCAAACAGTGAGATATCCCGTCACTCAGACCTCGGCCGCGACCCGAGCATCCCCACTTTAGGAGGTCTCGAACATCTTCTTCCTGTCGGCTTTATCTTCAATGTTCTTACGCCAGTCGCCGACCGCTTCAGTGGGCTGCACAAAAGATACAGACATCAGGAACTAGTCAGGTCAAAATATGGATAATGATAATAATTACAGAGCCACAATGAAAACTGCCCCAGGTAAGTTTGAAAAAAAAGGTACATATAGGCCTCACTTGAATATAAGCCGCAGGTTTTCATGTTGTAATGTAACACTTGACCAAAATTGATGAAGCAAAACAAAATCGAAGGACTGATTTCTCTGATCACAACATAATTTGATGATGAGGTGATGATCAAAGCACTCTGTTAAATCCAGTCTATTTTGACATTAACGTTCACGCTAAAACCTGATTGAGTAAAAATAATAAGTCCATTAACTCTGCTGTGAATATAGTCCTAATCACATAAACAGTAAACAAGTCCTGTGTCTTTCCTCAACACAGCTCCGTGTCCTGCTCTGCTGTTCACATAAATGATTAAATGGCCCTAATCTGTCAAAAGGCATTAATAAAACAGGCTCTTTTCCAATACTTCTTTACCTAACAGTGGTTCAGCTGAGATATTTGTATTTCAAAATTAATTTTACAGCCCCTAAATATTGTTATTGTTTTTATTTTGATGTCCTGCCCTCCACCATTTCACCAATCATAAAGTCCTTGATCCGGGTTGCCAGAACTCACTGTGTTGAGCTAATCTCACTGGTAAAGCAACATGTGGCCGCAGAACTAAAAAAGATCTTGTTATGATTCTCAAATCATTAACGACAAAACAAGGAATAAAACGAGGATTTTTATTGAGGCCTTTGTGAAAAAGGTGTTTTTTATCAATTTGTTGTTGACAAAACTCTTGTCTATTCTGTTATTCTTATTGTGGTCCCAGCTGGATTCGTCTGCATATCTGGCAACCTGAGTCAGGGAGAGTGGGAAAGGTTGCAGTACCACTTTTGGACAGATTTTTTACGTACTGCTCCTTTAAGTACTTTAAGGTCCTGATTGGAAGCTTTTAGAATTCAAGACTTTTAAGATTCAAGACTATTCAGATAACTTGATTTCCATGTACATGATAGTGCATCGTGGGTCATTCTAACCACCACACAAACAACAGGAGTGTATCTGCTGTGTCACGTCCTCACCTCCTCTTTGACCTCCTTCTTGACCTGCTTCAGGTTGGACCTCAGATCCATGGTGACCTTGTGTTTGCCTCCGAGCAGAGCCTGGAGCATGGCGTCAGCAGACATACGCACTTTCTTCAGCGCAGGCTTCTTCACTCCAGCCAGCTCCACCACCTTCAGTTTCAGGTCCTCTATCTGCCACACACACACACACACACACACACACACACACACACACGCAGACACACCACACATAACGCAAGTCAATCTCAGGTCGGGTTGTAATTGTGAAAGCCTCTTCTCTTACCTCTTTGTCCGTCTTCTGGACTTTGGCCTCGACGTCGTACCTTGAGTCGTCAATTTTGTCAATTTGTGAAGCAATGCTTTTGCAAAGTTCCTGTCAAACGATACACACTTCGTTAAGGATTGGCAAAACATAGAATACAGTGGCTTCAAAAGTGTGAATACAGCTGTACAATATTTTTTCAAGTTGTTAACATCCACCACATCAACTGTGAAGTCAAAGCAAAGTGAAAAGTGGGTTAAAACTTTTTTTTATTGTTAAAACCAATTTTCTGTGCATCAGTCTTTTGGGGTATATGTATCTATAGATAGAAGACTGTATGTATGTGTGTGTGTGTGTGTGTGTGTGTGTGTGTGTGTGTGTGTGTGTGTGTGTGTGTGTGTGTGTGTGTAGATTTTTTTTCTGACTTCCCTGATTTTTTTCAAATCTGTAGTGCCACTGGAAAGATTGGACCCTGTGACTACACAATTGGCCGGCGATTACATAAATGCAAGGCTGTGTGTGTGTGTGCATTTGAAGAAACACTGAAGTCAAACTGAATAAATATGTGGATTAAAGAAAATGATGCGAGTAGAGAGGTGGAGGGTTGGAGAGTGTTTGGGCCTGTGTGTTGTCTGTGTGTGAGTGTGTGTGTGTGTTGTCTGTGTGTGAGTGTGTGTGTGTGTGTGTACGTGTTGTTTTGTCTGTGTTTTACCATCTGTGGTAGTGTCATGTACTGTATTACTGAATTAACTCTTGTCCTTGCTTAGAATATGTGTGGCATGTGGGGGATTTGAATCAAATATACGCAGTTGCTTTTTCCTTTCGAACCATGTACTGTACTTGTTGTTTGTCTGTTATATTGATAAATGTGAACATAAGTTTTGCATAGATTCTAAATGAATAATCCAAAAAAAATCCCCGACCTCTCTGATGCGCTCCTCGGCCTTCATGATGCTGTTTAGTGACCAATACACTTTAAACATAGCTCTGAGGCCCGCACAGAACAGCTGTCATTATACTGAGAGTAGATTAGTCTCAGGTGGGAAAAGTGTATCTCAAATCCTTTCTTTTAGATTATGAAATGTGGTTAAAAATTATATACTCATTCTTACCCTCAATGTTTCCAAAACCTGAATGACAAACGGCAAATGACTGAAAAAAGGTACTTACCATTAAACCAGCCTGGTCGAGGCTCAGGTCCGGGGTGGGGCAGTTCTCGTTGACGTAGGCCTCTCTCGCCAGTGCTATGTCCTTCACCTCCTGCTCCAGCCATCCAGCGGCGATCTGCAGCATCAGGCTCTGCACCACACACACACACACACACACACACACTGTTACTTACACCTGGGACAGACACAAGCCTTATATGGACTGTTTCCTGTGCACTTACCTTCAGATGATGCCGACGGCTCGAGGTCATTTTCTTTGCCCTGTAAAAAAAAAAACGTAAAAGAAGTGATCAGAATACTTCAGATCCCAGAAACGTTTTTTATTTTATAGTCATGAATTAGCAGTTTTAGCCACTTCCTCACCATGTTTCATTTGAGTTTTGAGGTTAAGTTTAAGTTTGAATCAGTAAATTGATTACATATTAAACACTATAGAACTTCAACTGCAAAAAAGTTCTTTCTGGATCATTTGAGAAGAAATTACATTTGTAGGTATAGGCAACTTATAGGTTGCGAAAGAAAATATAAGATTGTTTTACACAACTTTATTTTAATGAAGAGGTCTTTTACTGTTGACACGTGATGTTCAAAGTTAAATCCAGTCTATTTTAATGTGTGACAGTAAATGTGTTCCCCATTCCTACAAAAACTCAAAAGTCAAAATAATAAGTCTATAAACTTTGTTCTGACTATTGCCCTAATCATAAAAAAACCAGTCCACCTGCATGTGAAAACCTGGTCCTCTAAAGTCAAGCAGGGCAGGGCCTGGTTATTACTGGGATGGGAGACCTCTGGAAATACCAGGTGCCACACTGGGGCGGCTGCGGCTGTAAAACTGTTGTTGTGTCCTTAGGCAAGACACTTCATCCACATTGTGTCGCATGAGTCTGGTGTGTCCGAAAGGTTGGTGGAGGTCTAAGAGCTGATGGCACATATTGGTTGCCTCACTTCTGTCAGTCTACCTCAGGGCAGCTGTGGCTATAGAAGTAGTTTATCACCACCGTGTATGGCGTGAATGGATAATGATACGTGAAGCATCTAAAACTGATGAATTATTATTATTATCTTTGTCAATATTCAGTCGCTACATCACAAATAGAGTCATATTTTGACTTTACATTCATACAGTAAACTAAAAGTAGAATGATTGTATTTCACATATTGCACATGGTCATATTGCACAATGAAAAATACTCACTCAGACATTATGGCAGGTGGTTCTCTTCAGACTCTGCTCCGGAAAAAATAAAATAAATATAAATAAATCACACCCCACTGTCTTCCACGCGCCCCCACACCACATGCACACACACACACACACACACACATGATCGATCGTCCACCTCCCGGCAACACGAGCCGCTCTCACCCCCTGATCACAAACGGGCTAATTTAGGAGCGCGGGTGTTGGGGAGGGTCAGATGCCGGGGCAGAGGTTTTCTGAATGCCAACAGAGGAGCAAACCCAATGTGGCGCCCCTAAAGCATGCAGAGACCTGTTCACACTGCCATAGACACGTCCCAGTTATGAGCCACGTCCCGAAACAGAACCGTGGTATATGAGCCTAACGGAACAATACAGCAGCCTTCAGATGGGATTAAGGCTAATGCAAATACACAAATGCTCAATGAGTGCTGGATTATCACCATTCGCGCTCACATTATCATTACATGCATTGTTTTATAGCGCTTATGTTGAATGGTTAGCCGAAGGAGGCACCCAGCGGCGATTCAAGGTGACCTCCACAAAAAAAATTCAAAGTGGTTCCTGCAACTTTCCACTGGGATGTGCTTCTAATAAACATACACCAATTTGCAGATAAACCATTCTATTAACTGCACCATTACAGACTTAAAAAACATGAACAAACAGGTGATTAAGTTTGCATTAGCTCCAGGTACTACTTATGTAAGGATGCAGGGTTATAAGTTAAAATATACTGATTCATGCGTTATTGAACAAAATAAAAAAATATTAAATTCATGTTATTATAAAGCGACACAAGGCTTGCATTCAATTGAAAATATATGACATTTAGGTTAGATACATGTCAATATATATTTATAGGCTTAGGGTTTTCTCCATGCTTTATAAGTGGTAAATGTGTATGTATTTATTGTTACAGTTATTGTTATGTGTTGAAAAAATATCTTTCAAAATATGTGTTAAAATTGCCAAACAAAGAGTGATGTTAGCCATTTAGATACCTGTATAAGGGAAATGTACGGAACAAAATACAATCATTTAATCACTAAATCCATGCGTACCAAAAATACACAAAAACTACGCACCACCCACCACTTCAACACTTCTGTATGTAAATAATGAAACAAAAAAAAGTATATACAAGATCAGCCACCTCACCTAACAGAGGATGGAGGACTACTGCTGCTGCCGATGGCCAAAAAGACAAGAGGAGACGCGGGAGCCAAACACTGCCATCTGCTAAACTGTATTTAAGAGCAGGCCGATCCTCTTTATGGTATGGACGTGCAATTGACCAATGGTACATGGGAGTCCAGAAATACCACAACAACAACCTTGTAAATTTGAATACCGGTGCGACTGTTCTCCCTCCCACTGTTTGGAGCCAGGACAAATGAACGGCCAGGACAATGTTATGGGAGGGATGTGGGCCTGGCGTGGGCAGGGCAGGGCCAGAGAGAGGCAGGGACTGATGGAAAGACTGTCATACATCTGTTTGAAATGAAATAGTTTTCTGATTTGCTGTTGACTTCAGAAAATAGTACTGTTTACTAGAAACTTGTGATTTGAATTGAATCTCCATTGAAGGGATGGACCAGCTTTCCCTTGTCAATACTCATTCGTTCAAGAGAGGTTCAAATTAATGTCATAGAAATCAAAACAATCATTTCAGAACTGAGTTTGCAAGGACTACTATGAAACAGAAGTGTGTGTCTGTATTTGGTGTTCGATTATGGAGCGACTCACTGAAATGTGCTTCAAATATCTTCAGTTTAAAAAAAATGAATGAGGACAAATAATATGACAGAATATGAAGAAAATGAAAATATTTGCAGTAAGTTTGTTGTTATTGAATAGGATGGAAAAATGCTAGTTTGGTGTCAGGTGAAGTTGGGGGGTGACGGCGGATAGGAATGGGGTGAAAATGTCAAAATGTCTTTGCAACCAGCAAAATGAGGGACAGTATTTATGAGACTTTGTTTCTTCCTTCTGCTCCTGTTTATTCATGCTGCACAAATGAAAAGTTAACATATATGAAATATGTTATATTTATTTGCACCACAAGATGTGATGTTTCGGGCCAAAAACTACCCTTTATCAAGCTATTTTTGCCAAGCCCCGGTGATCCAAGATGGCGCCATTATCAAATGAATGGCTTGTGCTCAGAAGCGCATGGGAATTTTACAGGGACCAAAAGAACTCGCCTATATTTGGGCATTGTCTTTTCCTCCCGGTTCTGCACAGTGGATTATCTCCCATGATGCGTTGCGCCAAATACTCGTGTGTGGCTTTCATGCACGTTCACAGAGGGGCTCAGCCGCGCTCTGACCAATCAGAGCTGCTGATCAGAGCAGCAGCAGAGCGGAGTCAGAGCGGGAAGGAAAGGAGCAGAGTTTGTGTGGATTTAAAGAAAACAGAATAATTTAGAAGAAGAAAAGTTCAGGATGACAAGGGACACTAAAATCCCCACAAAATCCGATATTTCTGAAAGCTGTAGGTTCTCTGTCAGCTGAGGTCGAGCTGGTTTAATTTACATTGAATTCTATGGGACTTTTTTCTGGGTAGAATTTAGTCTGCAGTACCACGGGCGCCCCTTGTGCCCATAGGTGGGACAGTTTTAAGCTAGTAATACCCTATCCAGTTATTATTATAGATTGGATGTGCGCGTCAATCTCACTTTTAAAACTTAGGTACCCCAGCTTTAAAATTACTATAAATAATTCGTGTAGTATCAGTCCTGTCTTTGATTTTGCTGCTGACCAAGGCCTTAGTGGCTTTACAGGATGGGTCAAATGCGTAGGGAAAAGTTTCCTTAAATAAAGATAACAAAGTGCGCATTTACATTTATCTATTTTCCCAGAAGAGTAATGTTGCTGTGTGTGTAAATACTAAAAATATAAATGGATACTCACCATATGGAGACTTTGCTGCTCAGTTCCATCCAGGGAAGTCCAAGTCTCAGAACTCAGAAGATCTCTACTGACATCTACTGGCTGGTCCTAGCTTTAAACTTGTCATTGGTGAGTTTGAACAAATTATAACTCCTTTCAAATTGTCAAAAGTACAAATTTAGTTTATTTTTGACCGTTGCATTACATCAGTTTACAGTTTTTTGTATGTAGTATGCTATATCTATTTCCAAAGATATGTTTTTTACATGTGTACATTCAACATGACTGCAGCGTGTGAGATTATTAATATTCCAAAACGACAATTTAAGTTTTTTTTATCCAAGAAAACAAAAAAAGGCTTGATTTTTAGAAGCGGGCGGGGCAGACCAAAAGGTAAAATGTCTTTAGCTAGTCTCGAACATCTTCTTCCTGTCAGCTTTGTCTTCAATGTTCTTACGCCAGTCGCCGGCGTCTGCGGTCTGTGGAAAAGAAGCAGAAAAAAACCAGATTGAACATTTTTCACCGTGATCAGGAAAAGTATTGCCTGACTCAGACCTGGGCAAATGATGACCCGGGGGCCACATACAGTCCAAATTAATGTTTCTATGTGGCCCCCAGACCCTCCTCAGCTGTTAATCTCATACTGTCCATTCCACTTGATGCAGGTTTGAAACGTATGTAGTACCACGGCATGTTTATCATTATAAAATTATTTCAATACCACAATTATTATTTCTGAATCATCTTTTTGGATTATCCTCTAAAATGCCAAATATTAACCCATTAAATATCTGTATATACTTGTTTATTCTTCTAATATAGTTTCAAATGTATCAGCCCTGTTTATGTAATTTCATTTAGTATTGATACTTGGTGAAATTTTTATTTGTTTTTTTCTGTTTTTGAACTAGTTTTGATATTAATCTAATCTCAGGAAAACAACCACATTCATTATGTTCCAAAGAATGAACCAAAAAACTTGAAAAATTTACAAAAAAATCTGTAACAATCTGTAAATCAGTCTACGATACTCCCTTTGGTCCAGTTTTGGCTCAATCCAAGAAAAAAACAAGATCTACAAACATAATGTAGAAAGGCTAAAACAAAATAATAGCTAAAAAATGCAAAAGATAAGCTAAACACAATAAAGCATAAGATACAAATATGAATATAAATAATGATTTAACTGACGTAGCTTTCAAAGAATACAGAATATATGTTTGGTAAATAAAATTATAGGGGGTGGGATATTCAAGCTGGATATTGGTAAAATAACAAAACATACTGTATAATTGTATCATGTATTGTTTATTTTTCTATTCTGTTGTCGTTTTGTTGTTTTTCTTGTTCTTGTTTGCCATGGCTCAAAATTATGTATTCCTTCATTCATAAAATCAAAGTGGACTATGTGAAAATAGGTCAGGCCCTCTAAGATATGACGTCATCCCTTATGCAGCTCCCCGGGGATAACAATTGCCAATCCCTGACCAAACCACTTCATTATAATCACGTTATAAATCAAACCATGACTATTGAAAATGATGTGAGTTTTTTGGTGTCTGTCTCCAGCCTCTTCCCACAGAATACTACTACATGTATTCTACCATGTTCCTTGTATTGGCTGTGATGGCCGCTCACCTCCTCCTCCTTCTTCTCCTTCTTGACCTGCTTCAGGTTGGACCTCAGATCCATGGTGACCTTGTGTTTGCCTCCGAGCAGAGCCTGGAGCATAGCGTCAGCAGACATACGCACTTTCTTCAGCGCGGGCTTCTTCACTCCACCCAGCTCCTTGACTTTCATCTTCAGCTCCTCAATCTAACAGGATAAAATATACATACGATGGTATTTATTTGTTGGAAAGGACATTAACCGCAGACCAGTGAACCAGGGTGCACTAGTTTAGAGGTTTCAAATTAGAGGTATACAGGAGGATTTTCCCAAATTATAGGAAAGAACGGCATCTCCATTCTTTGAACAAAACTCTCTGGTCTTATTTGACGAGAACCTACCACCAGAATGATTGACAGTTAGGAGGACCAATAGTCTTGATAATCCAAACCGGAAGTAGAAAATCACTGGTCCCCCTCTATACCGAGATAAACTTTTTGTGGCCTTGCTGTTTCGCAGATTTTTGTGTGGCTTCAAGTATTAGTTTATATACTATACTATACTATATTATAGGAGACTCCACCCATTTCCTCAGGTGAGTCCAATTTCAACCAGTGGGGGCGGGTCCTGGCTCAAAAAGTCCATGAGCACGTGCGCTGTCATGCTTGCAGTTTCACTCCTGGCTGGTGGGGGTGTACCCGGAAAGAGAATTACCCAATGCTTTTGTATGCCACCTTCTTTCCGCTCAAAAACGGTTCAACAGGATGGTCCAAAAGTTGGCCCTTGACCCAATGCTATGTTCCAGATGCTGTCAATACTGAGGGGAGTAATTTTTTTGGACCAGTTTAGTTTAGCCGCTGTGGACTTATGAATGGGACTCATGCCGGCTAACGCATGCGCAAATGCGTGTTTTCACATTTTCCTTCCCTGCAGGCATTTTGAATAAGCCCACAGAAGGCAAAAGATGGTTTTAACCTGAATATTTGAGGAAATGGGTGGAGTCTGATGTGCTCCTGCTCATGTTGGGAATAAAACCTGCAGCCACACCTGCCCTTTGAGGACCGGTTTGCCCACCCCTGCACTCGGGCCTCTGTCAGCAGCAGTGGTCACCAGCTCTGGTTTTGAGAGATACATGGTGCCTCTTTTAGGTGGTGGTGAAACCGGAGCGCCCGGAGGAAACCCACTCTTCAATATTGTTTCTGAATTGTTTAATTGTCGTACAGGGTAAATAGATAATCACAATAAGAAGCAGTTGAAATAGAAGGTGTTCTCTCACCTCTAGGTCGCTCTTTACCACTTTGGCCTCGGCGTCGTATCTCTCCTCATCGATCTTGTCCAGAGACTGATGCAGCTTCTTGCAGAACTCCTGATTGACATAACGGCGTTCATGTAGATCACACGAGTCAAACACAAGGCCTTATAAGGTGTTCTACTTCATCTTTAAGCTAATACCTCACAAGAAATCAATCACGTCATTGCATTTATTCTAAAATTTGAACCCAACAAGTAATTATTTATAAAATCAATCTACAATTCTTGCCATGTGTGGTTGCCTTGGGTATGAATTGTGCTGTATAAATAAACTTGCCTTGCCTACAATCCCAGCCGTCTTCACTTTTGCGGCAGTTTTAGTTCTATCGAAATAAACAGTAACTAATTTTAATCATAACAATCTACTGGGAAATATGATCCAAACGTGTGGTGAATAAGTTATCTTATTAATGTACGAAATAAGTGTAAAAATGTCTTATCTTTCCACTACGAAAAAAACTTTTATTCAGCCCTGGCCTGCTGTTACTGATGTAGATGTCTCTGCTGTAAGTCTGTGAGGTTGAAAGAGGGAGGTCGTGTGTTACCATGAGGGCCGCCTGGTCACCGCCGAAGTCGGGTTCGGGGCAGTGCTCGGCCATGTACGCAGCTTTGGCCGCCTCGATCTGTTTGGTCTCCTCTGCCAGCCAGCTAGCGGCGATCTGAAGCATCACACTCTGCACAAACAAGGATACGCATTTTTTATCTTTAACATGATCACAAGTCAGCTTTAGATTAAAGTGTTGTATAACTGATTTTTGGGTGTGCATTTTGCTTGCTTTGTCCCAGAGTGCTTCTCATGCGTCGCATGTATACAGTACTTATCTGTACATATCTGTGTGTATCGTGTATGCTCTGTGTGTGCTCTTACTCCCGTCCTGTATGTACCCCACAACACTGACATTTCCCCACTGTGGGCTGAATAAATGTTCTCTCATCGAATCTTATACATTCGCCCACGCAAAAAGAACAATCTATAAAGAAAACTTCTCTACCAGAAACAATGACATATTTCAGATTTTCAAAAGTCTGATTATAAAGTTACGCACCTTCAGATGATGCCGACGGCTCGAGGTCATCTTCTTTCCCCTTTAATACACAGTAAACAAGAGTAGAGTTACTAGAGATACATACATACATTCATACATATAATATAGGTATGTATGTTTTACACTGTGTGTTAATTGGACTTACTCAGACATCTTGAATTCCTTTTGGCTCTGACTCTGAAAGAAAAACACAATAATTTTTTTTTAATAATTATTATTATTTTGACCCAACACACCTCTGGCTGAGGTTTGATTCATGGTCATTTTGGTTACAGAGAATTAATGAAAGATTGAGAAGAGGTAATATGCTTATACTCATTTAAGCATATACTTTTCACATACTTGGCCCTACTCTACTCTACTCGGCTCTACTCAACCCGATTGGGAGTGTTTCCACCGGCCCCGTTTAACCAGTATCAGGTACTTTTTTATACCCTAGAGTTGATGGGAAGGTGGATGGAGCAACAGACCAGAATATTGGATGAAAAGCTGTAGAGGCTACCCATCATCTAGGCTTTTCCCCTAAAAATATTGACTTTTCATAAAATAGAATGGTGGAGACGGTTTGCATGGAAAGGCACTCAAAGCAAGGAACCAATAACCCATTCACCCACCAGTGTACGCAGAAATGAGGGGAGATGGGAGTTAAAGCAATCACCAATAGGAGCTGGTTTCACGCCTGTGACAAAACCAATTATGTTTATGTCAGGAGCAGGATTTAGATCACCGACCTTTAGCGCAGAGGACACACCCTCATGTCATACTGAGGTGTTTTGTAAGGAAGAATGGGCAAAACATTTAGTCTGTAACATTTAGGGGTGCAAAGCTTGTAGAGTCACACCCCAAATGACCAAATGTCTTCTGTAGCTGCTTTTGCTCACACACTGTTATCTCCTTATAGCATTAGCGAGTGCTCAGAGAATGCTGACTCTTGCATTAGCGCGTACTTAACATACGTGTCCCTGAAGCAGAACTGTTAGCCACATTCTTGCCTATTAAACTGGAGACTTCAACAAAGGTCAGGTTTAATTCTGGCCCTGGGGTCAGAAGGCTAACAGCCACTTTATGATTCAAGATTGTTCGGTGAAACTCTGAAACAGCTGATCTGGAAAGTCACTCCCCAAAAAAACAAAAGTGATGATTTACACTCAGACACGTTCGCATGTTCGCATGTACGCATGTAACGGCGATCCGTGCTGTGGCCGATTCGTCAGCAGCCGCATATTTGACCAGCACTTCTGCAAACGCTTCTGTTACCGCCAGTTCCCCGCTGCTGCAGCTACTGTTACCAGGACTTTCACTGCTAGATACAGTTCCACACAATAGAGGGGTAAGAGTTTTAAGAAAGTGAGCAAAATAAAAAGTCAGGCCTATACTTTGGTGCCTAAAACTAAATTTAAGAACCGTTGACACCTTCTCACCCATGTATATTTGTGAGATCTTATTCCTGTCCTCTATGTGCTCTTTTTTGTGGGACGAATACAGGTTGTTTTTTTTAAAATAATTTTCTAATACATCACAATTTAGTTTTTGGATTAAAATCAGGCCTATATTTTGGGCCCTACCACTTTTCTGTAATTTGTGTTATCTTACTCCTGTCTTATGTGTGTTTTTCCCCACTTTGGTACAAACAATGGTTCTATTCTATTATTTTATCTTAATCATAATGTATAACATGTCAGAATTTGTTTTTGGAGTAAAATCAGGCGTATATGTGTGCATGGTTCCTAAAGCCTAAAGATCAAGCATCAACAGCTACTTGTCTATGTATATCTGGTGTGCTCTTACTACTGTCCTGTATGTGCGGTATGTTCCCACTGTGGGACACATAAAGGTTTTCTTGTCTTATCTTTAAAAAACTCTCCAGTATCGATTACAGTAATGATGTAATTATAAAGAGCAAATGTTAATATTATATAGACAAATGGTAGATACCCTTTGAACAAAAACAGTTTAAGAGCCAAATAGCATGAACTGAAAATTAATAATTTTAACAGATTCCGATGACGTAAACTGTACAGAAGATAAATGGTTTTGTTTTGATATATGAAGTATAAATATATAAAACATTAAAATATTTACATACATATATACCGTAACATACATATATACAGTGTATTCAAATAAATACATCAGAAATTGAACTGGTTTGGGGGTTGATCATATTTTACGTATTTTAGTTGATTTAGTTTCCTGAAAGTGTAAACAAGTTTGAAATAAGTATAATTCATGTCATTCATAATGAAAGAAGACATTTTTTTGAATTTTAGACATAGGCATGAATCAACCAAAATCAACAGAAAATCCTCTCCATCTCCCGCCGCTCATTAACTAATTACTGTGTGTGTTTGGTGGAGTGTTGATCAGGAATCCTTACCTACACAGAGAAGATGGCGAGACAGCGTTGAGATGAGTCAAAGACTAAACCGTGGGCATCTCTGGGGGTATATATGTGCTTACGCTGCGTTGTGAAAGCCTCTTTATGGACATGGGGAAACTTAGAACCTGACCAACCAATTGGGTCAAAGAGCGCCTGAAATACCCCCATCTTTTGACGGCTGGGGCCATAAATCCTGGCAACCCGTGTGAGGTCAGCATTCCTGCGTCAGGGGAAAGCAGAGGCTGAGGAGGAAACAAACAATTAGATCACAGGGGGAGGAGAAAAAAAAGTCTTAAATACTGTAATGTCTCACCTCTGGATCAACGCTGCTACTTGATCAGTAAGAAAAAAATAGGTTTCAATTTACAACCAATTAAATAGTGAGGGGATATTTAAGATTTTTGAGGCTGCTCCATTGACGATATAGTATTTGGACTAGCCCTATTGAAATTACATCAGAGTGGCTAGATACATACTATAAAAAAAAAAAACATATACAAAGATTATGGCAAAATGTATACCCTTAATTATTCGGCTAATAATTTATATACATTTAAATGATTACTCAACAATGCAAACATTCATCTAGAGTATTAAAAATGCATTGTTTTGTATTAGTTCTGAAAAATAAAAACGTTTTGCAGCTGTTTAAATGGGTCAAAGGTATGGAAACAACATGACTTCATATGGATTGACCTGGAGAACAGTCCTGCTGTAGGATTGAACAAAACAAAGTGAGATTACAAGGGTTTTATGTTCATTATTTTAGGATGTAGTTAGACGCACTGCACTTTGGCCTTTCGCACTATGGTACAACATGTGTGGTCATTCGATACCACTCAGTCCAGAACATATGGGACAGAGGAGGAAGTGCACTGCTGACACCTAATGGCCTCGTTCCAAAACCACATTCATAAATGACTATTGTGTGAATGGATCGGTCCGAATTATTTTCTATCCAACAGCTCACAAAAGATAATTTGGGGATTCTGATTATAGCTTTAAATAAAAGTATATCTAGAGGTCATGGTGGAACTTGCCTTGATCTTTTTGTTTAATAATATGCAAAAGATGATCAATGTTGAAAAAAACTTTGATCTTGAGGACGGTTTGCTAAATTCGCCCTGGAATATGGACCCAAGAGTTTCACCCATTAGTCAAACTCTTGTTACCGTGGTCAACAACTTTGATTACAGCTTTGCTAGGTTTGGAACAACTTGAGGTTAATCATTTAGAAATCTTTCACAATAATTAGGGAGCAGGTCTGTTACCTTTATGACCTATTGTTCTGTCCCTATCAAATAAACATATAGTTAATAAATATATATATGTAAATGTACAAAACAATTCTCAGTAATTGACTTGGCGGTACTTAACATTATATTGAGAGTAGCGTTTATGGAGAATATAATGTTATTGTGATATATTGACCATTAGTCCAGAGAAAAGTAGCGCTTTGAACATGAACAAATTGCAATAGGATTTTTTGTGTGCACAAATGTGACTTTTTGACCAACCAGGATGTCTGAGGACGTTTACTATGTTGTTCTGGGGACTAGAAACCTCACAAAAATGATTAATGGTGAAGAAAATACGATTGCAGTTTCCTATTGGGACTAAAAATGACTATTGAAGTCTGGATATTCCGTCCCATCTCACACCACAGCACTACAGAATGCACAACACTTCCACTGAACCACTCTTGTTTAGTTTCATCTGATTTCTCGAATTGTTAATGTTATTGATGCTCAGAATGGAAATTAGAAATGCAAGGGGTGACATTTGTGTGAACGTTAAAAGCTGGTAAATTCAAAGGACGGCTGCGTCATGCACCTTTAGTGTTGTGAGTCTGAGATGAAGACAAAATATCTCCAGACGCTCGATTTAGGAAACAAACATTTATTATAAAAACTAGCAGAGCAGGTTGTAGTCAGAAGCCTACACCTTCACAATAAAAGCACTTAAAGCCAAGGAGATTATGAAAAATAAGAAGTATTTATAGTGAAACTCATGAGCCAAAGCGACGTACACTAACAGATGGAGATGGAAGTCACAGATTTAATGAAACACAAGATGTGAAATCAATGAAAAACGCTCCATAATTCCATAAAAAGTGCCACAAGCCCAGAGCGAGGAGCCGCAGATTAGGAGGTCTCGAACATCTTCTTCCTGTCGGCTTTGCCTTCAACGTTCTTACGCCAGTCGCCCACGTCTGAGACCTGCACAAACACCGCGTCAGTGAATACGCAACAATTCAAAAGACTGCAGCAGCAGACAGTGGGAACCAGAGTATTGTGGCATAAAAAGCCAGTAGAATTATATAATGAATTTTAATAACAAAAAAATAGAATAAATCTGTCTTTTTACAAACTTAAAATCTATAATAATGATTGGTGTTGCTGCTTTTCAAAATAGAGAATCTTTCATGTTGTCTGTTGATTCATTCATCAAAGTGCTACAGAAGAAAGTGTCTGTTTTTTAATTAAAAAGCTCAAATAATCCATGTACAAAAACTGTCTTTTTATGTAAGATTTTAAATGTGAATGACAATGGCCGTTTTAAATGAATGATTTTTAAACCAGTTTGACATATAGTATTTACATGGGGAATCAGTTATTTTGATTTATCAGAGGAAATCAGAGATGCCAAAATATCCTTGTAATTGTTTTTTGGTAGTTTTTAAGAACAAAACCGAAGTAGATCCATGAACTATTACTAATTGTGTTTTGGGTTAATGGTTTAAAGCAAAAGTATGTGGTTGTTTTCCAGAGAAAATAGCTTTAAATTAGTTTTAGCATCAGCATGATTGGAACAGGTGGAGGCCGATTGCAGATATTTCATAAAAACTAATGCCCAAGCCCTATATCGGTCAATGTCTAGGTTTAATAATACTCTCTATACTGATGGGATGGGTTTGGGCCTGATACAAACAATAATCAGACCAGAAAAGGCCGGCGTAATGCAAAATTCCTAGGACTGTTTTAAAAGGATAATGAAAAGAATAGAGATACAGTAGAAGAGAAATGTGGCTGAGTTTACATGTGCAATAAATCGTATTATTATACAGATAAATATGCATTGATTTGTATCGTGTTATTGGTATGGCTGAATAAGGGTAATCAGCCACGAGACAACCTCCTCAGTGTCCCTCAGTGTCCCTCAGTGTCCCTCAGCGTAGTGCACTCACCTCCTCCTCCTTCTTCTCCTTCTTGACCTGCTTCAGGTTGGCCCTCAGGTCCATGTTGACCGTGTGTTTGGAGCCCAGCAGAGCTTTGAGCATGGCGTCAGCGGACATACGCACTTTCTTCAGTGCAGGCTTCTTCACACCTGCCAAGTCCACCACCTTCAGCCTCAGGTCCTCGATCTGGGACACACCAGGAGGACATCATTACAGACTGAAGCCGAGTCTGGTCTTAATATCTGATTGCAGAGACAGTTGTTTTGCAATAATTTTGACAACAATATTCAATCTTCTCTATCTTGGGCACGGCGGTTAGCTCTTGTGCTTCACAGCAAGAAGGTCCTGCATTCCATCTCCAGGTGAGGCCTTTCTGTGTTGAGTTTGCATGTTCTCCCTGTGTCTGGTTAAGTTCCCTACCACAAAAACATGTACAATAGATCTGGCGTTCCCTGCTTCCATCACTGTGTGGAGTGAGAGACAAATGCCCACAAATATTGTACAGCGTCTAGTGGCTCTGTTTGTGAAAGGCGCTATATAAATAGGGTTAGTTCAAGTTTACTTACATCTTGCAATTACATTATAACAATGCAAACATGAATCCCCAGAAGTTATATTCATAATATTTGGAGTAGAGCAGAGACAAAAGTCCAAACCAAGCAGCAACTCCACCTTTGCTTTTGTGATCCAAAGTGCTGTTGCATTGGGGTTTTTTTGTTGTATGGATGGATGTGTTGCTGCTGCTACTGGACAGATGAATTTCTCCTACAGGGGGATCAATAAAGAATCTATCTGTCTATTAAAACAAATACCTCTTTGTCTGCCTTGGATACTTTGCCCTGGATGTCGTACCTCTCCTCATCAATCTTGTCGATGAGGGCGTGCAGCTTCTTACAAGTTTCCTAAATGAAAACATAACGTCAATGTTCAAAGTCTGTTTACTTTGTGTTTCTGATGTTTTGATTTGGTTAAAAGAACTCAATACCATAAGAGTGTTCTGGTCCCCGCTCATGTCAGGGTTGGGACAGTTTTCCGCCATGTACGCTTCTTTGGCCGCGACCAGCTCCTTCTTCTCCTGCACCAGCCAGTTAGCAGCGATCTGAAGCATCAAGCTCTGCAACAACAACAACAACACATATATTCAAACTGGAAGTGTGCGAATGGTTCATATGGGTTTTTTCATGTTTCCACCAGCCTGATTTGCTCCTGCTCCTACTCTACTCTACTCTACTCTACTCTACTCTACTCTACTCTACTCTACTCTACTCTACTCTACTCTACTCTACTCTACTATACTCTACTCTACTCTACTCTACTCTACTCTACTCTACTCTACTCTACTCTACTCTACTCTACTCTACTCTACTCTACTCTACTCTACTCTACTCTACTCTGCTCTGCTCTGCTCTGCTCTGCTCTGCTCTGCTCTGCTCTGTTCTGCACTACTCTGCTCTGCTCTGCTCTGCTCTGCTCTGCTCTGCTCTACTCTACTCTACTCTACTCTACTATATCCAAGCCAAGACAAGACCTACTATACTCTCTCTACTTGGCTTTTTTCAACCTGGTTGCGTTTCCATTAACCTTAACTATCTAGTATTGCATCCCAGCAACCAAACAACAACAAACCAGCAGCATCACTCTGCAATATAGAACCAAATGTGTCCACTGGTGCTCTATTTAGTCAGTTTGTCCCCGGCCCTCATGCTGCTAACATGCACAGATGTACAGTATACACACTTACAACTTTTACTTACACTACAATACATAGTACTGAATATTCCAAAAGTAGAGATCTTGTACTTCTTTATTATGCTAAGGTCAGAGTTTTTTTTAACTCATTATGCTACATGTTATACTTGTTTTTTCTTAATGCTGGAGTTTTTCTATCTTTAGTTTATCTTGTGCTGTGTGCTACTCATTCCTACTGTCTTAGAACTGGTGATACAACACTGAAATTTTCATTTTCACTTTGGGGTAAAGAAAGGATATCTTAATCTTAATCTTAAACAGGGCTGGTGGAAAAACGCTCCCAATTGGGGAGAGTAGAGCAGAGTGGAGTCAAGCCAAGTTTCGACCGGTGGAAATGGGGCTAATGTAAGAACTTGGGCAAGAGTTTTGCATTCTTTTTCAAAAATGTGTACAAGCATGTGTATGTGTAAATCTGTCTGCATGTGTGTGTATAAAAGTGTGAAAGAGTGTTTGTGACCATGTAAATTGCAGTAAATTTTTTATAGTTAGTTAGTTATAATTTCTGTCCTTTGGTGTATATACGTTTGAAAAATTATAAATTACTACCACTCCACACTAAAATCATGGCTGGAAGATAGACCACGCATTGCCAAAACATCCAATTCAAAATCACTTTAGCCCCACGACTACACCTATTTGTGTGCGTTACGACTCTACAGCCAGCAGAGGGCGCCTCACCACCACAGCAAATCTGGCTGAAGTGTGAAATGACTTGTGACTGGAGATGTTGGGGAAAGGGATTTGTTCCTCAGTATCGCCATGACAACCCCATAAACAAGTAATTCCCAACATTCCACACGGATTCAAAGTCAAAAACACGGATAAGTCGAACAGAATTTCGAGAGAGCACTAAATACTCGCTGGGGCTTACCTTCAGATGATGCCTGCGGCTTGAGGTCATCTTTTTGCTGTACAAAGCAAAAAATAGATATAGTGTAGTAAATATATATATATATATATATGGCCCTCTGTACATTTGACTTTGAGTTGTGTTGATTACGTGCTTGTGTAAACTTGTATTGGATTGATGGTAGAGTTTCAAATGATATACATGTCCTCTATAAAAGTATTTTTGAATGTATTCATAGTGTTGAATATATCTTGTCTTAATGACCAGGGGTCCTTAGTAACCAAAGGAGGAGGCTGACCCATGTAGCTGTTTACTAGCAGGTATTTGTGAATGAATGTGTGATACTGTAATATGAGCTACTGACACATAGCATTAGAATTCTAACTTAAATTGATGACTACAAATACCAGGAAATACATACTCAGACATGTTTGCAGTTTCTTTTCTTCACAACCTGTTGGAGGAGAAAGAGTCGAATGAATTAAACGTGTGTACGACATTATAGTGGAATGAAATGTGAGCTAATAAAACAGTTGATGAGCTCTGGGGCGATGACAGAGCTAAGTTTGGATGCATGAGGGTCAGTTGGCGGGTCTGACGCCTCCGCTAAGCTCCTTTACAGGTGTTCTAAACAGAATATCCTCTGGGAGTTATCACCGCGATGCCTTTCATAGACAAAGATATGAGACTGAGAGAATGTGCTGCTGCAGAGCTCTGGCTGCCAACATCCACAGCCTTTCAACACTCACCCGGCTGAACACACAAGAATATTCAGCCTGGATGTAGATCACAGACTGTACATAGATGGACTACGCTAACCCGCTAGCTCAATGAAGTCCAAATGAGAAGTCATCTTTTTGCTCTTTTTAAAGTTTAGCTCCAACTCGGTTTAGCTCCTATTGATTCCCATTGAACATTAAAGTCCTCCAGCTCACTAATCCTTTGTGTCACACTCAAAATTTGAGGCTTGAAAATCTGTGGTTTAGCGCTCTCTGACCCTTGTGTTTATATTTTTAAATTGTCTTTGTAAATCCTGATATGATTAAAATGAGGATTAACCAATCAGATGCCTTTATTTGCAGGGAAACTCGAGCTTGCCATAGTAACCATGATAGCAACACGTTTGCCCATGTTACAGCACGAAGCTCACGCAGCAGAAGAAATGCCCATATAAGGAAATTGGCTCCAGCTAGCTTATGTTTAAATCAGCCTCTTTCGCAATAAGGCTAACACTATGGCGACATCAGCACTTTGTCAGTCCACTCCGGTCTACAACATGGATCAATCACCACAGGACACAGACGAACACAACATATACAGCACTTTCAAAGTATTTTACGATTCCACTAGTCCTGGAAAAGTAAAGGATTTTTATTCAACTGTCCAGAGTGCCTCGTATTGGTTTTCTTACATATCTATTTGTGTTTTTCACTGCAAGAGCACCTGACGAAAATGGACCCACTGAAGTACTTGTCTTTCTTAAACTAAATCGTTAAAATTCTGCGTCGTTAAAATTCTATGCAGACAAATTCTAATGTTAAATAATATACCCCAGCCAAAGTGGATGCCAAAGTTACATGCAGCTTCAACATTATATTTAAAAAAAATATATATATGTAATAGAGAACTAAGTAAAGCATTAAATATGTAAATAAGTCTTTTTATCTGAGTGACACATGCAGAAAAATGACTAGAATCACTGAGTCTCAGCACAAACATTATAAATGATTGTGTCCCATCTCAAATGACGAGAGCAGTTGCCAAAAGCGCCATCACAAAATCAATTGAAAGTCCTATAGCTAAAATACTATTGAATACATTGGTATAATCCCCCTTGTGTAACCACAGCTCCACACACACACACACATGCGGACACCAGGTAAACAACACTCACCTACAGATCAGAAAGTCCGGGCAGACAGGGGCAGTAGCAGAGGCAGTGTGGGCCGGCGGTGGAGGGGGGCATATATATGAGGCCGCAGACATGGATATGGAGCTCCTTTTTATGGAAATGCACAATCCTCAAGCCAATCGCCCTGCCACAGCTTCTAATATCACCTTACAGCGCCAACTTTACCCTCTGTCTGTGTGTGTGTGTGTGTGTGTGTGTGTGTGTGTGCGTGCGTGTGTGTGTGTGTGTGTAAATGGTGAGGAGGGGCCTGGTATCATTTTAAGATTCTCTCTGAGGTCACAAGGATGCTATAAAAGGAGGATGAGGAGAAAGGGAGAGTGTGATATGAGCAGAGATTGGAAAAAACGTTGTGTTTGCTCATTACAACACGTTTGGGAACATCTAAAGTCATCTCTTTGGAACAGATGTAGTCCAAGGCGGGCTGTTTCTCTTCTATGTAGACTATGAGACGAGGGGGATGCTCATTGCTGGGCTATGGCTTAAAATAACACACCTCTTCCATACCATTTAGCTTTCTTATTGGGTTTGAATCCACAATCACTGTCTCCATTTTGGTCTTTTAAATGTTTAACTTTCCCTTACATACAGCAGAAAACAATGAATGAAATATGCCTCTTGAATGGCTTTAAAACAAGGCTATAATACTTTAACCTAACAAAGTAGCCATGTACATAAAACACCATATACTGGTACTCCATTGATCGTACATCCAAAATATCCAATCCAAATCCCGCCAAAATCTTGTAACCGCAATCCTCGCCTCAAGTTCCCACGACTTTGCTCTGGTTTAAGACGTGCTATTTATTGTACACTCACCTCTGCTTGTTTTGCAAATCCATTCTTTGTTTGCTGGCTTCAAGATATCAGCAAAGGACATTCCAAATGATCAGCGATGAGGCCTCCTTGGCAGCTGTCATGACGCCTTTACAAAAGACCGCTGCTTAACGAAGGGCCACCCCATGGTAATTGAAGACGATGTGATTTTTTTTGTTCTTTCCTTTGTATCATGACCTGTAAAACAAGATAAATCAGCATAAGTTGTATGGTGGTTGCCTTGGATTAAAAAAAGAGGTGAGAATTGTTTTCCATGCCTTAATATGGACATATGTTGCATGTCTGTTTGATTTTGTCTCCATTTTCTATTCTAAGGAACGCCTGTCTACAATTAATCAAATTATTATTGTTCATTTCTTTCAGAAGTATGAATTTCTCTCAGAGGGAAAAAGCAAAGCACTGAAATAGCTGTGCCCTTCATCCATACGGAGGGCTGAAAAAGAGAGAAACGACTTGTGAAGCTTTGATAAAACTTTTAACTGTTTCCCAAAATAAAAAGTGCTTAACAAGCTATAGCATATCTGCCCCCTATTAATAGCATATAATTACCACTGGCTCTGGTGAGCGTTTCATCTTGGACTTTAAGCCCCCCTCCCACCTCAAGGTCCATATTCCAGAAATCCTTCCAGATCATTCTGCGGCTGCTGCCTCGATCTCATATGAACTTGATGACATAAATAGATTGGAGTGATTTGCCCAGGCCCTTGCCTCACCGTCAGCTGTGGCAAAAACACAAGCTGCTTTCTCATTGTGCGCAAGAGGGAAGTGTCTCTTGTGGGTTGCTAAAAGTTATAAAAGACTGCAGCAGATAAACGTAGAAATCTCATGATGTTTTCTTTATGTTGAAGCCTAAGAAGGTTATTTTAATGAGTGTAGAAGCTAGTGTTGCTTTACTACCGGCCAAGTTTGGGAGGAACACTTCCACCTTCGTCAGAGGTGACACGTGATCTGTTGTGAACGTCTGACAGATCGGGAAGGCCAGTCAGACTGACCACGTCCTCCGCCCCGCTGTGGTCTCTAGAGAAGTGAGTTCCACATGCACGCCAAGGTGTGAGCCCCCTCGTCTTTGTTCATAGGAAGTCAGGTACTTTTGCGTTTCCGAGATCGCAGGAACGGGGCATGAAACAGGAGCTTATAGACAGAAAGGGCTGTATTAATTCCTGTTATCAATGTGGATGGGTCTAAAAAGTGTTTTTGATACGGAACAATGTTGAAAAATGGTTCAAAACTCGAGACAATCTGTGTAATAAATCTCCACTCATGGAAGAATTCTTGTCTTGCTGCAAAAATGGTGATTACGAGACGAGGCGTAACTAAAGCTGCTTTCTCTATAATTGACAGCAGACTCGTAAACACCAGCAGCATGCTTGGTGGAGTCCTTATTACCTGTTAGCCCGTCCGACCTGGAGCATTAGCAGAGTCTAGGGCTTGCTCGGTGGGTGCTGACAGGCCCGGGTGAGTCACGATGAGAAGGATTTTGAGGCATGCTGGGTATTTCGCAGGCCCCGGGGGGATGTAGTTTGTGTTTCTGTCAAAGAGATAGGCAGATGTCTCCTCTGAGGATGTGTCACTTACAACCCGATCTGGAGGAATGCGCTGTACGGCAGGACCGATCTGCCGGCTGAGAGAGAAGCGTGTGGCCTATCCGTGCTATCGCAGGAGTTAAATGTGCATGTTTACACAGCCTAGGTTTCAAAATGCCACCGTTGGTTTAGGTATACAGACTGTCAGATCCGATACCCTCCAAATGTTGCTGTGAGATTACAAACAAGGAAAATATACTTAATAAGAAATCAACAATATGGCTTAATTTCTCTTCTTGAGTTTGTTATAAATTATTCAATTGTACACACTGGTATCAATACTGTTAATGTAGAGCAAGAAGGTCCTGGATTCCATGTTCTCCCTGTGTCTGCGTAGCTTTCCTCCAGGTGCTCCGGTTTTCCCCTACCGCTAAACAGATGTACAATAGCCCCCTGCAACACTCTCCCACTCCCACTCCCTTTCTCTGTGACCAAAAAGATTCTGAAATCGTTGTGGGACTTTCCTGTTAGAATAAATAAATAGGTGCTTTGAACAGAGCAGCAGTATTTTGATTTGTTATCACCATCTTGTGGCCATATGAGAAACTGAAAAGCTGGTGAGTGAACCACCTCTGTCACGTAATAAAAAAACATGTGTGAAATCTTCCACCAGAAAAGTGCACCTTCAAGTCCTTTCTTTGATTGTATTTATTTTGTGCATAACAAGGCCTTTTTCTTTTTTAAATAATACATGTTGTTTATCTTATTTTTGACTCTTTGGGCTGAGAGTCAAAGTGATACAGTCATCTCTGTATCACTTTTTGGTCTGAAAAAGCTGATCTGAAGATGTGACAGAGCCCAAGAACACATGCATGTGACAAAACGTGATATAAACTGGTTTGAAAGCAAGGAACTAGTTTTTATACAAGGAAATTATTATACATTCTATTTTTTGTGGTTTGAAAGTTATGCGCACCAACTTTAATTCTACTGTCTTCTTATTCTTTTGCCGTTTTATGACATAAGTGTTGTTTTTATATATTCCAGCATATATTTATTTATATTCCAGTAATTTCCCTTGTTCACAAAATGGTGTTTTCATAAATATCCCCTGTCTTGCCCTGTTTCCACCAGCCCGACACAGCCCTACTCAGCTCTACTCTACCTGGTTATATTTCCATTATGCCTTAGTATCTGGTACCATATCCTAGCAAACCATTCACAACAAGCCAGTATCTGTGGAATTTCCCTAGTAACCATGGCTTCCAGAAGACCGATTCTGTCAGTTGGATCACTTTAGTCCCAGCTCAGTGCCTAGGACTGGTTAAACAGGGCCGGTGGAAACGCTCTCATTCCAGGTAGAGTAGAGCTGTGTAGAGTAGAGCCGAGTAGGGCTGGTGGAAACAGGGCTTTAAACACCACAGATGAAAATCAATACTCAAGTTCATACAACCCACCTCAGCGTAAGTAATCTCTCCTCTTCAGGGAAACACTCCAACAAACTAGAAGACAGTAAAAAATTAAAGGATGACGCCAAAATAAGAATACTAATGTGTGATGCTGTGTGTCTTCCTAGTGTGAGCACTAGTAGCACTAGTGTGAGCACTAGGAAGGCTCAGTTGAATGTGGATGTTGTTAACAAAGTAAATTTGGTCCCCCAAGCCTTTAGCGTGTCCATTTGAACTAAGTTTTGTCTCGTTTGTCATTGTAGTATTAACTATTACATTGTAAAAACGTATAATTCTTCTTGGCATAGCTGGCATCTTATAGTAAGTGGCTTTCCCAGGTCCAGGCAATTACAGTACTTGCTGGACTGTAAGCCGCTACTTTGTTCAAGTTCTTTAAACCCATAGACTGTATTTAAGGAGTGGACTGACCGATTGCTGATGTCCCCATAAAGGTTTCTGAATGCAGAATAAGTCGATTAAAACACAAGCTAGCTGGAGCCAATTTCCTTAAATGAGTATTTATTCCGACCATAACAGGAGCAGACAGTTTTACTAGGATGGTTGCTGAGGGAAGCTGGAATGTCCATCGCAATAGAAGACATCTGACTGATCAATCCTTTTATGGCTTATATCTGTATAAACTCTGATACAATCAAAATATAAGCATCAGGATCTCAGAGAGGGCTAAACCACAGATTTTTAAATCCCAAAAGTGACAGAAACGATTACTGAGCTATGAGTTTTTTTCTTTTGATGCAAGTCAATAGGAGTCAGAGTGAGTCGAGAAAAACCTTGTCCAAGAGCACTTTCCTATCGGGCTTCATTGAGCTAGCAGGTTAGCAATGTCCTTCTATATACAGTCTATGGGTCCCATACAAGTTTTTACTTTCTCAATAGTAGATTATTTTTTCCCTCCAAATATTACAGGCTTTCACCTATTTGCAAATACATGTATAGCAGATGTTCTTTATATTTCAACTGCTCCTGTAGTAACACAATCCGTCCTATTCTCTGTGTGGACATCTCTGTAGAAGTCCCCCTTGCTCTGCTCTTGTGTCTAAATCTGTCTTTCGAGAAGGTGCAGCTGTTATTATGTGATGTGATTCGGCCGACAGCAGCAGTCAAATATAACCTGCATTAACTTGAAGAAATCAAACCCCAAAATGCTTGAGACGTTTGCTGAAGCTGACAAGCACTGAGGTGAATTCAGAACTAATTGGAAATACTTGCAGCTGTTGTTTGGAAAACATACAAATGAGACTGGGGACTAATATTGTTTCATATGTCGTCGCATGTCAGAAGTTGGACAGCAAAAAATCGAATTGTGTGATGAGGTTTTTATGAAATAGATTATACAGAGGGTCATGTGTTTCAGGATGCAGGACAATTAACATGAATGTCAGTTACTTTTCAAATTATGAATAGAGAGTGAGACTTTCTACAGACCTTACTCACCTCCGGTCAGGATTAATTGAAATCCTTGAGGCCCTTCGTCATTTTTTAAACTACAGTGGTCCTTCACTATGGTCTCTAGTGAAATGTGAATTGGGTGCAGCTCTGACTGCCACCTCCCCGACCCAGAAATGGATTAAGGGGTAGAAAATGGATGTTCCCTCGCTATAACTACGTACTGTAGATCTTTTGCAGCCTCATTGTTTCGCAGATCCTTTGTGTGCAAATTTTGCGTGCTTTCCAATATGGCACATGGTGTTTTCAGAGGTCTCCCATCACAGAATTTACCAGGCCCTGCCCTGCTTTTCTTCAGTGGTCTGACAGGCTCTGGCTTTCACCTGCAGGTGGCGCCACAATGATTTTGTTAATCACTTATTCCTAGTGATGAGCCCTTCGATAAATCAATTGGTTGTTTACAATGCAGATATGTGATTCTGAGATCTAAATTTGAAGCAGAAAATTTGTAAGTGAAGTACGTGTACGTTTAGCTGGTTAGGCTGGTTTATGCTGAGTTTGGAACCACAAGACTGTGTGTGTGCGTGTATGTGTGTGTGTGTCTGTGTGTGAGTATGTGTGAGAGAGAGAAAGTGTACACAGAATATTGTTCAAAAGTGTATTTATTTCTGTCTTTCAATTTACAATGAGGGAGTAATTAATATATGACAGACTCATTCCATATTAAGTGACATATGCCAAGCCTTTGTTTGTTATAATGTTGATTATAGTTTACAGCCTATCTTCAAAATATTATAATAATCTGAGGTTTAATGGGGGTTTTAGGCTGTGATTCAATTATCAACATTATAGGTAAGTAAGTAATCTTCATTTATAAACCGCCTTTCACAGACCAGAGTCTCAAAGCGGTTTACAGTTGTGGGCATTTGTCCTCTCACTACTCAGAGACAGGAGATTGTGTTTATTATATTTGTTATAATAAACAAAATCTCACTTTGTATGTAAGTCATATTTTAGTTGGATTTCAGAAATAAATGGACTTTTGAACAATATTTCTATTTCCTAAGTTTGACCTAAATAAGGGTTTTACATCAGTCAAATTGAGTTAATGCTATTGACCTTGCTAGACATACCTGTTGTAAAAGCACTGTTTTCCAGAGGCCTGCTGTGTTTACCAAGGGCTTGTCTGCAAAAACACAAAACATTCACTGAAGGAGATTTCCCTATATAAAAAATTATGGTTGTTTAGCATCTTACCTTTTCTGGGAACAGCAGCACAGCAGCTTTGAGTTTTTGTACAAACATTTGGAATAACTTGAGTCGTTATTCTGAGTAAGTTTGTCCAAAACTATTAAAGCACATTGGATAAATCTGCATGTTGCTCCACAAACAGCTGCCTGGATAAACCGCAGGACTTAGCTGCTTGGATAAATAATAATAAAAGACTAAGCTAGATTGATATGGAGATAGTATGCTAACGCTAATGCTAACGCTAACGCTAATGCTAACGCTAATGCTAACCAGGCTGCCAGGGCTGCCCCTATGGCTGAACCACACATCCATGGGCTGAGGGCTGAACACAGGAGGACTGGTGAGTACCCCCACGTAATTTTTTAGTTTAAAAGTCAAAATTACGACTTTCTGCAGGCTTTTTTTTTCCATGGTGAAAATGGGTTTCCATGGGTTAGCATGGCATAAAGTCGAGAGTTCAAATACCACAAGAGTATTAAAACAAAAGTGCAATGCAATTCACAAACAGAAACATAGCTGAACATTTAATGAACGTATTACAGCTGTGCATATGACTAAGAGCAAAGTACAAATATGAGAATAGATTTTACATCGTTACACAGTGTGGAGACCTCAGCTGTTTTCATTTAATAGAAGTATATTTGGCAAGTAAAAGCATGTCATGAACAGCTACAGACATTTGACAGAACACCTTACAATAACTAGGCACAGGTTTGTCACAATGAATAGTATCCTCATTAGTATGTTTTACATCACATTACATGGCAAGTACAGCAGATCGCACTGAACGGTTTTGTCACTACCTAAACCCATGCAACTCCTCTTTTCTTTACATTACATAAACCATTCCTTATTTAAAGCGCTGAACCTAGCATAGCACATACAATATTCTCATTTACTTTCCATATTGATCCTGAAGCCCTTTGTGTACTCTACAAAGAAAATGTTTGTCTGGATGTTGCTTAGTATTTTCTCTGTAGAATACAAAAGGTCAAGGATACACCGGCTGCTGTAATTCTGCACACAAAACTAAACTGTTCAGTTTCAAAGTCATGGTTTGAGTTTTGTTCTGAAAGTCATTTTGCTGTCCCACATCCAGGTGGGGCGACATTTAACTATCAAACATCTTCTTTCTATCAGATTTGTCTTCAATGTTTTTACGCCAGTCTCCAACGTCGCGCAGCTGCTTGTCCTGTAACACAGAGGGGTGGGGGGTAAAGCATGGGTACGAGACTTAGAACAAGACCCTAGGACATTATAACGTTTTTATAGTCCACCTCCACAAATGCATCTGTTACCTGTTTTGTGTAGCCCACCTAAAGCGTATTATTTTTTCAATTAATTGAAAAATGTCATCTTAACGTAGCAGAGTTGGACCCAAGGCTCTTTGACAAACACTCACCTCCTCTTTGACCTCCTTCTTGACCTGCTTCAGGTTGGCCCTCAGATCCATGTTGACTGTGTGTTTGGAGCCCAGCAGAGCTTTGAGCATGGCGTCGGCAGACATACGCACTTTCTTCAGCCTGGGCCTCTTAAACTTACCCCTCAGATCCACTATCTTTATGTTAAGGTCTCTGACCTAAATAAAGAGGGGGATTCAGGACATTTTAACTTCAACAAAACAAGGTTAAGAATTGTGCTGTTTTCTCTCAAATCTCACCTCGTCAAGGACCATTCCGAGCTTGAACTCTAAACAGTACCTTTCTTCTTCACTAAGGTCGATCTCCTCATGAAGTTTTTCACATAGTGTCTAAAACACACAAGGTTTACTTGTCAGGATTAATGAATCGATCATATAATTCTTGTATCATTAGAGTCTTACTATAAGCTCTTCTTTGGAGTATGGCAGCTCTAAAGGGGGACACTTGTCTTTCAGAAATGTTTCTCTCTCCCCGGCCTTTACAGCAGCTTCATTTTCCAGTAAAGTGTTGGCCACAACTAGCATGCAGCTCTGGAAATGCACCATTGTCAAACAATAATATGAAATCCCCCTTCACCACTCACATACTAGATTTTACCTTTAGAGTGTGTTTGCGTCTTGCAGAGAGTCTTTTCCTGCAAACACAAGTTCATACTATGAATAAATCTGTGCCATCTCATTTAATTAGATTAAAACAATACTCACTCTGAGGCGGCCATCTTGGGGGCAGAAAACTTGTGCGATCTAAAACACAAAGTTACAATAAGGTAAGAACACATAGTATTTTAGAAACAAAAGTTTAGTAGAACTCCAGAGCCACAGCCTCCTCAGTGGCAAGGCACTAAGAGTGAAAGAGATGTGACCTGACTATCTTAAGGATTGTCCCATGCTGCTGATAACTTGGCAGAATGAGACAATACTCCTGGATTGTTACACCAATGGTACACAGGAGAAGCTCAGAGAAGAATGACAGCTCCTCCCTGTGGAAAGGAGCCAGTTGAGGTGGCTCAAACATCTTTTTGGCATGCCTCCCTGAGGAGGAGTTCTGGGCATGTCCATCGAGAGGAAGCCCATAGAGAGGACCCAGGACACACTGAAGGGTCTTACAGCTGGCCTGAGGGTAGTGTACATTGATCACATCCAATTCTGACTAAATCTGTCATAATAAATGTCCAAAAATAAAAACAAGTGGACTATATTTCTTTGAATAGTTTCACGTGGGGGCCTAATAATCAGTGCAATTGAAGAAAATTTCACGGAACTGTCCTGTACTACTGGCTTTGTGTTAATGCTGGCTTCAATCACTGCTATTTTTGGCTGCACCAGTAGCATAGCTGTGTCTCTCAGGGGTTACCATTGTGATCCACTACTGAAGATACTGGTACTGTAAATGTGGACCAGGGTAAAGGTAAGGGTGACTCGCGCTCCCGGATTGAAATGGGCCAGCAACAGGATAAAACTAAACATACATCTCTAGCTCTGTTTAAATACTGTATGTCTGAAAGTAAGCCTTGGTTTCTGATATCCTTTGCATAAGAGACCACCATGACAGCTCCCAGGACTATTACAACAATAATATAAAACACTTTCCCTTCTCAGCAGGAAGGTCTTGGGTTTGAGTCCTTGGTGAAATGGGAACGTATATTCTCCCTGGTTTCCCCTACCACTAAGCACATGGTTGGCAAGATAGGCTTTGGAGCAGGGGCTGCATTAGGGTTTCCTTATCCTTCCTAGTCTTTCCTTTTCATTTTATTGACGTTTGTGCCATCAAAAACCTCTTTACAAGGTGCTATATTTTACAGGACCAACCCCGGAGCTGCCTTTAGCAAACAAAAGGATGAGGAGGATGTATTTTAGCTGAATTCAAGGACTTCCCTGGAAAGGGGATTCTGAAATCTCAGTGGGACTTAAAGGACAATAGACATATGATGAAGTACATTTTAGGCTTTAAAAACAATATCCTGCTTTTCACGTTCAGTTAGGAAAAATGTATAGGTGCTTCATTGCTTTTACTCAAAAAGTAAGAAAGTAAAATGCCATAGATTTTCAGACGAATACTACATTTTTGTGCCATACAGGAGAATGATCCCACAGACAGCTGGAGCAAGCTGTGAAACATCCAATCGTCCAACGAGGTCACTGGGGTTCATAAATACAAAAGTGGGATACATGTATTGCGCAATGACTGATGCGATATTTTCCAATAGCACCTAATCTTGTTTTTGTGTAATAGTAATAATAGAGTTTAAATACATTTTATTGACTCTGCGTAATACTATGCTATACCAGATCAGGGAAGTTGGGTTTGGATTGTTTTATCATAATCCTAAATGAATACGGTCAATGTTTTTTGTGTTTACTTTTGGTCGTAAGTCTAGCTGAGCTCTCCAAGAATATCCATCCCATTCATTGAAAGATTTATAGCACAAATGTCTGTCTGCGGGACTTCTAACCTTAAGGACAGGCAGAGATAAAGCAGCAGACACTACTGGACTTGTTTGCAATTTTTAGGAGCTGGTGAGGACCTGGGGATTATCCTTCTATTCTCGTACCCACAGCTGTTGCTCACGTCTTCATTATACAGGGAAAAACAACAGGGGCTCGTCTTAAAAAGAAAAGACATCAACGGCTAAACACACAACCACTGCCGGCATTCATAGACTGTAGAGTGGGCTAACCGATTGCTCACCATAAAATTTACTGAACATATAGGAGCCAACTTACTTACATGGCCATTTTTTCGGTGGCATTAGCTTTGCGCTATAACAGTGTTGCTAAGACAGTTGCTAAAATAATCTGGAATTTCCCCCGTGAATGAAGGCATCTGATTGGTCACTCCTTATTTTTGATTTACAAGACCATATATATAGACACCTATTGTTTTTAAAGTCCAAAGTGCTGAGTGTGATACAAACGGTTACTGAGATCAAGGAATTTGCTTTTCAATGTAAATCAATCGAAGCCGAGCGAGTTGGAGCAAAACTTTGTCCATGAGCCCTTTTTCCTATTGGGCTTCATTGAGCTAGCGAGTTTGCATTGTCCATCCATGTAGAGTCTATAAACCCAGAGCGGCCCCGGGAACAAATGGCAACTGTCAACTGTTAACTAATAAAAGGCCAGGGATATCTCCAGGGATGTCAATGTATTTTCGGACACTCCACACTTGACACCATGTTGCCGCGGAGAAGAGAGTCAAATGTGATCCAAAATTCTGTCTTAAGTGGACTGTGGTGTGTATGTCATGAGCGATTGTCTCCTGAGTGAGAGTATGCGGTAACCCAACACTGTGGAACATCCCTCGGACAGCTAAGACATTAGAGCAGGGCGCCGAAATAACATGACCTCAGATGCACGATCACACTAGGAGAAGAAAGAATAAGCATCTGAAATTGGTTTACTAAAATAGCGCCGTGTTATAGGGCTATAAAAAAAGGCAATGGGAATACTTGACATTGAATAAGTTCATAGTTTTAAAAAGTCAATGAACATTCAGAGACCTTAGTTTGTAAATTAATTTAATACGATTTGAACCTTGCTAGAAGAGTGGTCCCACATTGCTTTTGCAGTATTTCAAGCGATTCATGCTGCTCTGAGTAACTCTGCAGGTCTGCTTTCATCCCTGTATCAGTCTAATTTTCTGGCCAAGTCAGACAAGTCAGAAAATATACTTGCATTGGCTAGCGTTAGTGAGTGAGGGAAGAATGGAGCGTGAGATTGACAGGCGGATCGGTGCAGCGTGCGCAGTTATGCGGTCGCTGTATCGGACCGTTGTGGTGAAGAGGGAGCTGAGCCGAAAGGCAAAGCTCTCGATTTACCGGTCAATCTTCGTTCCCTCCCTCACCTATGGTCATGAGCTTTGGGTAATGACCGAAAGAACGAGATCGCGGATACAAGCGGTCGAAATGAGCTTCCTCCGCAGAGTGGCTGGGCGCTCCCTTAGAGATAGGGTGAGGAGCTCAGTCACACGGGAGGAGCTCGGAGTAGAACCGCTGCTTCTCCACGTCGAGAGGAACCAGTTGAGGTGGCTCGGGCATCTGTTCCGGATGCTTCCTGGACGCCTCCCTGGGGAGGTGTTCCGGGCACGCCCCACCGGGAGGAGGCCCCGCGGAAGACCCAGGACACGCTGGAGGGACTATGTCTCTCAGCTGGCCTGGGAACGCCTTGGGGTCCCCCCGGACGAGCTGGAGGAAGTGTGTGTGGATAGGGAAGTCTGGGCGTCTCTGCTTAGACTGCTGCCCCCGCGACCCGGCAACGGATAAAGCGGAAGAAAATGGATGGATGGATGGATGGCTAGCGTTAAATAATAATCTTAAATATATAACATCATTACAAATTTGAATATACAGTACTTGCTAGACTTTAAGCCACTACTTTTTTCAACTTCAGTGATCTCTGCGGCCTGTAATGCGATGCAGCCAATATGTGTATTTTATATTTTGTTAGCTTTTCGTCGAAGCAGAGGAACAAATCTCAAGTATCTAGTGTTTATGTGAACAGCAGAGAGAGACAGGGAAATACACAGAATTTGATTTAAATGATTTGGCCCATTGTCAGAGCAGAGTTTATGGACTTATTATTTTGACTATTTGAATGTTTTAGTAGGAATGGGACACACATTTATTGTCAAAATAGGTTTTTTTGATCATCACGACTCAAGAGTGCGTTAAAACACCTCTTCATTAAATCATGTTGCGTCCAATCAAAGCAGTCTATCATCTTTGTTTTGCTTCATCAGCTGTTAAGTGTTACATTACAGCATGAAAACTTGCGGCTTAAATAAAATGCAGCCTATACTGGGACATTGAAGTACTTTCTTTTCAAATATAGCTGGTGCGGTTTTTTTCATATAGGTGCGCTTAATAGTCTAGCAAGTACTGTACATATGTCATGGTATGCTATCGTAGCTTTCAAGAGCAACATTTTGTCGTCTGAATTTATAGATATAATACCAAAAGTTTGTTGTTGTTGATGTAGATGACCAATGAGTCTTTATTTTTAGTGTAATTTAAAAAGGATTTTGGAATATTAAATCACGATACAATATTCACCCAGTCCCATCATGTGGAAATAATAATTCGCCCTCATGTTTTATCATGTCATTAACTAGGATTTGAATGAAGGAATGATGCCTATTTCTGTATTTCCAATCACAAGCAAACCAATGGACCGAAGACAATGGGGTTCTTAGCATGCTGTACCTTAAGTGTATCTATAAAAAATGTCTTTGGATGGTTGGCCACAGATTAGAGCAGATTCTCCTGCGTGACGGCACGGCGCTGACAGACGGATAAACACTACGGGTCGCTTTTCAAGTTGATGCCTTGTAGTGGTGTTTCCTTTCAGCGAGCCTCTTCACCAGCCCATACATCACACATATGCCACCGGGGGAGGCCGAAAAATGTCTGCGGGCTCTTCTCAAGTGGTCCTGCCTGGTGCCTTCACTAAGAACTGCAAGAACTACCGAGGCAAAGCACTCGACACAATTGGTTATTTTAACAACAACGACGCAGTTGGAATAATTGTGTTTTAGAAGTTGTTAACAAATTGACGCAATCTGAGTTGACACCAATTAGAAACAACTCATAAAATCTTTAAATTCCTGATAGTTAACGCCCAAGTGCTATGGATACCCTCCCACACTTCATACTACGTCGACAAATGTCAGGCCCTCTCAATAAAAGAGTCCACAAGTTTTTTAAATTAACTGAAACAACTTAAAATATTTGAGGTTGTTTTAGTACAAGCAGAATTAACGCTAACAATTAGTCTAAATTTGATGATTACATGATTTAATGAGGGTTATGGTCAGGACAAAGTGTAAAAATGTTAAATTCTAAAAGCAAATATTTGAAGGAATAACGGATGTATGTGTGTGCTCTATCAATATAGGTCCAGAGTGACTAACCTTATCCGAGAAGAGTGGCAGCTTATCCAGCAGCACAGACCAGTCCCAGAGTAGACTGAGTGCTAAGAAGGTATATATTGCGATCGCCAATAGCTTCTAAATCCTCTACTTTCTCTTTATGGAAGTGGATTACCGGTCAAACCAATGGGCTGGCAAGGTCATGAAATACAGTCCAGTGTCATCCGTCCCCTTCCTCGACCCGCCTCATTATAAATAACCCACCCTTTAAGATTGTCATTTGTATTATCTCGTCTTGTTCTGTTATATTCCGGACACAGCAGCCCCAAAGGCCATTTCTAATATGATGGTTTGTTCTTGTCTATTTCAAACGCTATTCCAAACAGAGTGGATGTGTCGTTTGTCATCTTACACGGTTTAAGTAATGTTCGTATTCTTTAAATAGACAAAACATACACAAATCTCGGTTAAAAGCTTAGGAAACTCACCGTGAGTTGTAGCAGCCAGCCGTTCTGGATTACTGTCAGCTACATGCCTGCACAGCAACAATAGGCTGAAACAGAAACCCCACATAGCAGAGCTTAGAGCGCTGTTATCATGTTATAAAGGAGGCCCATTTGGTCACAACAATTAAATTATTAAATACAAATGGGTATATTTGTAACGGAACAATTCTGTGAGATGGCTCAATACTCTTTAAACGTTTTTTCATCAATCTGATGTCAAAAGTTGGACCCCTGACATTCAATAAAAGATAGAGAACTAATAAAACTCACTCATTCAACACAACAAGAGACAGGCCCAAACACTCTCTGACCATACACCCCTCTCCCACTACTTCTTTTGAGTAGCTTTTAAAATTGTATCAGGTTTAAACTTGTTTATTTCATTCATCAAGTTGTTACAAATAGTAACTGCACGCCAAGTATGTCCAAACTAAGGCCCGCGGGCCAATTGCGGCCCTCTGCCCTGCTAACACAAAATGGTCTTTGACATCAAAAACACAAGTGTCATCCAGCCAACTTCAGCTCTGCCAACATGGGCTAGTTATACCTCACTCAGCTCAGGATCTCAGGATCTCTGAAGCCCAGCCCTTGACTTTGTTTGACTGTTCTCACATTTCTATTTGATTGTATGACACTAATGTATCTGGTGAGTAAACATTTGTCATTCAGTCAACTCCATCTCTGTCAAATGTGAACCAATATAGTAATATTAATTATCTATAATAACACATTTCACACTTTGACACAAAGCTCAGAACAGTCCGAATCCAATCATTCAATGTTATCGGCCCTTGAACAATGCTGTTAAACTAAAGTGGCCCTCATGCTAAAAAGGATGTTTGGACACCCTTGCTCCACGCAGAGATACACACTGAGTTTAAAGCAGATCTAAATATTGGACACACATAATGTTTCCCTCCATTTCAGCTGTACATTAGATGCAGAGAGTTTCCACATTCCCTGAGCATTATTTGAGCAGTTTTAAAGTTAACAATTTATTTTAATTCAAAGAACAGTGGGTTTGAAAAATGTCTAGAGGACATTAATATTCTTGGGTCATTCTAGATACAATCCAAATGGTTTATTTTAGTAGTGTGAATAATACTGTTTAGAAGTGACTTTTTCATAATTTAAACACATTTTGCCGTTTAGGATATTATAGTTACCTCTGATATCTTCCATCTGCATTCTTGTGACTTCCAGCCATGGTCATTTTATATCAGCCTGCTGAAATAAAGCACTTCTTAACTCAAAGAAAAGTGCTAAATCATGATCAATAACATTAAAGCTGGAGTACCTTACAAACAATTTTATTTGTTATCTTTATTTAACCAGAAAAGTCCCACCACTAAGATTTCAGAATCTCTTTTTCAGGGTAAAGATTCTGGCTCCAGAGATAAGGGAGCCACAATAAGTTTTTAGTCTTAGGGAAACACCGAGAACCCGGAGGAAACCTAGGTAGACACGGTGAAATCAACTCTCACTCAGCCAATCAGCTCTCAGTATGTAAAAGATAAAATGCTGAGAAAAGACAGCATATATTGGTCAAATCAGACCAATACATGCTGTTGAAAAGACTGAAACAAGGCTCTTTATGTTGGAACAAACAAAAAAGTTAGGTACTCCTGCTTATGTAGTATTTATCATTACCCACCTGTGTCTTCCTTCCTTCCTTGAAGAAGTGTGTTGCCAGTACAGTCAGTCACTTTGACACCATTAGAGGCTTTGCACATATTAAAACGGCAATCCCAAGGAAACAAAACTCGAACCTGGACTTGATCCACTGGAGTTCAATATCACACCACAAGAACCAGCAGTGACATCTAATCATTAACATGTTTGTCTCTTGGCCTAACCTTTGGGTCATTAGATCTAATGTCTCATGGTACAATTTATTTATGACATGATTATGCTGGTCAAATTGGCTTCTTCCATATTCGGCAAACACTATGGTGACACAGTGACCCACTTTTTGTCAAGTGGTCCAATAACTACTTCTTGCAATAGATGCAAATTTCCCATTCCTCATGCACGGACAATTTTAGTGCTTAAAAGACATGTTTACAGTCTAAAGTCTCGCTTCTTCTTAGATTCTAATCGTAATTTTGTTGAGTGAAATCACATGCATGTCTGTATAAATATCCTGGAAAAGGTTGAACTTTAAAAATACAGATATATTTTGAAACCTGCAACCTATATAGCGATGCAGCCAATGTACAGTATGTATAATTAATTGGGATAGAGTTGGCTGTTTTCTGAACAGAATTTCAGAATGCACTTTCTAAGTTTTCGTTTATTGTCAAAATAGAGTATTGTAAATGTGTCAGGGAGGGTAACAGTTAAGGTAAACGCTTATTAATTCAACAAGTAAAAGAACAATAAGATTGTGAAGTTTCTACAAATTTAAGTTTACTAAAATGTTACTATGAAGTCACCCACTTTTTTCACTAATGTCATTGGCAGCATTGGTCTATTTCCTATGTAATGTTACACACACACACACACACACACACACATATCTATTTTTTACACCTGTATTTTGAGTGTGAGAAAGTGAGATAGTAAAGCCTGATGAAAGTCCAAACATGTTCTTTATTGAGTCATTATTATGCACGTTGTGTGTGTAACATGCATTTCTATTAAGACAAGTAACAGGCCTGCTGAGGAGTAAATGGGAGTGGTAAGTCTGGGTCTAAGCCTCGGTCTCAAACATCTTCTTCCTTCCATCCATGCCAGACTTGTCTTCAATGTTTTTACGCCAGTCACCAACGTCCCGCAGATCTTTATCCTGAAACAAAGTCACATTAAGTCAATTTAATATTCTAAATTAGTATTCTTCAAAACATTTATTGCTCCAGCACGGAAAACAAATTATGTTTCAAAAACATATTCAACAATGTAGTGCTCTCTATGATCCTGGTGTTTATATTTTGACATTGTCTTTTTAATACAGATATGAGCCATATAAGGATTGACCAATCAGATGCCTTCATTCACAGGGGAAACTCCAGCTAGCCTTAGCAATCGTCTTATGGTGCTTTCAGACCGGATCATGCGTTGCGTCGGTTTTCAATGCAAAGTCTATGGTGACGCGCGTTCGAGCGTCAAAACGCACGAACATCTCGGGACGGACTGTTCAGTAGAGACGCACGGACTGCGCAGGAAAGTTGAAGGGGAGGAGCAGGAGCGGAAAATGGACGCCCACAAACTTTGCTCAACCTTTCCTCGGGACGTTCGTGCAGCAACCAATCAGAGAGCCGCAAAGTGGTCACGGGGACATTAGTGGTCTGAGCGAGCAGACTGAAAATACTGTAAACAGCCAAAACAGGAGCTACACCTCGACTTAAAACCAGGGTTGACAATGGGGGACTGTATGCTTGTGAATATATGCGTTGTCATAAAAACAAAATAGGAGCAAATAAACTATTTCTTAGATACTTGCCTCATCTTTGACCTCCTTCTTGACCTGTTTGAGGTTGGCCCTCAGCTCCATGTTGACCGTGTGTTTGGAGCCCAGCAGAGCTTTGAGCATGGCGTCAGCGGACATACGTACTTTCCTCAAAACTGGCTTCTTAAATTTGCCCATCAGATCCTGAACTTTGATCTTCAGGTCATCAATCTAAAAAGATGCACACGTTTGTCAATAGAATCTGGACAAAAAAAAACAGAGAAAGAAAATATCCAGTTGCAGTTGTGTACCTCTTTGTTTGACTTGTTAACTTTATTTTCCAAGTCGTATCTCTCCTCATCAATCACATCAATTTTGCGGTGGATTTCTCTGCACAATTCCTGACAACAAACAATGATAAAGCACATTTCAGGACACTCAAAGACGCATCACATGTCATTATTGATTCACTCCATATACAATGGTGATTAGCTACTTCTACAGCCACGGTTGCCCTGGGGTACAATGACAGAAGCGAGGCTACCAGTATGTGCCATCGTCCCCTCTAATCAATCAATCTTTATTTATAGGGCGCTTTTCCTGCACAGGGCAACACAAAGCGCCTCACAGTCCACACCACACAATGCACAAATCATCACCATTAAAATACAATTAAAAACACATATGTAATTAAAAAGCATTAAAATCACATAAGTAATTTAAAAACATAAGAATCACACAAGTAATTAAAAACAATAAAATAGTTAAAAACACAAAAAGTTACAACAATAAATAACAAGGTGTGTTAAAAAGATAAAATTCTTTAGTTGTATGCACAGGAAAAAAGAAAAGTCTTTAACATGGATTTGAACATTGACAGAGAGGCAGCCAGTCTCACATCCTCAGGAAGACTGTTCCAGACTTTAGCTGCATAAATCTGAAAAGACCACCACCATTCATTCACACTGCAGACTCATTCCGGTCTTGCCTAAGGACATTAGTTTGGCACTTTACAGCAGCAGCCTCCCCATTCTGGCATCTAGTATTCCCAGAGGTCTCCCATCACAGTAGTAACCAAGTGCTTATACAGTTAACTTGGGGCACAGCATTGCACAATTATGTATGTTGTGTGGCAGTTTGAAAGGAAAGCTGACTACTGTGTCGGAAACATCCCTGAAGTGATTTTTACTGACAGCTTCAAACAAACACCAACTTTTTCTTTTACTGACTGTCATAAAAAGCATTCTCAATGTTTTACCACTGAAATGTTTGTACCATCTAACAACATCTTTATTTCCTAGCGGCTGCGTGTCCCGTGCATCTGCTCTGACAGTCTTGGCTCCTGCTCAGTGCCACTCAAATACCAGCCACTGTCGGCTCTGCCACCGGAGCCAATCCACAGTCCACAGAGGTATGTGATATTAAGCACATAATAAATGCCAGTACACAGGGAGCTCACGTCGTATCAAAAAGGCCATTAAAACAATTTATCCGGCTTTCAAATCAAAAGTCTGACATTTTCCGTACGAGGAGAAGTAGGTCAGGTGGAGTATTTGTGGTTTGGCTTGAGCTGTGTGATATGAGGACGTGTGGTAAGATCAAATCGAATCTTGGCCCATTCTAAATCATTTTAAATCCAGAGTTATTGTGGATCTATTCTTCATCCTGCAGCTCATGAGGCATTGGCTTTGACTGAAAAGAGAATGTGCCAAACCTCAATGCATACTACATTTGTTAAAGCCTCTGCATTACAGGATACAAACCCGATGGATGATTTTCTGTATGGTTCACAGAGGGGTCATGCTTTTCCGACACCAAAATGGGTATATTTTGTCATTTAACTTTAACTTATTTCAGTAAAGAAAAATGACAATGGATGTAAACGTCCGGTTTTTACTGTATAGAATTGATCAAACATCACCTGTGTGTTGTGTTTCACCCACTGTTTCTGCAGACATTTTCCATCCTCAACCTTTGTTTTCTTTCCTGCTTTCTCTCAAACTTGTAAGCTCTCAATTCTTAGTTTGTTACAGGTTGGCATGGGTATTACATTGGAATGTATTATATTATCTTGATAAGGTATTGCAGCTCAAACCCTTTCCACATGGCCAAGGCCCCCACTGGGGCTGTACAGGGGATTTTCTCATAGACCTCAATGTCAACTAAAACGGCTTGTCCTCAGCTGACAGGAAACCTATAGCCTCACACTCAGAGAACCAGACCTGGCCAAATGCGTCACTTCCGCTTATGTGTGGCCATTGATTTGAATGAGCAGACATAGAAAAAGCTGTTTTGAGCCACACTTGTACGATTCAGTCACTTCTTACTTGTAACTCCTGCATGTTACGGGGGAATGACGGGTCAGGGCAGTTTTCCTGCATGTACTGCTCCCTCTGCACCTCGCGCTCTCTCTCTTCTTCCTCCAGAAGCCCTTTGGCAATGGACAGCATCAGACTCTGCCAGGGGAAAAACCAGTGAGTAAATCAAGGCATCGCCACCTCCTCCATGTCCGTGTACTGCTTGGGTTCTAAGGATGGCCTACCTTTATGTGATGCTTCCGACTCGAGGACATCTTTTTTCTTTATTCAAAAAATAAATAAAAAGTATACAGCAACATTGGTAAACACTACAACATCATCCGCCCCCTTGAACCTTTCAACATTTTGCCACATTTCAGGCTTCAAACATAAAGATATAAAAACGTCTTCATGGTTCTCTCTGCGCTTTAAACAGAACCCTGAGACGAGCAGTCTCCATATAAAGAGCAGGTGCATTTATATGTTGACTTGATTACACACAGGTGCATTCTATTTATCATCATCAGTCATTTAGGACAACATTGGATCATTCAAAGATCCTCACTGAACTTCTGGAGTGAGTTTGCTGCACTGAAAGAAAAGGGGCCGAATAATATTGCACGCCCCACTTTTCAGTTTTTTATTTGTTAAAAAAGTTTAAATTATCCAATACATTTCGTTCCACTTCACGATTGTGTCCCACTTGTTGTTGATTCATGACAAAAAATAAAATTTGTATATCTTTATGTTTGAAGCCTGAAATGTGTCGAAATGTTGAAAGGTTCAACTTTCGCAAGGCACTGTATATATTGTATAAACACACATTCATGCAAAGGAAGAAGGAATACTCACTCTGACATGATGGCGGTTTCTCTCACGTCACTCCCTAGGAAAACAAAATCTTATTCAATCCACTTTATTTATATAGCACATTTTATTAAAGTTACCAAAGGGCTGCACAGAGGCATAAATTACCGAATTAAATATACAAGTCTGCCATCTTCATGAAAAATATGTATATAAATATAAATTGATACAACAATATACAACGATTCAACAAGTAAAAAGTAAAAATAAAAACTATAAACAAAATAAAACACAGAGGACAATACTACTCACACTGCGTCCAAATCCAGACGTAAGCAATGATAAAATAAAGATAAAATAAAATCTAAGACGAGACTTAAAACATTCCAACGAGGAAGCTATTTTGACATGGAGAGGCAGAGTGTTCCATAACTTTGTCCCCCTGGGTTTTAAGTGTTGTCTTAGGCACCACGAGCTGGAGCTGGCGCTTGGACCTCAGCATGCGGGGCAGGTGATGGATTTGTATGAGGCTTTACAAACAAACAACATTTTTAAATTAAGTGCAAAGAAGCTAGATTCTGAAAAAATCTGTGAACAACAGTGTTTAGCTTAATATATACAGCAAATTAAAAACTGAAAAGTGGGGCATGCAATATTATGCGGCCCCTTTACTTTCAGTGCAGCAAACTCACTCCAGAAGTTCAGTGAGGATCTTTGAATGATCCAATGTTGTCCTAAATGACTGATGATGATAAATAGAATGCACCTGTGTGTAATCAAGTCTCCGTATAAATGCACCTGCTCTTTGATAGTCTCAGGGTTCTGTTTAAAGCGCAGAGAGAACCATGAAGACAAAGGAACACACCAGGCAGGTCCGAGATACTGTTGTGGAGAAGTTTAAAACCGGATTTGGATACAAAACGATTTCCCAAGCTTTAAACATCTCAAGGAGCACTGTGCAAGCAATTATATTGAAATGGAAGGAGTATCAGACCACTGCAAATCTACCAAGACCCGGCCGTCCCTACAAACTTTCATCTCAAACAAGGAGAAGACTGATCAGAGATGCAGTCAAGAGGCCCATGATCACTCTGGATGAACTGCAGATAACTACAGCTGAGGTGGGAGAGTCTGTCCATAGGACAACAATCAGTCGTGCACTGCACAAATCTGGCCTTTATGGAAGAGTGGCAAGAAGAAAGCCATTTCTCAAAGATATCTATAAAAAGTCTCGTTTAAAGTTTGCCACAAGCCACCTGGGAGACACACCAAACATGTGGAAGAAGGTGCTCTGGTCAGATGAAACCAAAATCAAACTTTTTGGCCACAATGCAAAACGATATGTTTGGCGTAAAAGCAACACAGCTCATCACCCTGAACACACCATCCCCACTGTCAAACATGGTGGTGGCAGCATCATGGTTTGGGCCTGCTTTTCTTCAGCAGGGCCAGGGAAGATGGCTAAAATTGATGGGAAGATGGATGGAGCCAAATACAGGACCATTCTGGAAGAAAACCTGTTGGAGTCTGCAAAAGACCTGAGACTGGGACGGAGATTTATCTTCCAACAGGACAATGATCCAAAACATAAAGCCAAATCTACAATGGAATGGTTCAAAAATAGACGTATCCATGTGTTAGAATGGCCAAGTCAAAGTCCAGACCTGAATCCAATCGAGAATCTGTGGAAAGAGCTGAAGACTGCTGTTCACAAACGCTCTCCATCCAACCTCACTGAGCTCGAGCTGTTTTGCAAGGAAGAATGGGCAAGAATTCCAGTCTCTCGATGTGCAAAACTCATAGAGACTTACCCCAAGCGACTTGCAGCTGTAATTGCAGCAAAAGGTGGCGCTACAAAGTATTAGCGCAAGGGGGCCGAATAATATTGCACGCCCCACTTTTCAGTTTTTTATTTGTTAAAAAAGTTTAAATTATCCAATAAATTTCGTTCCACTTCACGATTGTGTCCCACTTGTTGTTGATTCTTGACAAAAAAAATATTTTTTATATCTTTATGTTTGAAGCCTGAAATGTGGCAAAATGTTGAAATACTTTCTTAAGGCACTGTAGTTGTATGTCAATCAGTATAAAATGATTGACATATTCAGTCAACAGCCGGTTTTCTGAAAAATTAATTGCAGGAAAAAAAGAATACTAGGATACTATCACACTCGGATAAAAAAAATAATCCTAGTGAGATAGACGCAATGAGAGAGATCTTATTGAAAACGTTTGTGTCTGTATCTGGTATCAGTGTTGTACTTGTTCTTGAGCTGTGAGTTTGGGCAGGCAGCTTAGTCTTGGTAGATTTGCAGTTGTGATGAATGTTTGTATAACATCCACTGTGCTGGCCCTTTATTCTGTTATTTGTTTTATTTTTTAAGAACAAAATCATGTATAATTTTGCTTATACCAAACTGTTATCTGTTACATTCTTGTGGTCTTTAATTTAAAAAGAAAATCCAAAATTAAATGGTTATGTTTGTATATACACATAATCACTGGGTGCAAAGGGTCATGCCAGTCTGAGGATGACCTGGACAGAAATACCCCCTGCTTCATACCCCCTGCTTCATATTTTCCCAATATCAACTGCACTTAGAAGTAACACGAAACCAAGTCAAGCATCATCAAGTCCGCCTTAAGGAAAAGGCCTTGTCTATATCGGGGGGGTCCAGTTGTCTCACTCGGGAATCATTGTAATGAAAGGTCTGTCTTCTGAGAGATTATCTAAAACATTTGATAGCTCCTCTGTTAGTCCAAACATCTTGGACGTGGCACGGATGTTGGCTGGACTTTAAAAATAGGCTCTTGCAAACAATTTAAGCGGCAGCTTTACTTAGCTGCTCTTTTCTAAAATGGAAAATTAAACATTATCAAATAAGAGCTCACTAAGTTGTTCCTTGCCGATGCAGGAGGGTGATGATTCGGGACATTTAGGGATATTTATTGTCATCCTATGGACCCCCTATATGTTATTGTGGCATTTCCTGTGTGCCAATGTTGTTGGTGAATAGACAACTTTGTAAAGTTCTACGAGACAACTGCTGTTGTGATACAAAAATAGATGTAATTGAATTAACGTGTAGCTCAGTATACAATAAAGATAAGAATCTGTAATCATCCCACAGTAGGGACATTTCGAATCATTTACATATTCATGTCGTATAGTTCATTGAAAAAAAAGACACAAAAAAGAAATTCTCAGTAGACAAGAATACATCAGTCATAACCAATTATGTTAGGCCAAAAATGTTTTGCATGAGACATTATGCCAGAACAATATTTACTGGGGAAGAAATACATAAAATATGGGGTATCAAACTTTTATTGAAACCAGAAAGAATATGTTTTGTTTGTTCCAAAAGAAAGAATCTTGCAAAACCTTGTAAGCTTTATTTTTATAGCGCTTTTCACAGACCAAGGTCACACAAAGCACCCTCATCTTCCAGCCACATATTTTACATGATTATTATTTTAGTAGTAGGAGAAACTGGAGAACATGCAAACTCCACACATAAAGCCCTGGAAAAAAATCATGCTGAACACATGTTATCGTTTACATACTGTACGTGCAAGAATGAATTTGGCCTGAGAGCTAGTTAATTGTTTTCTTTTTTTGAAAAATGGCCAAGAAATATTTGTATGTAGAAAACTAGTGATAATGTTTTCAGGACGAGGGACTAGTTAGAGAAGATTGTATGACATTGTGTGGTTTGAAAGTCAGGTACCCCGACTTTCAAACTTGTCTGTGTCTTGTCTGTCTGTGTCTTGTCTCTGCCTGTCTGTCTCTGTCCGTTTGTGTCTTGTCTGTCTGTCTCGGTCTGTGTCTTGTCTCTGTCTGTGTCTTGTCTGTGTCTGTCTTGTCTGTCTCTGTCTGTCTGTGTCTGTGACTTGCCTATCTGTCTGTCTCGGTCTGTGTCTTGTCTGTCTGTGTCTTGTCTGTCTCTGTCTTGTCTGTCTCTGTCTTGTCTGTCTCTGTCTGTCTGTCTCTGTCTGTCTGTCCCTGTCTGTCTGTCCCTGCCTGTGTCTTGTCTCTCTCTGTGTCTCTGTCTGTCTGTCCCTGTCTGTATGTCTCTGTCTGTCTGTCTCGGTCAATTTATTCAATAAAAATCCACCATTGGAAATCACAAATATGCAGCATTCATGGTAATATATTATTATAGATTCTGGCATGTTATACCTCATATTAAAGCTATTGTTTTCAAGAAAAGTCGTTTACTTTATTCTAATTTTGGGACATAACATTTAATTACATTTAAGATAAAATTATAACAATGATTGACATATCAATCTGCAATGGCAAAACTTCTTCACCTCCAGTTTTGGTTCAACCCAAAAACAAACAGTAACTTCAAACAAATAAACCTGGAAATATTAACCAACCTCATGGCATATAAATGTATTGTCAAATTACCTTCATGTAAAAAATAAGTGTAAACAAAATTCTTAACTTTCCACTAAGAAAACCAACAAAAATGAGTTTGACACCCCTGCACTCAACTCTCAACACATCGCTTCCTGTGATCGTTCCGGTCGGTGACAGTAAATCATTCCAAACTCAATGCGATGACACTGCGTTAAACCTTAAGGCTCTTGTCTTTCACCTTAAACAACCTCACGCCCCGGTCCAAAACGCTTTCATTGAAACAACAGACATCACATGTTTTTCCACAACACAAACATCACAAACAAATAGATGCAGAAATATACATAGTTAAACATAACAATGTTGATAGAATACATATAGCGCCATGTAGGAGAAGAGGCTGTATGTCCTACCTTAACGGATGGAAACCGAGGTTCGAGACTTTGGGAAGGACGTTTCTTTGGCCGGATAACTCGGTTTATATTGCATTCCCCAAAGGCAAAGGGAACCCCATCATTCTCAGTATGGAAGTACATTTTCTGCAGACCAATGGGCAGTGCGGCATCTGAAATGTTAGATGTGACCCCACACCCAGCCCACTCTCTCCTCCTCATGCGTCTATTATAAAACCCTTTCCCCAAGAGTATTGTTATTTGTTCTCGCCTCGCAAAAATGAAAACATTGTCAGGGTAAAAATAAGAAAAGATAAGATAAGAATTATTAGAAAAGGTCAACAGATATATCTAGTTATGTAGCAAGGACTTCTTTGAAATCATTGTTTTGGCATTTTAAATGGTTGAGCCTTCTCGGTGAGTAAGATGCAGCAAAAGGCAAGTGATGAAAGTCGGAGAGGCAGCAGGTGGAAGGGATAAGTGGGCTTTCTAAACAGTCATTAAAGAGGCTATAAGCAGAGTATTAAGACAACGCCAACAGGAGATGGGGTAACGTAATACAGGGAAAATGGCCGACAGGCATACCGAGATAATTTATTTGGATGTGTTTCATTTTCTTCTTCATTGGGTGTTCAAATACAACTATTCTTCCTGGAGTCAAACAGAGGGCATGGAGAGAAATACAGGAAAATATTTGCACTTTTATCCCTTTGTGCTTCAAATCAGACTACCGGCACTTAATGCGGTCTTCATCTTCATAGAAAACAGGTTATGGTTTTCATACTTGTAAGAATGAATATGGGGTGAGAGCTAATTGTTTGAGCAAGAGCGGCTTTTTTGTTTGTCTGAAGATTGTGACAATCTTTTATTAAGTATGAAAACCATAACCTGTTTTCTATGAAGATGAAGACCGCATTAAGTGCCGGTAGTCTGATTTGAAGCACAAAGGGATAAAAGTGCAAATATTTTCCTGTATTTCTCTCCATGCCCTCTGTTTGCCTCCGTCACGGAGGCCAAATGTATGTAAAAAAAACTAATGATAGAATCAAGCTGTTTTGAGAGTGAGGAACGAGTTAAATGATTGTACTGTATTCATTTTTTCTAGTTTTAAAGTTAGGTACCCCAGCTTCAAACAAACTCAAAATTTTTCTTTTTACTTCTGTGCCAACTTTTATTTGCACTGCCCTCGTCCAGATTATAGGTTCTCTTTCTCAATGACCAGATAAAGCTCTTACTGAGTGTTTTTTTGGTCATGTTGTATGTTCCTGTGACGTCTTGTACTGTGTTTTACAGTTTTCTCCGTTTTCTGTCTGAAAACTACATTATGGACTGGGGCGAGGCAAATATCATGGGGCTGAGAACAACAAACACTGACACTGGATCAATGAGCCCCCAGGACTTTGTACCCAGAGGAGCGGACTGTTTTACTCTCACACCTGCGATTGTGTCCTGAAAAAAAGTTGTTTCTTGTGGTAAAAAGGCAGTCACAGGTAAAACTGTGTGAAACAGGTATCAAGACACGTCACAGGAACTTGATGTGACCCCGGTGTCCTAGACTTCACACACATTCCCCAGAATGAGTCTAGTGTGTGTGTGTGGATGGTTGATGGCGGTTGGACGGGCCGATAGTGCATACTGGTTGCCTCGCTTCTCTCAGTGTGCCCCAGGGCTCCACACTCACACTGAAAAATAAATAATGTGAGTGTCCAATAAAGCACTATATCAAACTGCCTACAGCTAAGAAAAAAAGTCTTACAAACAATAATGGATCAGAAGACCAAACCAATTTGTTATGATTAAATGTCGATTGACAAGGGTTTTTAAATGGCCAATTGCAGTTTTATTTATTTTTTAAGTTATGCCAGGTGGAATTGTTTTTGAAAAATATACAGGAGGTTTGTGCAATTGCTAATGCACTAGTTGGCAATATTGACATGTAAAGAGGTTATTAAAGGTAAAGGTGCACTTTATTGATCCTCGTATAGGGCAATTCATCTTCTGCATTTGACCCATCCTGATGCCTCTTAGGCTCACGTCAGGAGCAGTGGTCGCCATAGTAACAGCGCCCGGGAATCCATCTCCAGATGAGATGCTCGGCTTGGTAAGGACTACCAGAGCTGGAGGATTTTACCGAGTGAGCATGTTTTTAGTGGTAGGGGAAACCGGAGTACCCAAAGGAAACCTACGCAAGCACAGGGAGAACATGCAAACTCCACTCAGAAAGACCGCGTTCCGACCGGGATATAAAATGTTAATTCATTTGAGTTAATAAAAGATCAGTTGAGACAAAACCCATGAACTTTCTCTTTATTAGGTGAACAGTACAAATATATCTGATTTAAGAAACGTGGTAAATACATTGCTTCACAGATCTCAACATCATAGTCACTGAGAACATTCGGGGCCACTGAGATATCACCTGAGAACAAGTTAGAAAACCATTTAGATGGTGAAAGGTGGAGGTAATTCTTTACAAAAACACTGAAAATTATGACTTATAATATTTAATCTTGAAGTATTTAACACATTTAATTCTCATCACCAACTGAAACTGTACACACACAATCAGAACTATAGTACAGCCAGGACAACTTTGCACAATTGCCATGGTTCTTAGTCAATAGTCTTTTGCAAAAATAAAGGAAAAATGTCAATAATGAGAATTTTACAACATACCATTAAAAGTCTCGAGTTTCCATATACAAAGTGTGCAATTGTCACCGTACGGTCACAAAACAACTCCAAACAAGGCACCATACTTTTAGCATCAATTTCTACATTGAGATTTACTGTGCTCCATGGGAATAGTTCAGTTTGACACAATGTCTTACAAAATATAGGTTTTATTAAGACTCAAGTCCATAAGAAAATATACACGTCAGGATTTCCACTGTTGTACAACGCTCAGTGTTTATGGGGGATGTGCAATGTTTGGGGTAAAGACTGGATTGTTGAATCTACTTGAATATAGTTTGGCCTTTTTTATCAAATTCTCCACTTTTTCTCGGAGCTGGTCGAACGCTTCATCCATCTCACCCAATTAGTTCAAGTTTTGTACAGACATGGGAAATATTAACATAAGCAAACCAATGATCGATCCATCATAAAGGCGCTGAATCTAAATGCGTTGGCTGGGGTCAATTCAAACATTAAAGCAGGGTGTCAAACCGGCTCCAGTCCAGTCTTAAACTGAAGACTCGAGAAAAATGGGTTTGAGTTTGGTGTGCTTGGAATTAAAACCTACCTTCTGAAGACTGCTTCGACACACCATGCATTAAAGTAACCATACAAATGTAGGATATGTTAGTATTCAAAACCACATGGCTGCATGTTTAACTAAGTTTTCCCCATGAACAAAATACAGTACACAAAAGTTGTTCCCTCCCCATAACAACTATTGCATGTTTATCAATATATTGCCTCGCCTCTAGTTAATATTACACTATACTATGGTAATCAATAATTATCCATCCATTTTCCTCTGTTAGATCCATTAGCAGGGCGCGGGGGCAGCAATCGAAGCAGACCTGCCTATCCACATACACTTCCTCCAGTTCATCTGGGGGAATCCTGAGGCGTTCCAAGGCCAGCTGCGAGACATAGTCCCTCCAACGTGTCCTAGGTCTTCCCAGGGGTCTCCTGCCGATATCAATAATTTAGCTGCCGAGCCCACCTCAAAACTTTATCTTTTTATAAACAGCAGACCAGCACACAGGGATAAGACGTAGCGGCAACAACTTGCATTGTGGGTAATTGTATGTTTAGTGCAAATATATCTCTTGCAGCATTGACCCTGAATTGGCTTTCAGTGGCACAGACACCAGACAATACTGACGACCCAGAGATTCACACCAAGATCACTGCACACAGACACCGAATCACATGAGCACCACAAAAAGATACACGCTTCCTCACAGAGGACACAATCTGGTCATTACACCTCTTGCAAAAAAAGAAAACATGACAGAGATAATAAATGTGTCCATGTGCAGTAGTTCATATCCATTCATCGTCCCGTCAGTGGTAATTGAACCAATGGTGTTGTAGCCCATACAGCAAATATAGCAGCCATTTCAAATTCAACCAGGAGATTCTTCACTACCACTCAAAATAAAATAATATCAAGTAAAAATATGCATCAAGTTTGAATAATATTTAACCTAAAATACATGTTACCATAAAATGTAGTCATGCATGATTCAGGGCAAGTCAATTTGACCATAGTATGTCACATAGTAGGCTAAAAAAATATTCCACAACTGAATTTCTGTAAATAATAGTTATGAAAAAAAAAATCCAGACAAAGCGCTTTGTACAAAATAAAGCCTTCTAGTTTTCCACTGTCAACCCATTACTGAGAAAGTTTGGCTGTACCATTTTTCATAGCAAAATACAACATTATTCTCCTGTCGTATCTGAATGACATCAATTACCTCTTTCAGCAGACAGAACTCAAGCAACATTACATCAATTAAACAGCTAGCTCTTTCACATCTGTACACCCTGAAACTGTAAACAAGACTATTTTCCCAATCACATTTACAGATACAAAGACTATGTCAAGATTTACGACCACTGAACCCACATGGGACAAATATTTGCAGCTGGACCATGTTGGTCAGTAAATCAGTGTTATTGTTAATCATGTCCACGCAACTTTGCGGGAGATGGCCTGCTTGAAGCATTCAGGGTCCACATTGCCCCCAGGTCGTAGGGCTTTTTCCAGGCTGACCAAGACATTCTGATGGCACTCCCTGATGTTCACCGGATACTTGGCTCTAACCAGTTCATAGGCAGCAATAAGCCTCATGTTTTGCTTCACCATTAGGTATTGAATAATACAGGTAGGAGCGAGGGAAAACCCGTCCCGACAGTGAACCAGGACCCTCTTCTTCTTCTCTGTAGAAGCGTCAATGCATTCATTAATGTCCTCAAAGCAGCGCTGTTTTAAGGCGGGACCACCCCCCAGAGCGTCTGGTACATCACCGATATCCACCTTCAGTCGAGACCAGCTGTGGCGCGCCCCTCGAGAGCATGTGCAAGGGATGAGGTTGAGATTTGGACCAGATTCACCCAGGACGTTACTCATGTCTATTATACTGTCTATGTTGTTGCGACACAAAGTGCGCCCATTGTAAGCAGCATTAAGATTCCCAACAAAAATGTAATCAGTTACTTTGGAAATGACCGGTTCTGAGTACTGAAAGTGCTCGCTGGATTTGGGGTCAGGAACATCCGGCCTTCTAGCTCCAGCGGGACCTGTAGCAGCTCTTCGACTGTAGTTACGCAGTTTTTTGGAACCAGAGCGCGATGGCGGGTTGGATTCAGACTCTGAGCTGCTGTTCCAGGGTGGAGAAAATAGGGAGAAGCGACTCGAGGACTTGTTTTTGTTGAGGAACTCCACAGGACTGGATAGGCCCGAACTGGAGGCTGAGGCGCAGAACAGCGAGGCGCGCTCCAGAGAACCAGTGCTGCTGGCTGCCCCTGCACTGTGTGCCTGCTCCATCTGAAACACACACCCACAGGGTAGTTCATTTGGATTTCATTAAAACATCCATAATATTTACAATCCAACAGCTGCCAATAATAACTGAGCAGAGCCAAGGAAAACACTTCAGGTATCGCTCATAACCACACCCAGTAAAAACATTAATTAGTAAGCACACTTGCTGTAAAAGTTCTGTAAATATTGTCCACTTATTCAAAAGTGCCCTAATCTTTTCCTACAATTACTTTCCCTAGAACAATGTAAAGACAGATATACTTGTATGTCCTCCTGCCTGGAGCAGACTTACTAACCACTAAAACTACAAAGTCTCTTGTCTTGACACAGACTTCATATCTGTGATTATACCTGAGCTTTGAGGTTGTTCTTCCATTCCTGCGTCTCCAGTGCTTTAAATCGCCCACTGCTGTCTGAGGAGACAGACACACAGAGGGGTCTGTGCAGCCTGGGGGGCAGCTGAGGTGTCAGAGCCACTTGGACAGGGCGCACGTCGATTTGGTCGTGCCTGTTCATCATCAAGTCAGGACAGGAACCTGAGATGAGAGAAGGATTAAAACATTAACGAGGAGTGTATCAGTGGCCAGGATATAAATAATTTTCCAAGAAACAATTTCATACCTGCACATTCAGAGCGTGTGATGGACTGTATTTGAAGTGTGTTCTGAGTTTTAAACAAGCTTTTCACTATACCTACAAAGACATGGCGTGGGATTAACATGTGGAATTGGAACATATGACAGTGTAGTTAGACATAACCATAGAGTTCTTACCAATCCGCCCATTCTGCTTTTGAAGGACCTTTTTATCAAGGAGTTTATGAGCACTGTGTTTGTTCCACTCTTCCTCGGTTCCCATGATTCTCCTGCTGATAGGGGCACAAAAAGTTGTCTCAAGCGACCCCCCATCTTTGTAACTCTGAGCGACACTTCACCTCCATGAGATGCCCCCCACATCTCTGTGCAGGGACGCGAGCATTCGCAGCTACGTTAGCCGCTAGGTGTGCTAACAAAGCTAGCTCTTTTATTAGCTTATGGTTTGTAAATCATTTTGGCATATCATTGCAAACTAGTGCCAAACGTATTTTAAAATGCACCTGTAGAGAGTGTGCAAAATGTCGACAATGGCATCATTCTTGTGTCATCTTCTTGCTCAGATATAGCCATCATTAGCGAGCTCCCCTCTGGTTCTTGGCAGCACAGTCCACAGAGCTGTATTTGGTGCAAATTCACGCTTGAAGTAAGTCAGCTGCTAGACATCAAGAGCAAGTGACAGCGACAAGCACTTATAATGTGATAATGTATGCGGTGCTCGATGCTGGCAGGCCTCCGAACTGCTCCGCCAGCCGAGCATCTTCTCCGCCTTGAGCCCGACCAGCTGAACGACACTGCGGCTGTGTCCTGCACTAATCCCTGCACACTGTCTCGCAGGATAAAACCACCTATTCTAGTGTCTAGTATTTCTCATTCCAACTATATTAGTGTCTTTTCATCTTCATATAAAACACAAAATCTATTAATAGTAGAACTATTGTTGTACACTGTTAGAAATTGTTAATTTTGGAGAATGTTGATTCCTGTAAGTCTTAACTTCGGGAAATAGTTTACCGCAGAGCGAAGTTCTGATGTTGCTCATAGTCCTCATATTAACAGCAGTGCAGTGTTACACAAGTAACCAAGTTACATTACAAAATGGAAAACTTGTATTTTACTCGCTACAATCAAAGTAAAAATTAAATTACATGCATACTGAGGGCTTGTTCATACTTATTGGCCTGGTTCACTTTAATTTGACCTGTTCTGTTTTGGGGGGGGCAAAGTGCTGTACATGTAATTGTGGAAGTAAACAGAAAAGCGCATGGCACTTAACGCGTGTCTTTTTAAATAGATTTGTAAAACTTTCCCCTAGAATGCATCCCCTTTTTTATTTATTTCAAACATGCACAAGATATTATACAAACAATTATTCACAGAAAAATATGATTATAAGAGAAAACAAGAAAACCTGTGCATGGTTTGAAAAGGGATTGGTCAAAGCAATTTTTTTTATTTTAATCCAATCCCGTTCAATAAAACACTATGACAGACAATGATATACACAGATTATCACCAATGGCAAGAAAAAAGACAAGACCAAGACACAAGATGCTCTTATTCACACAGACGGGACGCAAAAAAACACACAACTAACCCCTCCTCTCTTTCTCCTCCCTCACTCTGAGGCATCACTGTCCTTCCTCCTTTCTTAAGGTATTTTTTTTTCTCTTGTTGAATCAAATTTAAACATGTTTTGGATCTCTTATAACACTTCTGAAGCAATTTTGATTAAAAGTAAGCTTGTCATTCTAACCCTATACAGAAGGCAGTGATTTTCTACCTGAATGTTTTGGTTATCTGAAGGTAGATAACTATTAGTGCCGTCGCAGATGCTCAGAGAAGCATCCTTGAAACGTCTGGTATACTAAACACTTGCATGCTGTGAAATATTATTGTTGATTGTAGGGAAAGACACCATGGTTGATATAATTTTTTCCCCCTCTGCCCATGTATTTGTGGTGTGCATCTCTGTCATGGAACACATTTTATAACTTAGGTGGCAGAGATGTGAGAGATGCCCTGAACACAATTTGAGCAGTTTTAAAGTTGATCAAGTCCTGCAGCTTAAGTTCTTTTGGCTCAATCAACAGTGGGTTGGAAGGATGTCTATAGCGGCCATTCAATACAATGCTAATGATGAAAGTGACTCAAAGCAGCACAACTTGGTTACATTTTTTTTTTAAACAGTAGATTTTTATATTAATCTCATCCATCTCCCCCAGTTACTAGTATTATGTTAGATATTAGAATGTTATAGCAACTTGCCCAACATGTTATAATAACGTTAAAAATGAAACAGATTTCTTTTGGAGGTAAGAGTTCAAATGTTGCTTGTCTCCAACAGGTATTGTTTTTAGTATTAAACCTGTCTTTATGAATGATATGGCCAAGTGAAGAAACTTTACTACATTTTCCTTTTGGGGATTTGTAACTAGGTGGAATAATCTCCAGAAAGTAGCAAACCCCCCGCCATAGCTGCACCCTTTATCTTACAAAGGTTCATATTGAAGCATTTAATTTGCTTTCTACAAACATATATCAAAAAGCATGAGACCACTACATCGCTTCTATTCCTAAAAGCTTATCACGAGAGGAATTACAAAGACAAGAACAGTACAAAACAAGAGGCTTGCATTTAGACTACGTTCAAAAGGATTTTCATTTCCTTACTTGTTTTCAGGTGCTGGTTGTTCAGCTGTCTCTGAGATATCAGGATCTGTGTGAGAACAATCAGCTCTCATCTGCGCACTGATCTGATGAGGATCTTGGGCTCATCTGCTTTTGTAATTGGACCATGGACGGGTGTCTCTCCTGGTATCCTGGTAACCCACCGACTGGCTGATGTCACTGCTCTCCATAATCAAGTGAGTGGATCCAGCTATTATTGCTTTTGTCTATTCTCTGCCAACACAATACCCAGCTCTATTCAAACTGAGAAGAGATTTGCAACACTTGTTTGACTCAGTGCAAACCGGGAGAAGTTTAAGAGAATAAAAAAAAACAAGATGATAACTTTGAAACAATTACAAGAATCACTTTCATGTTTTATTATTGTCTAGAGGAGATGGCTGGGAGAGTTTATACTTACTGAGATTCCATGATTTTATTCAGTTTAAAGAAGGAAAAGTGCAAATCCCAGTCCTCTGAGCATCGTGCCAAACAAAAAAACATTACCTAAAAAGTAAAGATGGGGTTCACTCAGTTTTTAGCTAAAATTTTTTTATTGTGGTTTAAATCAAGGTGACGTTAAATACAAAATGGCTGCTGAGTTTTTTTGAGTCGTTCCGGGACATTTCATTACAGTTATGGACATTTATTAACATTTATGGACAGTGGTCCTCCTGCTTCCTATGTGTCAATGGCTCCAAACTGTTTGATTCTCTGATCTGTTTTAGGTGAATCGATAACTTTGTAAAGTTCTCTTGGGGGACTGACTTCTGTTTTGATTCAGGGCTATACAAAAATAACCTTTTCTTTTTGTTTAAAATAGGGAGTAATAAGATAAGATAAGATAAGAATGTGCAATGTGAAATACTGCAACTTCAGAATATCCTCTGAACAATGTCACTTTACTTATCTACCTATTATCCTGCATACATTATATATATATATATATATTTGACTGGTATTGAAGCATTTTCAGCATCTACAGCTAGTTAAGAAACTACTACTTATTTTGTATATATTGTGTGCTCAGTAGCTCAGTTGGTAGAGCACTGGCCTTCAGGCCTGAAGGTCGTGGGTTCAATTCCCACCTCCACCGACTCCCACTGATGACTGCTGTCGTTGTGTCCTTGGGCAAGACACTTAACCCCACTTTGCCCAAAGCCCCCACTGAAAGATCAAGGCTATGCTCACACTCAGAGAGCAGCCGTCCTCCTGTGGACTCACCACCTGCAGAGGGTCAGTGAGGGGCTGGTGCTATGAGACTTGGGTGGCATCTCTGACTGCCACCCCCCTGACCCAGAAATGGATTAAAGGGTAGAAGATGGATGGATGGATGTGTGCTCACTGTGTGCTCTTACTACTGTCCTGTATGTGCCCTGCAACACCGAAATTTCCCCACTGTGGGACGAATAAAGGAACTCTTATCTCTCTTATCTCTTATAAGATAGACTTTATTGATTTCACACAGGAGAAATGTACATATCACATCTGGCATGGATAGAAACACTCAAGATTTGTGCAAAGAAACAAGTGTGCAAACATGTTAAATGCAGGATATATTATGTACACTAAAAAAGTGGCAATTAAAGAAACTGAGGCAGGTTTTTTTTTTTGCCCTAGTGCAAGTGACTTATTGTACAGTCTGACAGCGGTGAGGATAAATGCCCTGAGGTAGCGCTCCTTCTTACACTGAGTGTGCCTCAGTCTTCCACTGAAGAAGTTCCTCAGCTCCTTCACTTTGACTAGCACCCTCCTGTGCCTCTCCTCCTCCACAGAGTCCAGGGAGCAGCCCAGAGTGGAGCTGGCCCTCCTGACCAGCTTGTTCAGTCTGTTTCTGTCCCGCTCTGTGCTGCCCGGGGCCCAGCACACGGCAGAGTAGTAAATGGCAGAGGCTCCCACAGAGTCATAAAAAGTCCTGACCAGAGGCCTGCTCACTCCGAAGGACCTCAACCTCCTCAGAAGGAAGAGGGGACTTTGGCCCTTCTTGTACAGGGCGTTGGTGTTATTTGTTAATGTGAACACCCAGGTACTTGAAGCTGTCCACCAGCTCAATGTGGAGGACCCTGGATGTTCAGCAGCGTGTGGGAAAGTGGTTGTCTCCTGAAGTCGATTACCATCTCCTTGGTCTTACTGGTGTTCAAGCACAAGTGGTTACGCTCACACCAGTCGACAAAGTCTGTGATAACCGACCGGCGATCCAGTTCGTTCCCGTCAGACACACAGCCCAAAATGGCGGAGTCGTCGAAGAACTTCTGCAGGTGGCATCTGTGTGTGTCGTATGTGAAGTCTGAAGTGTAGATGGTGAAGAGAAACGGTGAGAAGACAGTGCTCTGAGGGGCCCCAGTGCTGCAGACTACCACCTCAGACTCACAGCTGCGCAGCCGCACTTACAGTCATGGTCGGTCGGTAGTCAATGGTAGTCAATGGTCCATGCAGTGAGGTTTCTGTCCACTCCCGCGTCCTCCATCTTCCCCCGCAACAGTGCCAGCCTGATGGTGTTGAAAGCGCTGGATAGCTTTTCCCCCTAGTGTGATTAGAAATTTGGGTACCCCTTAACGATATCCATACTTCCCACGAATGTTTCTTTTCAGAGTGGATTCTAACACATGCTATTGACACAATATCAAACCTGCCTTCCCTTCGTCAGTCGCAAATTCCGGCGATAGGATTGTGTGTTTGTGTGTGAATATGTGTCTTCTGTCCAGTCCTGTGTGTTGTATTTGTTAACTGCACAATTGTACCACTTTCAACCATATTTGTCTCTTTTTGGAAGGAATATCAGCAGTGAAACAGCAATAGAGAATTTAAAGCTGTTCAAAGCTCAAACTTCCATAGTGACTTCAATGATTCTAAAAAAAACTAAAGGTGACAAAGTCTGTTAAGAGTTTGTATAGAGAACATTTGTATAATGTATGTATAAATACACATATATGTATATATACATATATTGTTATATATATTTAAGCATATATGCTTAAATAACAGGTTGTGTGGTATTTTCTCAGAGCTGTAGTGGTAGCTAATACATTTGCATATCAATTGTGTCCTTGAGCTCTGAAACTCGTCAGCAGTGCGTTCGTTGGGAGCCTCTCTCACCTGCCGCTGTCGCCTTCTTAAGTTCACCCACAGTCTGCAATAATGACAGTTCTGTCTACATCAGACTGGCTGAAGGGGGATAATATGATTTTTTTTAAAATACATTTAGGGATGCATCAATACCAATGTTGGCTGGATGTGAATCTCTGATATAATGGTTCTGTTGATTTGATGTTTACAATTGAGTAACATGATTTGTGGTCTTCAAACCTTCATCCATTCATTTTCTTCCGGTTTATCCGTTTCCGGGTTGTGGGGACAGCAGTCTAAGCAGAGACTTCCCTTTCTTTTATAGTCTTTAAACTAGATCTATATGAGGAGGGCTCAGGGGCCTAAACATTAAGGACTGCATTTGGGGTTTGCCCTCCACTGGCCTTAAATATCTCGTATTTGTAACAATTCTGCTTTTACTGATTGATGTGTAGTCAGTAAAAGATAAATGACAGTTATACAACACTTTGTGATCAATTCCATAATTCCTTGTTATTCACGTTTTGTGAAATAAAATGCTATTGTGGTTTTTAAAATAATATCAGGTGATAGACTTAAATCCCTAATGTCAAAATCTGTGTTGGATTTGAAAAAGTGTTTACATGTTGTGTTTTTAGTCAGAATTGCATTGATGGGATACAACATTAGCTTAGTTTATTTTTGCTTATGTGGCAGTTAGTTTGACCAGTTTCTGAGTTTGACTGGTGTGGGCCACTGGGCTCAATAACAAGGCTGTTGCATTGTTTACTTCCTGGTTTGTGGTTGTGGGTCCTGGGACTTGGTCTCTGAGGTCCTGATCCAGCAGCACAGACTCCTGCTGAGCTCGGCTTAATTAGATTGCATTTAATTCAATCTACTGCTTTCAAATCTTTCAAAGACTTTTCTGCTATGATTGACATCTGACTTAGTCCTACTATTTTCTTTTTAGGAAAGATAAATGTTAAGTTAAAATAGAAGTATGCGTCCATGTTTTTGTTCTGTTGTTATAATATCCAACTGGAAATATAATATCAGAAACATTTGTAGAAATGTGAAAAGTTTAATAGGCATTCATTTCAGTGCAAAATTGTATAAACCAATAAGTATGCCTGTCTCAATCATTTTCTAACCATCCATTTCTTACTCCGGTTCGAGGGGGCAGCAGTCTAAGCAGGGACACCCACATTTCCCGCTCCACACATCTTATCCGGGGGAATCCCGAGGTGTTCCCAGGCCAGCGGAGAGACAAAGTCTTTCCCTGGTCTTCCCCGGTGGGACAGGCCTGGAACACCTCGGCAGGGAAAGAGAGGGAACGTAGACTGAGTGGCAAAGTCCGATACAGCTCTGACCTCAGCCGCTGCTCCCTTTTCACCACAACAGTTCGATACAGCTCTGAATGCAGCCGCTGCTCCCCACCGATGCTCATTTTGATAGACAATATATTGCTCCAGAAAATTACTGATAAGCGAGATTAAGCGATATTATCGAAGCTACTTGATGCAAGTACAATACACCAGGATCATCCCAGTACACCAGTTTTTGTCATTTGCCCTTTTTTAAGTCAATGGGCAAATGAAAATAATTAAGTAAGCAAATGAGAAAAAAACGTAATTTCTTTCTCAAGCAATATAGAAAATAAACAGCAGAATTAATGAATGTTTCTGAACCCTCTGCACAGCTTTTTCTCCCAAGAGATTTTAAAGATCACCACACGTTTGTGACGTTTCGGGTGACTCTATCCTTCATCAGAGTCACTGTTCTAACCCTCCACAGCCAAAACCTCATAATTTTACACAAAAATAGCATCGATCTCTCCTCTATTGCAAAGAAAATCTACAGACGATTACAATTGAATCCCAAAATGTATTGTTGTCTTCATTCAGTCGATATCATAATCACGGTACTGTGACAGGCCTTCTATTGAGCTTTTGATTAGTGCAAATACTATAAAATTTAATTTCATATTAAAATGATAGAAAATAAACTTTTTATCTTTATCCCCGTTTCTACTAGACCTACTTGGCCCTATGCTCTACTTAGCTCTACCTGGCTCTTCTCTTCCTCTTCCTTTCTCTACTCTACTCTGTTCTGTTATTCCAGAGTAGAGTAGAGTAGAGTAGAATACAGTAGAGTAGAGCTGAGTAGAGTAGAGCCGAGTAGAGAAGCACCGAGTAGATAGAGCCGAGTAGAGTAGAGCTGTGTAGAGTAGAGTCGAGCCGAGTAGAGTCGGGCCAAGTAGAGCTGAGTAGAGTAGAGACGAGTACAGTACAGTGGAGTCAAGCTGAATAGAAGAGAATAGAGTAGAGCCGAGGTGAGTAGAGTAGAGTGCAGCCGAGGTGACCAGAGTAGAGTGCAGCCGAGTAGAGTAGAGCCGCGTAGAGTAGAGCCGAGTAGAGAAGAGTCGAGCCGAGTAGAGTAGAGTAGAGACAAGTAGAGTGAAGCTGAGCCGAGAAGAGTAGGGCCAAGTAGAGCTTAGTAGAGTAGAGACGGGTAGAGTAGAGCCGAGTAGAGTAGGGCCAAGTACAGGTGGTGGAAACAGGGCTATGTGGCTCTGCCGTGGTCAGCGGTGTCCATTAAAGGGGAGCTTAGGCGGCTTTGGGAGCTTCCGTTTGAGGTTGAGGGCGGAGTCGACCTGTTGAGCTGAGAGCAGACTGTGCCACTGAGCCACCGGGCGGCGAGGGTTGGACAGCATGTCGGCCCAGTGCCTCAGCTGGTTCCCCGACGCCTCGCAGCCCAAGTAAATCTTCCCAATGGCGTCGTTCCGGGTCATCGTGTCGTAGTCCCACACCGCAATCACCAGGTTCACCCGCTGGAGGAGAGCGGAAGAGGGAAGAAGGTGAACGTGTCATAAGAGAATGTTGTGTGATTGTGAGAGAGCAGCTAGTGATACAACCTGAGTTGTGTATCTAGGGCCTGTCCATCCATGGGAACACAATCCCTCAATGCGTTCCTCCCCTCATTTTTTTCCCACTGGGTTTTCTTTGGGTGGTTCCTTGCCAATGCAGGAGGGTCTAATGGCGCTGATGATCCGTTACATTTATGGACTTTTGTGAATAGTCATAATAATGAATACATTCTAAAACTGTATGTTTTTTTTGTTTTTTTTTCATGGACCAATTATTTATTTTGATGCGGAACTGAATCAAACAGAGAATTTAAAGCACTACTGCACTTCTGTCTATGTTTTCTCCTGTAATACTCCTTTTTATTTTTCATCTTTATTCATTCATGCAGATCTGTGTAGCACTGTATTCCACAGCAAATATACCGTGGGACAATAAAGTTTATCTTATTGTATCTTATCTAGTCACTCCGCTCCCCCTTGACCAATGTATTGATACTACTGCATTTCCTGCATTCCAACTGTTTGATTCTCGACTGCGACTGCTGTTGTAATTTTGGGCTATACAAAAATACTTGTGGCTTATATTCAAGTGTGGCCTATATTAGGACAAAATGTAGGTGTGCTTTATTTACAGGTGTGCTTTTTAGTCCGACAAGTACTGTATATCGGTGGTGCTTTGATATACAGCTGAATAATCCTGTCCTGTTCACATGAGACATACATGGCTCAGTAGAAGACGTGCAGAGAAAGTTTCACCTGGAGCTGTTCGAAGGTCACGCTGAAAGTAAAGGACTCGTTATAATACGGAGCCAGAGTCCTCTTCTTCACTGACGTCTTTCTCTTCTTCCATTTCCTCTTGTCCAAGGTTAACTGCACTTTCACATACGGATCTGTCAATATGTACATGACAATAAATGATGGTGCAAAAATCTAAAGTAAGAATTATTATTGTTGTGTGTCTACATTCAAACAGAGGCTATACTTTCATATTCTTCCCTTTAAAGCAGGGATGTCAAATACATCAGAGAGCCAAAATAACAAATGTACTACAAGTTAAGGACCGGATTGGTTCAATGTTTATAAAAAAAATATTAGAATTATTGCATATAACCCATATAACCAAGATCTAACCCAGTGGACCGTATTTTGATGATTAAATGAATAATACATTTTTTTATGTCAGTAATTTCAAGTGAAAACACAGACAAAAATAAACTTCCTGAACATCCAATATTTTATCATAGCCTGGTTCTAATACTAATCAAATATCATCCCGGGGGCCAAGATAACTAATTTGCAGGCCGGATCTGGCTCCCAGGCCTTGGCTTTGACACCCATGCTTTAAAGAAATAAATGTGTTCCTCCCTCTAAAACAAATATATGTATAGGAAGTATTCAAACGATAGCATAGTTTGTGTATGTGGCGCCACCTACATGTGAAAGCCTGACCCCGTCAGACCTCTGAAGCTAAGCAGGGCAGGGCCTGGTTAATACTGTGATCGATGAACAAAAATCATAACCTCTGTGTATACTGCTTTAACATTTCGAATTACCTGAGCTTCCTCCAAGATCCATCACTTTCAGGTTTTTAGCTTCGAGGATGACCACTGTCAGCTTGTTTGAAGTCGGGACATATCGCAGGGAAAAGCAAATGTCACCTCGATTCTCCTCCTGAAACAAATATTTGTTTTCGCATTATTAAATATTATTCTCTCACATTGTACAACTGAAAGAATTTTGTTTGTACCAACAGGAAGACCACTGTGAAAGCAAAATGTAGGCTAAATACAATATTCTGTGTATGTTAACATTTGCATACTTGCCCTATGAGTCACTATTTGACCCTTTGGCCTGAGGCATGATTGGCTGAGTGAGCCTGGTCCTCTCTTTTTCATGTTTCTATCTGAAAAATCTGATCTATAGACATGACAGAGACCCAGAGATAGAAGCAAACTGTCTTGAGAGCGAGGAAATACTGTCAACATATGGATTTGTTACATTCGTTGTGGTCTGAAAGTTAGGTAGACGAGCTTTAATGATGACTTGAGTGTCATAAGCTGACCTCATGTCTGGACGGTTCGCTCAGGTCCTGCCACTCCTCCATGACGTGGTTCCAGTCAAAGTTCTCTAGCTGTAGCCGGACCTCTCCGATGATGTTGTGTTTGGAAAATCGGTTAAAGTCATACACCTGCATCACCACGGTGGACTTCGACAGAGCGGCTTTAGACACCTGTAGGTCAGAAAATCTAAAACATTATCTTGACAATGCAGCCTATAATAGGGAGAGTTCATACAGTATTTAAAATAGTTGCATTTGAAGTTGTAATAGTTTTTTGATAAGTTTTGAGAAGACCATTTTAAACCATTTTAAGAGCCAAATGTGTTTTGTACTTGTGACTTCTTGTGTCATTTAAAAATAACAGATACAAAAAAATGTATATACACACTGTCACTTTAAAGCTAGGGTACCAAACTAGTTATTTAATTCTTTAAACTAGATAATGGTGAGTGAGGGAGGTCTTCTTGTTCACTCTTTTGTCTAAAGATGTGACAGAAAGGCATGCATGTGAAAACTAAAAAAGTGTTATAGATAGTTCCTATGTATTCTATAGACCTCTGTGATGGAAATTAAAGGCACCGTACAGCCACTCATACAGCCGTCAGATATGTCAGATATACAACCCCCAACCCTGTCAGCCGAGACACTTTTGATTTTTTCTTTTTCTACTCCGCTGTAGGGAATAGAATAATGCTCCGTTATTTGCACCTGAAAAGTGAAGCTCTCGTTGAAGACCGGTTTGAGTGTGTTCTTGAGCACTTTGGTCTCGCACGTCTTGTTTTTGTCCGGGCACATGTAGACCTTGACGTAAGGATCGGAGCTGACTCCCAGGTCCATGGCCTTGAGGCTGTCGGCTTCTTTGATCCCCACCGTCAGCTGCACAGAACACAGGGACCGGTGATGAGCGGTGACGACAGCCACAGACTGGTTTTAGAGTCAATAATCAAAATTCTATTATCGTCACATGCATAGACTGTCACTGACGTCACAATAGTGTTAGCCTTGATTCAGAAAGGCCGGCTTGAACTTAAGCTAGCTGGAATTATAATTGAAGACTACATCATAAGATAAACACCAGGATCAAAGAGAGCCCCAAACCACATAAACAGTTATTGAGCTAGAGGAGGTGACTCAATGTAAGTCAATTGAAACTTTGTCCATGAGCACTTCCCTATTGGGCCTCATTGGGCTAGCAGGTTAGCATTGTTCATCTACATATGGTCTATATCACAGGTGTCCAACACAGACCCCTGAAATGATTTTAAATAATTATGATAAACGCTGCAACATTGATGATAAGTGGAACCCTGGCATGTTATACCTCATTTTAAAGCTAGTTTTCCTCAATAAAACAACCATCTTATTGAATATATTGTAACTTTCAAATTAAAACTTAATTATAAGTAATTAAATACAGAATTGTGGCCTATCAGTCTACAATTACAAGTTTCTGTTTCGGTTAATTTTTGGGTCAATCCAGACAGAAACAGAACTCATCATGTCTGTGAAAATCTACCATAAAATAGTATCCAAACTCATGTTGAATAAAAGTAATTGTTTTCTCAAAATACCTTCATAATGTAAAAAAGTAAACTAAATATTGCTTGCTGTAAAAGATAAGCCAAACAACAGCTTGCCACTACAAAAACTACTTTTCAGTTTCTGGTCAGATTTTACGTTTGATCCTCAACCAAAATGAGTTTGTCACCTCAGATTGCGGAACGCTGTAGTCCAGAGAATACAGCAGCTTCCCGCGGAACTCTTTGGACGAGCCGTAGTCTGGATCTGTCACTTCCGGCTGGACCTGATGCAGAGACAGAAGCAAAATCCCACCATAAAGAACTTTTGTTACTTGTCACATAATTTGCTTGGTTTTGGTTTGTGAGAAGTTTCCATAGACATCAGTAAATACCTTATTCTTCTTTCTCCGGCGCGCACGAAACAAACGCAACGGGTTGATGGATTTCCAAAATCGCCGCTGGGTCAGAGCAAGATTTTACTTTGACTTTTTGGTCGTTCCAATACAATTAACTACAACATGAACTTTAACAAGACATTTGTTTCTGTTTTTAATCCAGTTTTTTACTACAGTTGAGCTTGAAAGCTTACACACCCAGAGTGTCTTGTTGGTGATTGTGTGAAGCGACTAAAAATAATTGTGTGTTTTCTGTTTTCTGATATTCCCTCTGAGCCTGATCAGAAGTCTCCATCCCCCAGTGTGTAGTAGCGTGTGTTGCCCTTGAATTTGTGGCTAATGGTAAAGCTACAAATTCCTCTTGGTAGAAAGGGTCCAGTTTGTGCAAATTCCTGTACCGACTTACATTAACTGCACATTGAGATCCCCCCCAGAGAGGCTCAATTATGATATAACTTGGAAATAAAATAGATTTCACCTTCTCAGCAAGAAGGTCCTGGGTTCGAGTCCCGGTCGCAACAGTGCCTGTTTGAGTGGAGTTTGTATGTTGTGAAAACCGTTCTTTGTATATGGCTGAGTTTTAAATATTGAGCTTTTATACAGTTTTAATTCTGACATTCAGTCTGAAATGTTTCTCTTCATAGCTTTCTTTTTTTATGTTTGAAAATGTTTGTAAATGTGTATGATTTTATGTCTGTGTATAGCACTTTGGGTTGCACTGCATGAATTGTGCTTTATAAATAATCTTGATTGATTGATTGATTGATTGACAAGGGGCTGCTTTAATTCTCACGGGCTGTAAGGAGATATCCCTCATAAACCTCAATGTTGAATAAAACAACTCGTCCTCAGCTGACAGGGAACCTACAGCTTTCACAAAGGTTTGATTTTGTGGGGACTTAAGTGTCCCTTGTCGTCCTGAACTATTTTTTTTCTTATGAAATCAATCGTTTTTCTTTAAATCCACACTTTAGTGCAACAATTTCGGCTCGCTCTCGTCCTGCTCTAGCTCTACAGTCCACACTGATTGGTCAGAACGCTCACATGTTACTTTGGTCCTGCAAAAGTAGAACCACTGCACACCTACTGCACACGACCAAGAGTCAAAAGTGGCCAAAACGCGTCATTTTTGCTTTTGTTTGGGATGCCCATGGTGCCAGCATGCGCCAATGAGCACTGTCCATTAATTTTAATGGGCAGACATCTAGGAGACATGGGGTTTGGTGTAAACTTTCAAGCACAACTGTATTCACAAAACAATTAGCATACAGTACCATTTATAACATCCAAAATGATGGTGGCCACTGTTGCGTCGCAAATCTTACAATGAGACGGATACAAGGAAATAACTGAATCTACTGATATCTATGACTACTTGTAATGTATTTTCTATTACACTAATGAGCTACATGTATTTTTTAAACCCAACCTATTATGAGTTTTAGCCGTTACAAGGTGTTCTTACAAGCGCTGTGGTGCTGCCCCCGTTCACTCCTTTCAGACCGATCTTATCTTTCTTCTCCTTCGTCTTGCTTTTACGGCAGCACTTGAGGCAGAGGCAGAGGACGATGATGAGAATGAGTATGGCACCCACGACCATCAGCACCACCGTGAGCCATCGGGGCACTGCGGGGACACAAGTGAGACAACTCAGAAAGAGAATCAGGATCCAAATTTGTATGAGTTACAAGAAGAAGTAGGAAGTCGCAAACTATGATATTGCTTTGGTATATAGTGAAAATTAGTATCAAAAAACAAAAACACATTTGAATATATAAATACAAACAATAGACAATAACATTAAATATTAGTTCACACATGTACAGTTGTGATTGATAGTTTAAAAAAAGTGGAAAAAACACAACTCATTGTTAACAGTTGTGTCAAGCATTATTGTCATGTGTTAAATTTGCAAAAACTACTCCTGCATCCCTCTCTCTCTCTTCTCTCTCTCTGGTCTCTCTCTCCCTGGTCTCTCTCTGGTCTCTCTCTCTGGTCTCTCTCTCTGGTCTCTCTCTGGCCTCTCTCTAGCCTCTCTCTGGCCTCTCTCTAGCCTCTCTCTGGTCTCTCTCTCTGGTCTCTCTCTCTGGTCTCTCTCTAGCCTCTCTCTGGTCTCTCTCTCTGGTCTCTCTCTCTGGTCTCTCTCTCTGGTCTCTCTCTGGCCTCTCTCTAGCCTCTCTCTGGCCTCTCTCTAGCCTCTCTCTGGTCTCTCTCACTGGCCTCTCTCCCTCTAGGCTCCCTAATATTGGTATTTCTTCTGCTCAATAAAGGCATGATTGTCCAATCCTTATTTGGATCATATCTGGACAATATATTTTGTCCACTCACCTTTGGCCCTCCGCGGGCGGTTATCCCTCTCTAAGCTCGGGTCCTCTACCAGAGGCCAGGGAGCTTGAGGGTTCTGCGCAGTATCTTTGCTGTTCCTAGCACTGCACATTTCTGGACCGAGATGTCCGAGGTTGTTCCGGGGATCCGCTGTAACCACTCATCTAGCTTCGGGGTCACTGCCCCGAGTGCACCGATCACCACGGGCACTACTGTCACCTTTACCCTCCAGGCCCTCTCCAGCTCCTCTCTGAGACCTTGGTATTTCTCAAGCTTTTCATGTTCTTTTTTCCGGATGTTTACCATCGCTTGGAATTGCCACGTCCACCACCACGGCTGTCCTCTGCCCTTTGTCTACCACCACGATGTCAGGTTGGTTTGCCATTACCATTCGGTCGGTCTGTATCTGGAAGTCCCACAGGATCTTCGCACGCTCATTTTCCACCACCTTTGGAGGAGTTTCCCACTTAGACCTTGGGGTTTCCAGCCCATACTCTCCACAGATGTTTCTGTACACTATGCCAGCCACTTGGTTATGGCGTTCCATGTAGGCCTTCCCTGCCAGCATCTTGCACCCTGCTGTGGAATGCTTGAAGTTGTACAATATCAACAGGTCTCTAAGGGACTTCGTTGCAAACTCGATGGGAATGTGGAAGACCACCCTTGAGGCAAATGGCAAGCCGCTCGCACAAGTGACCATCAAATGTGGTATCTACCAAGGAGATGCATCTGTCCCCACTACTGTTCTGCCATAGGCCTCAACCCTCTAAGCCAAGTAATTGACCAGACTGGCTATGGATACCGCCTCAGGAACGGAGCAAAGATCAGTCACCTCCTCTACATGGATGACATCAAGCTGTACGCCAAGAGCCGAGAGAGACATCGACTCTCTGATCCAAACAACCAGGATCTACAGCCATGAGACATCGGGATGGGTCATTCGGGCTCGAGAAATGTAGCAGGATGGTGACTCGGAGAGGCAAGGTAGTCCACACAGAAGGGATCTCACTCCCAGAGGGAACAATAGCAGACGTTGAGGACATTACAAGTATCTCGGTATACCACAGGCAAATGCAACCTCGAACAAGGTGACGAGGAAAGCGGCAACTGCCAAATACCTCCAGCGAGTAAGGCAGTCCTAAGAAGCCGGCTCAATGGCAAGAACAAGGCCCGGGCAATTAACAGCTACGCCCTGCCAGTGATCAGATACCCTGCAGGAATAATCAGGTGCCAAAGGAAGAATTCAGACCACGGATGTTAAAACTCGAAAGCTCCTTACCATGCATGGCGGGTTCCATCCCAAATCCAGCACCCTGAGACTGTACGTAAGCCGTAAAGAAGGAGGCCGAGGACTAGTGAGTGTGAGAGCCACTGTCCAGGACGAAACATCCAAACTCCCCATAACTACATCATGGAGAAGGCCAAAACGGATGACGTACTCAGTGAATGTCTCAGGCAGTGGCGAGATGAGGAGGTGCTGGAGGAGAGCCCATCATGGGAGAACAAGCCCCTACACGGCATGTACCACCGGAGCATAACAGAAGTGGCTGATCTCAAGAAGTCCTACCAATGGCTAGAAAGGGCTGGCCTACAGGACAGCACAGAGGCACTCATCATGGCTGCACAGGAACAGCCCTGAGCACCAGAGCGATAGAGGCCCAGATATACCACACCAGACAAGACCCAAGTGTCGGTTGTGCAAAGAGGCACCTGAGACGATCCAACACATAACTGCAGGGTGCAAGATGCTGGCAGGGAAGGCCTACATGGAACGCCATAACCAAGTGGCTGGCATAGTGTACAGAAACATCTGTGGAGAGTATGGGCTGGAAACCCCAAGGTCTAAGTGGGAAACTCCTCCAAAGGTGGTGGAGAATGAGCGTGCGAAGATCCTGTGGGACTTCCAGATACAGACCGACCGAATGGTAATGGCAAACCAACCTGACATCGTGGTGGTAGACAAAGGGCAGAGGGACAGCCGTGGTGGTGGACGTGGCAATTCCAAGCGATGGTAACATCCGGAAAAAAGAACACATGAAAAGCTTGAGAAATACCAAGGTCTCAGAGAGGAGCTGGAGAGGGCCTGGAGGGTAAAGGTGACAGTAGTGCCCGTGGTGATCGGTGCACTCGGGGCAGTGACCCCGAAGCTAGATGAGTGGTTACAGCGGATCCCTGGAACAACCTCGGACATCTCGGTCCAGAAATGTGCAGTGCTAGGAACAGCAAAGATACTGCGCAGAACCCTCAAGCTCCCTGGCCTCTGGTAGAGGACCCGAGCTTAGAGAGGGATAACCGCCCGCGGAGGGCCAAAGGTGAGTGGACAATTATTATTTATTATATATATATATATATATATATTTTTTTTTTTAAACACCAGGATCAAAATGCTTTGTGTGACATAGACTGTTTCTGAGCTGGAGGAGTTTACTTTTCAGTGTAAGTCAATAGGAGCAGAGCGAGTTGGAGCTCTTCTCTATTGATCTTCATTGCGCTGTTAGTATTATCTATAGACTGTCTATGGGTTATACTTACACGGAATGTTGTCCAAAAAGCTCTTGACGGTGTCTTCAACTTTAGTCAGAATCTGGTTTTTGGTGGTGTTGGTGTAAGTGGGGAAGGTGAAGTTGGTGAAAGTAGGGGTCCAGGTGGTGGAGTTTGAAGAGAAAGCTGGCATGATGGACTGCAATCTTTGTAACAAGAAAGAAGAACAAACAATAGCAATGTTATAAGAGGGATAGGACAGTTTCTGAAGAGGAAGGGAAGTTTACCCTTTAGGCCGTTTTTTCAGTCATTTGAACAGACAAAAAGTTTAACCCTGAAACTTTATTGAAGACTACTGAGGACGATGACAAAGTCTGGGATCGTGTCTTTAATTCAGACAGAAGACATGTTTTATTGTTGATGGTAGAGCACGAACACGAGCACGAACAAAAGATGTTACAGACTGCAAGTGATAATATGGCATGGAGGAAGGAACACTGTCCAATCAGCTTTCACTGCGATCCCAGTAGCTTGGCCTTCAGATAGACAAAACATCAAGTGGAAAAGTACTGTCTCCTGCAAATGTTAGAATGACTTTGAACTTTAACCACAGTTGCTTCAAAGTGTCATGAAATATCCATATCACTAACCCAAAACATACTGTATGTAAGAACAATTTAAGAAAATGTTTGTGGGAAGCTCGGTTGTTGTTTGGAAAGTGTCCTGGATTCCAGAGCTCATGCAATTCTACAACTTTCAATTCAATTCATTTGTGGATAGCCCTAAATCACAACAGCAGTCATCTCTGAGGACTTTAGTCAGCCGTAGATTTGCCAACAACAGATCAGAGAATGAAACGGTTAGAACACAGGAAATGTAACAATAACAAACATATAGTTGGTCCAGAGGGAGCAGGATGATCATTGTCCATAATATTAATAAATGTCCTGGATCATCACAGTTCTTAGAGATTCCTGCACAAGGAATGACAAAAAAACTTTGGGAAAACATTTGAAACATAATGAGCAAGGGATCCGCTCCCACAGATGGACAGGCTGTAGATCCAGGACTGAGGCTGTGCTGTGTTAGACTGAAGAGGCTCCCAGGCACTTGAATATAAGCCACAAGTTATAATGTGACACTTAACCAACAGCTAATGGAGCAAAACAAAGCTGATGGACAACTGTTTTAATTGGACAAAACATGAATTAATGTCGAGGTGTTTTAACACACTGTTGACGATCAAAGCACTCTGGAACATCCATTTTAACATCTGTCTATTTTCATTGTCTATTTTGACAATGATCTAGCATCCTATAATGTCATGGAGTCAAAATAATAAGTCCATAAACAAACAATAGCCGTAATCACATAAAAACAAGTCATGCATTTTTCTCAACACTTCCTTGTTTCTCTCTTTGCTGTTAAAGGAAGCAGGAAGGTGTGCTACATCATTAGCTTTGGAGAGAAACAGCTGATAGAGCTATGTCTGAATCTTTTAAAAGTAATGTTTTTAAAATGGGTTTATTGCTATATAGGCCAAAGAAAAAAGTAGTTGCTTTTAGTCCGGCAATTACGGTAATATGCCCAATTCGATTCCCACTGTCGCATTGCATAGAAATCCTCTCATACATTTCTATAATTCCTTTTTTCCCATCCCCTTTATAAATCCACTGGTCCTCCTGAAGGTTTTGGGGCAGAGTGGGGCTAAGTGTCAGTGGTCCCTCGTTTATAGCGGGGGTTACATTCTAACAATAACATCAATAAGCGACATCCACAAAAGTAGCGGGGACATGTTTTAAGGCTGTAAAATCTTATATGTTTTACTGCGATATGTTGTTGGAGTATGAACATGAGTGTATTCTATTGTTCTCTCCATTTGTTGATGAAAGTCTCATGGTTGTAGGTCGTAATACAGAAAAACAAAGAAAACTAATTCTCCCTCTCCATTCCCGCATACAGAAGGTCCCCACCATGAACAAACAGAAGGAGTCAGAATTCTCTGCCACAGCCCAGTGACAAGAAAGGAATGTTTTTATAGTCATGTTGTTGCTAAAATGTGCTGTAATTTGTGGTTTTCAGATTTTGTGACAGAAATGCATCTAGTTCTGATATTAAAACTGGAGAACCAGACTTTGAAAACACACAAAAATAACTAAAAACCATGTAAGTATTTGTTTTGTTTCTATCACCAGTTTTTACACGCATGTACTTTAGGCCTCTGTCAAATCTTTTGATCAGCTTTTTTTTTTTTTTTTACTGAAAAGTGAAAAATAGAGGACCAGCCCCCACTCAGCCAATCAGCTCACAGTATGTAAAAGATAAGATGCTTTCTAATAAGTTGAAGACAAATGTTACGCTCATTCTGTCGGGTCAACCAAAAATGTTATAGGTACTGCAGCTTTAAAGGTACTCTGTGTCATTTTTACAGTTGCTCCAAATAAAAAAAAACATGTTAACCAAAAACAAATGTGACCTTTAAGAATATTTACCTCCACCACGGTTTTGAATTGTTTTCATAGGCTTAGAATGTGACTTATAAATGTCCATGAGCCTGGAAGACTCTCTGTGTCAAATATGCACCATCTTAAAATACAGTGGTTGATGAGGGACCAAAAGGAGTTTGACCGGGATTTGGGGACCACTGTCAAAGTAGACATATTGTCCTGCGAAGCTACTGCCGTACCGTAAATTACAATATATGATCTCAATGCTAGAGGGGAGTAAAAACTACACACTGTACCTTTAAGTATTATATTTTTAATACTTTCAATACTTAAATATATTATGTTGATTTGAGATGGTTTTGGCAAAACAAAACAATATGTGCAATAAATGACCATTTATTATGTTATAGAAAAGGTAAACATACAGCAGCCCTAGTGATAAAACCTATGTTTGGCAAAAAGACTAGGTCGAAAGCTAGACCACAATGCTAACCCGCTAGCTCAATAAAGCCCAATTGAGCAATCAGATGCCTTCGTTTGTAGGGGACACTCCAGCTTGTCTTGCATCACATTTGTCCCACCCATATGCCCATATAAGGAAAATGCTCCAGCTAGCTCATGTTCGAGCCGGACTCTTTTGTTTTGAGGCTAACACCATGGTGACGTCAGCACTCGTCAGTCCTAATATATATGATCCATGGATTGAAAGGTGGGTAGAAAGCTGAGGCAATATTTGTAGGGGTCAGTTGGAATAGAAAGGCGCCTCTGGGTTTTTGGTTGGGGGAAAAAAACAGGTATTTTAGTCAGTGTGAAAAGGCCTTAAGATTTTCTCGTTCCTTGATGTTTTAGAGCAGTTTGAGTGAGAAGGAAGGAAACGGGCCCAAACAAAATCAGCACATGATCATAGAAAGGAAATTCCACCCTCGCACACACTTGTTTTTTTTTAGTCTCACAAGAAAATACAACAAAACCATGTGTACACCAGACCCTGCTTGATCCTGCAAAGACCAGCGCTGACTTATTCTCAATGTCTCACGTAGGAGTTTAGTCTGTGAGAATTTGAAGGTTCTAATATTGTTTTAATGTAGCATAATCTGAACAAAACATTGCCCAGAACTTTTTAAACACAGAACCCTCTTGTACAAACTGGGGACTACATTACTTATTTCTAGTAACACAAAAAACTTTATTCACTGCATATTTTTGTGGTTGGAAAGTTTCCACTAGGCCTCATATCCTCTCATTTTGCGCAACTGGTCTCACATTGTTATTCTTTGCTTCCGTGCATATTGAATTCTGACATCATTCCATTGTCACAAAGAGAAGCAGACAACAGACGTGGAGTAAACGTCTATTTGCTTAATAGATGTAAACAACTGTAGGCTATTTGTCAGACAGGTTGTGCGTCAGCTAGACTAGTGTCGAAGTAACTGTCTTTGTAAGTCGCTTTACCTCTAGGCTACAATCCTGGTATGTTTGGAATACTTTGTCTTCACGTAGTATTGTAGTGCATTAGTTTCAGCACTGTGCTAATGCCTCGCTACCTTAATATTTTTGACATTGTTGTATTTTTCTTCATATGCGTACATACAAGTATATATGTCTTGCACTAGAGCAGGGGTCTCCAGCCTGTGCCTTCAAGTAGCAACCCAAACAAGTCAAGAATTTAATACGTGATCCTGATGGATTCACTTTTCAGTCATTTTTACCATCTACGTCCATTTACCATCTTGTCTATTTTAACTATAAATCTCGTCATTAATGCAGGGAGACTGTACGGTATAAGGCTATAGTATGCATGTGTGTTCTCCATGACCAGCTGTAGTTATTATAGACTACAATTGCATCACCACTGCTTATAAGGAGCCACTTTCTATTATCTCTGTTTGATAAAAGCAGCTCTCCAATCACAAAATGTTGGATACGCCTGCACTCAACCTTTTTGAAGTCGTGGCACAAACATGAAACTTTGCAACTTTTTAGTATGAAAGCAAAGTCATTCTAATAAAGTAGATCCATCCATGTGATATTGGAATATTACCCAAGGCACATCAAGCAACATCTTGTGGCTGATTTCCCCTCTATGTTACTTATAGAGGATCTCTTAACCCTTTAATTTTCACTCCTTGAAGAAAGTTTTTTGTCTAGAACTAATAACAAAAAACCCCCCTGCTTTTTTTTTTTACAGGCTTTACAAAATGGTTGAGAGGCAGCTTGATGTAAAAGTGCCTAAAACCAAATGCCCCAGTGAGGTAGATTTCGATATACGTTGAGCAAACCATTAAAAGGGTTGATATTAAAATCCTAATTTAGTCTAATAATCAGGATTAATCCTAACATATAATGTTGTTTTACTTGATCCAACTAGCAGGTAAAAACATTTAATTTAATAATGTAATAATATGCATTAACTGAAATTTCCCCACCGTGGGACGAATATTGGATCTCTTCATCTTAACTCAACAATAAATCTGTAAAACAGTATTTGTAGCATTCCAAAAGTACCAAACATACCAGTAACAGGGCTGTCCAGAGGTGTTTGGCGTCATCTGGTCCATTATTTGTTCTCTCGGCTTTGATGCTCGTGTGTTCTGTCCCGCTCCGACCTTAGTCCATGTTCAATTGAGCGTGTGCCACTTGTGCACCACACCTGAACATTACACACATCCCTGAGCAGTGTTTGAACAGAGGAGGAGCAGAGGGAGGGAGAGGGTCCTGGACTGGGATGCACTCCTTGTGTCAACACTAGAGGGCACTATTACATACATATTTATACAGAACCCAGTATTAGTCACTTGTACATGAGGTTTAAAGTAGCAATATGTCAAATGTTCATGTCAACTCATCATTAAATGGCCCTAATCTGTCAAAATGTATCAATAAAACATTCTCTTTTCAAATACTTCTTTAACTGATAAAAGTAATTAAGCAGAGATATTTGAAATTAAAAATTAGTTTTACAGCCCCTAAATCTTGTTATTGTTTTGATTTTGATGTCCCGCCCTCCACGGTTTTACCAATCAGAAAGTCCGTGATCCGGTTTGCCAGAACTCACAGCATCGAGCTAATCTCACTGGTAAAGTACCATGTGGCCGCAGGACTAAAAAACGTCTTGTTATGATTCTCAAATCATTATTGACAAAACAAGGAACAAAACAAGAATTTCTTTCATGGCCTTTGTGAAAGAGGTGTTTGTTATAGATTTGTTGTTGACAAACTCTTATCTGAATAGACATTATGGTCCCAGCTGGATTCGTCTGCATATCTGGCAACCTGAGTCAGGGAGAGTGAGAGGCTGCAGTACCACTTTTGGCCAAATTATTTACATACTGTTGCTTTAACATATACAGACATGTCCAAATTATGATCTCAAAGACTATACAAGTCTTTGAGATCATAAAAACAAGTTCACAGTGTCATCCAGCCAACTTCAGCTTAGCAATAGGTATGAATGTAATGAGTGAGTGAATGGATGGTGTTGGTTGGTGGCTTTGATGCAGCAGTGTGTTCGGCGACTCGCTTCCGTCATCACCGTGTGGAGAGAATGGACCAATATCTGATTTCTGAACATTGCTTTGGGTGACATTGGTCTGTAAAATGCATTATATAAATAAACATTACTTACTTTCTCTCGATACAGGCTTGCTGTACGTCGCTGTAAAGCTCACAATCATAAATGTGTTTCAGTGTTTTTGTATTCTTTATTCTACCATAATATTGTGACTCATCGTATAACTTTTGGTACTTCTCTCTTTTGTAGTATTTGCAGTTTTTACAGTTGTACTTTTTCCTTTCTTTTTATAATGGGACTTTTTATCTTTTTAAATGATTCCTTTGTTTTTTATCTTTTTGTTTTTAGTGCCTTGTAGTACTTAGTTTTTGTTTATTGTATGCAGACTGTAAATGGGGTGTTTGTCGTTTATGGAATGCAGTCGCTCACTATGGCTCCAGCCGTTGTGCAACTTCTACTTGTTTTTATTTGTATATACTGATATTTGTTTAAAGTCCGTATATGCCTCTAAGCATGTAACATTTATCATTCAACCCACTTCAGCTCAGCTAATACCTTATATTAAAGCTAATACCCAATTTTAAAACAGCCAGAATCTGGACAAAGTTCTCCAATCCAGGTTGTCGGCCCCTGAACAAGTCTAGAAATCTAAAGTGGCCTCTTATAATCATAATAATAATAATACATCGGTTTTATATACTATTACTAAAATGTTTGGACACATTAATTTAAAACTAATGTTTGCGTACATTGCAAACAACACTTGACCATAATACTTACTTTTGATGGTGTTAATCTTTGCCGATGCAGGAAGGTCTAAGGACAGTGATGCTCCAGGACCTGTGTTCGAACCGTTTGATTCTCCAATCTGCTTTTGGCAAATCAACAGCTTTATAAAGTCCTTTGGGGCGACTCCTTGTTTTGATTTAGGATTAAACAAAAATTAATGTAATTGAATCAATGATCACTATCACATATAAAGGACACTGTTGTGATTGGTTTTTGAAGCATTCACTCGGTCACACAGGAGGAGCTTGGAGTAGACTCGCTGCTTCTCCACGGCAGGAGAAGCCGGTTGAGGTGGCTCAGGCAGCCGTTTGGACTGTAGCTGCATCTGAATTAATAAAAGATACTGTAGTCTTCTTTATCCTTCCTACCTTTCCTTCAAATGTTTGATTTTTTCATAGTTAAAATAGTGTGAGATTTCATAACACTTTTAAGCAACTTTTGTTAAAGTTAAACTCATCATTCTATCAATGTGCAGAAGCCAGTACTTTTCCCTTGTTTTGTCTATCTGAAGGCCAAGCTACATGGCACCGTGGAAGCTGCTGATTGGAGGTCTCTATGCCTCCGCTCTGTATAATACACTTGCATTCTGTTGTATCTGTGCTCGTGTGCTTTGTTTGTGCTGTCTCTACCATCGACAATAAAACATGTCTTCTGTCTGAATTTAAGACGCGATCCCAAACTATGTCATCTTCTTCAATAGTAACAAAACGGAGCTCAGGCAGTTAGTTTTTAAGTTAGAGCATAACTTTGTCCATGAGCACTTCCCTATTGGACTTCATTGAGCTCTCAAGTTAGTAGTGTCCATCTATAGTCTAGGGATTCAACTTATATGCCTATATACTTATATACACCATTATGTACAGCAGATATTTGAAGCCAATTTAGGAACAAACATTGTTGAAATGGTATATTTTTATTGTTTGTAAAAGCAACAGCCGGAGCCAATCACAGTGAAGTAAACAAAGAAAAACCAGGTTTAATTTAAAAGCCAACAGGGTCAAGTATTCTAGCGTGTGTTTTTTTTAACCAAGATTCTATAATTTTTACACAAAACCACATGTTCCCTGTCACCTCTTTAATAAAATGTTTTAAGGGACAACTATATCCCTAAAATATGACAAGAAATTATGTATATTTGTCTAACTTTGAGCTGTGCCTTTAAAATGCGGAGATAATTCTAAAGCAGCCATAAACCGCTCCCCACTCAAACTGTCAGGATGCCTTGTGGAATTTATTATAAAACAGAAAGAGCAACCAAAGTAAATAAAATACATAGTTCTACCTGCAAGAGTTTTTGATAAGTAATGGTTCTGTAGTTTCGCCCAAAGCCCCTTTATTGTTTCTTTGAGAACAGTTAAATAACATGAGAACGAATAGTGATACAGAGCATTTGGAGACAGTTCATATATCATTTGTTGTATGTACACTGGTGGTGCGACAGCGGCTACAGCTTTAGAAGTTGATGGCTTTCCCAAAAGAAGCGGCTAAGTTGGCTTCTCTGAAGGCCTCGGACACGGTCTGTGGGAGAGACCAGATGTGTAAGAACAGACAAGCGTGGAAAAGCGTTGCAGACAGGACAATCTCTTCATAAGCCCCATTTCCACCAGACGTACTTGGTCCTGGTGTCGTTTCCATTTAGCTTTAACATTGACTGCCAGCTGTTTTTGATGATTTCACTGATTCTCAAGACCCCACAGAATATTAGGGTAATACTGGACTCAGACTTAAATTTTAATAGCCACATCAAATCAGTAACATCAGCAGCTTTTTACCATCTAAAAAACATTGCCAGGATCAAAAACATAGTGTCTAAAGCAGACTTGGAGATTCTTATCCATGCATTTGTCTCCAGTAGGTTAGACTACTGCAATGGCCTGCTCACAGGTCTGTCCAAACAGGCTGTAAAACAGCTGCAGTACATTCAAAATGCAGCAGCTCGAGTCCTGACTAGAACCAGGAAGTACGACCACATTAGTCCGGTCCTCAGGTCCCTGCACTGGCTTCCTGTGGCTCAGAGAATAGACTTTAAAACAGCTCTGCTTGTGTACAAATCTCTCCATGGCCTCGCACCAAAATATATTAGTGACATGTTAGTCCCATATGAACCAGCCCGGACTCTGAGGAGCACAGGGACTGGACTCCTGTTAGTGCCCAGAGTCAGAACTAAACATGGGGAGGCTGCTTTTCAGATTCATGCTGCTAAAATCTGGAACAATCTTCCTGAAGATGTGAGACAGGCCTCCTCTCTGACAATGTTTAAAACCAGGTTAAAAACGGTGCTGTTTAGCTGTGCATACAACTGAGGGATTTTATATTTTTATCTTTCGTTTTAATGTTCTGTAATTATTTATGATTTTAATGCTATCTTGTTCAGCACTTTGAGTTGCCTTGTGTATGAATTGTGCTATACAAATAAACTTGCCTTGCCTTGCCTTGCCTTGCCTAGTAATAGGTCTGAGCGCTGCTGCAGCCATCAAAAGGCGTGCATAGACTGTATATGTACAGCAGCAGAAGAACCCATGCTGATGGGGAGGAGCAGGACTGAGGGCTACAGGAATACAATACACAATACAATACAATTTATTCTTGTATAGCCCTAGGTCACAACAGAAGTCATCTCAGAGGACTTAACAAAACCATTGAAATCACCAACACAGGTCAGAGAATCAACAGTTAACACATGGAGAATATAAAGCACACACAGAAGAAAATGCCCATACATGTTGTAGAATGCTAAAGTGTCCTGATCATCACCAATCCTTTCTGTTGGACACTAACTGTCCAACAAGACCCTCCTGCATCGACAAGGAAAAACTCTTTAAAAACCCAGTGGGAAAAAGTGAGAAACCTTGGGGAGAACTAGGGAAACTCACAGGGAGGGAGACTGCGGTAGTCCTCTCAACTAATTCTGACTGTAAATTTACAGTTTAAAGTAACGTTACAATACTCTGGGTTTTATTAGATTAATGTATTTTTATAGCCTTTAATCATATTGGTTCATAGGGAGTGGGATGCATGACCAATGGTAGCAAAAAAGTGAGGAATGTGAACCGCGTTAGAGCGACAGACTACTGTATTTTAAACACACTTTCAAACTTCTGAGACCTAAATGTGTCACTGTTACTTTCTCCTCAGCGTGTGCCATGGCCACAGCGACATGTCAGCTGTCAGAGGAGCAGTTCCTCTGCTCCATCTGCCTGGACGTGTTCACCAACCCTGTGACTCTGCCTTGTGGACACAGCTTCTGTAAGAAATGCATCGATCAGCACTGGTCTAAGGAAGCCCAGGGCAAATGTCCCTATTGTAAACAAGTTTTTAACCCCAAACCAGAATTAAGAGTCAATATTTTCATGTCTGAGATGGCTGATCAGTTCAAAACCAACTACAATTCACAGCTGAAATTTGCAAAAACAGAAGAAATACTTTGTGATTTTTGCACCAATCCTAAATCAAGAGCCCTGAAGTCCTGTTGGGTTTGCCTGTCCAACTTCTGTGAGTCTCACCTCGAGCCACATCTGACAATTGAGCAACTGCAAATGCACAAGCTTGGAGACCCCCAGAGAGAGCTGAGCGAGGTGAGTAAGAGCTACTATTACTGTATGTGAATCACTCAAGATGAAATATAGAATTTAAATATTTCATTGTATGTGTGTTTTTCTAAAATTTCTGACTAACAAGTGAAGGATTGAATATAATTAAAATGGTGGTGTATCCTCAGTGGTACTAATTCCAGGTGAGGTCTTCAACATAATAAAAACAGAGCAACAGAGTCCAGTTCAAACATTTAATGTTGAAATTGTGTCTTGGTCAGGGAGTGGGAGGAGGCAGGCAGTGGAACTGGGGTTGATCGTAGAATATGGGGAAATATGGAGAGAGGTGAGGATGGGTAATGGTGGAGAATGTTCTACTAAAGAGGGATAAATGCATTAGGTAATCTTCTGAACAGGGAAAGAAGAAAACAAGTAACAAATCAAACTTGCAGGCATTTACACAGTTCTCCACAGGAACAAAATAAATGTCCAACATCAGCTCAGGAAAGACAAGAACAACCAGGTGCTAAGATGCTGTAATCATTGGCTTGGGGGTGGAGCAAGGTGCAGCCAATAGGAGGGGCCAAAGCAAGCAGGCATGGGAAGAGGCTGGCTTTTTCACACATAACACAAGTTTTCATGATCTATCAGTCGACGACATGTCCATCACTCAGATCAACGTTTTGTATGTCTTTCTACAAAGGCTGAAGAAGGACCCACTTCCAGGACAGATGCTGAAATCCTGGAGATGATCGCAGAGAGAGAACGCACCATTCAGCAGCTGCGTCAACTGATGGAGCTCAACGACAGAGAGGCTAAAGCCGAAAGAGCACACGGTGAACGAGCCTTCGCCGCTCTGATCGATTGTGTGAGGGGAGATCTTGATGCCTTCTTACAATACATGAACAGCAAGAGCCAGGCGACAGAGAACCAGGCAAAGGGCTGTGTAAAAGAGCTGGAGCGAGAGATTTTAGAGTTAAAAACCAGCCCTGGAACCGCTGTAAGAGATATGAAAACCTTCAATATCCGTAAGCCGACTTTTGAAGGGACTGCGGCGAGGGCCATGGCGGAGTTAGAACCAAAACTCAGTCAGAAAATGAGTAGGGTTTTTATCAGTGAGTTTCAAAGAGTCCAAAAATACTATATCCGCGTTTTGCTCGACCCGGAGAAGGTACACCCCAGATCGGCCAACCAACGAAAAAGCGCCGATAATAATAAGCCGGAGTGTCGATGTGTTTTAGCCGCGCAAAGTTTCTCTGCGGGGAGATTTTACTTTGAGGTTGACGTCAGGGGGAAGTCCAATTGGGCTCTAGGATTGGCGAAGGAGCTGCACGTGGAAAGGGAGGTCGTGTTGAGCCCGCAGAACGCCTACTGGGTGATATGTATGAGAAATAAAACCGAGTGTTATGCCCGTTCTGTGCCGTCTGTGCGGCTGGAGCTGAAATCCAGGCCGGAAAAGGTGGGAGTGTTTGTGGATTACGAGGATGGCCTGGTGTGCTTTTATGACGCCAAACAGGCAGGTCTATTGCACACATTCAGCGCGTGTGATTTTGCCCACAATATTTGTCCGTTTTTCAGTCCGTGCCAGAACGACGGGGCGAAACTCCACACTCAGCCCGATTCGCCATGTGTGCTGCAGTAGAGCCCCGTTTCCACCACACCCTACCCTAATCTACTCTACTCGGCTCTGGTTTTGTTTCCGTTACGCTTTAGTAGCTGGTATCGTATCCTAGCCACCTACCCACAGCAAACCAGTGTCCAGGAAGAGTCCTAAGTAACCATGGATATGAATAGCTAGGATTGGCCAGCATCACTCACTTTAGTATCAGTGGAAATGCTCCCAATTGAGGTAGAGTAGTTTGGATGAGGGGATAGCAGGACAAAAATAACAAACTTAAAACTGGGGTACCTAAGTTTCAGACCACAAAGTTTCAGGCCTCGCTTTTTTAGTTTTTTTCACTTTGGTTGTAACACTAGTTTTCACATGCAAGTATTTTTTGACTCATTTTGTCACATCCCTAGATCAACGTTTTTGTGTGTGAGAAAGAGAGCACCGCCCTCATATCGGCTTTCAGCCCAAAGTGTCAAATAGTGACTCACAGGGCTCTTTCTTATGCTTGTTTGTTGAATAAGACATCATGTTGTTATGTGATTTCTGTTGGGATAAACAATTATTATTCCTGATTGAAACAAGAGTTGAAGTATTGATCTGTGTTAGAGAAACTTTTATTTTTGTGAAATTGTTTAAACATTTCTTATGTCGTGACACAACGTCAGTCAGTGAGCGAGAATGGACAAAAAGAACTCCAACTACAGAAAGGAAAGAAAAATATAATATTTAGAATGGTTTTTCTTTCTGTGCAAATATTCCTGTTCTGATGGTTGAGCTAAGTACAATGTTTATTTCAATGTGTTTTCCTCTAATATTCACTGATTGAGTATTAAGATTAAAGTAAAAAAAAATTGAAACATTTATGGTTGTTTGTGTCGCAAGGGGTAATGTATTATACTGCTGTGGTAAGATGTGGTGGTGGTGGTGGGGCAGGGGCAGGGTTGTTATGAAAAAAAAAATCTACATTAAGCACAGAGACAAATTATTATTAAACTTTATTACAGACACGAAGTCCAGATAAGAAAGACATTACACAGAAACAAAAACAACAATAATCATAAAGATAAGCATACATGATTACAGCAGACTACTGTACCAGTGACGCCACAGTTCAGACTGATAGCGTGTGGCACTGATTCTGATGTTGGTCAGGCTCATTATGATCACATTCTGACTTTGATTCAGTCGACAAATAAATCTGTAAGGGTGGAATTAAATGGAAAATGTTTCAAAACATGTGACAGTTTTATTACTTTTGGGTGATGAAAATATTGCTTATATAGATTAATTTCGTTTTAAAATATGTTGAGGGGTTTTCTGTTTTAAAAAAAAATAAAGGGTTGCGGAATTTGCCCAGATTGATTACCAGATTAACTAATTCGTCTCAGTGTTGCATCTATTAAAGAAACCAACAAGCATATCTAGATAACGGAAAGTGTATGAATAATAATCCGTGTGTTAAATAACTATTTCTTACGTCATCATTCGGCGACCTTCCACCGTAACTGGCAGTGCGCCTGCGCAGACACCGGAGTCCTTGGCTGCTGGGCCTGCTGTAGCTGTAGGTGACTGATCCTGTGGAGGAGACATACACAAAATGCAGAGTTGGACGCAGTTATACCGCTCCCTCGCCACGGTGAGTAAAGACAGCGAAAGAGTTAGATGAGTCCAGATTATAGCTCGGATACTGCCGCTGAACACGTACCGCAAAGTGACATGGCCTGGTTAGCGTTAGCTTTAGCCCAGACCGGTGTTTACTGTCAAGCTGTGGTCATGTAACTCGGGGAATGGAAGCATTATAAAAGTACTTCCATTATTGATTAGGGAATGTTGGTGCTGGTTTCGGAGTCACCCCTGGCTGTTTACTTGGAATATATACATGAAAAATATAAAAGACAGTATATAAGAAACAGCCAGGGGTGACTCCCAAGCCAACACTGTAATGTGGTCAAGTGCATCAGTAGTTAAACCAAACTCACTAAGTATGTGTCATCTCTACTATTACACGATACAAATATGTGGCTTGTTACTGCTTGTTTTTTATCCAAATTTAAAAAAGTTTCTGTTAGTGGTATTGTAAATGTTGTCATAATTTTCAGCGAGAAACAGTAGCTACTTTCTCTTGTATCATACCTAACCTAAGTTAAACAAGAAAATGGATATACAGGTTGTTGTTTTAACTAGATGAATGTTATTTTTATTCACTGGTATCAGGTGGTTATGATATGAAAATAAAGAAAATTAAAGCATTGATCAGTAAATCAGCAGTGTGATTTTCCAAGTAACACACTTTCTTTGTACTTTGTTCTCCAGTGCTATTGTAGTCTTTTTGAGTGTATCTTGGGTCAGATCAAAACTATTGCCACATCAACGTGTCAATGGTGTCAGGTTCAGTGCCACTTGATTTTGTGTGGCTGTCTTTTAAAGTCACTGTTTCTTAGTCTATTATTGTCTTTTATGTCTGTTGGTTTTAAATTGGACTTGGAGTCTATTAACATTGAATTGACTATGGTAGACCCAAGAATCTACTACAAGTGTGTCAAATTGCCTTGTGGCTGCAAGTTTTCCTTCCAACCAAGCAGGAGCAGACTCCACCCATTTTCCCAGTTTGTCAGGCTATGACTGGACTCACTTGAGAAAATGGGTGGAATCTGGTGTGCTCCTGCTTGGTTGGAATGAAAACATGCAGCCACACCGGCCTTTTGAGGACTGAGTTGCATACCCCTGATATGCTGCAATTAATTAAACTTTTCTTCCTGGATAGCGGGGCCACCAGCTTCCCTGCAAACTCCATGGAGCTGCAGCAGTGTCGGTCAGAACGTACGCTGACAAAGCAGCCAGTAAGTGTTGCATTAACCTTATCTACAGTATAATATTCTCTGTTGAACTTTAACTCATGAGCTTCTGTATCTGTAGTTGATGCTGACGTCACAGTGGTGGGCTCTGGTCCAGGAGGATACGTCGCCGCTATTAAGGCCGCACAGCTTGGCTTTAAGGTAAGATTTAGACAACAGTGATGTAATCAGTTTGCATTTATTTCAAGTTCTGCTGTCACACAAACCATTTATTCTTGCAGACAGTATGTGTGGAGAAAAATGCAACGTTGGGCGGAACCTGCCTGAATGTTGGTTGTATACCTTCAAAGGTAAACTCTACGTATCACATACTGCGATTATTTAGACATAAGGGAAAAGTTGCTTTGAAATGCTGACTATTTGCATTATAGATCATTTTTTGTTGTAGCTACCGTCGTTACTGGACTATTACTATTAACTTTTATATAAACGACACCAGATACATTTTATAAACGAAAGTACATTTTATCCACACATACCTCACACTACAAGCCACAGGTGTTCTTGTTGTAATGTACTTAAGCAACAGCTGATAGACAACTGTTTTAACTCGACACTACATGATTTAACAAACTGTTAAACACCATGTTGTTATTGTTAAAGCTTTGTAAATGACACGATGAGCTTTGAGAAGGAAAACATAAACTGTTAAACTCTGTTCTGACTACAGCCTTAATCAACGAAAAACCAAGCTCCTTGTATTTCCCTGCATTTCGTCATGTTGTCCTAGAGCGGTGTCAAAATTCTTTGCAGCGCCCCCAGGAGACACTCTACCACAGGGCATTAAAAACTGGTCCCAGAAAGGATCGGTGTGGTGTGGCTGCAGGTTTTACTTCTCAAATCTACAGGTTAAGGATGAACTTGAGGAAATAGGTGGAGTCTAGTGTGCTCTTGCTTGGTTGAAGTGAAAACCTGCAGCCACACCGGCCCTTTGAGGACCGGTTTGATTCCCCTGCTCTACCACAATAAAAATACATACATACAAACATGGCTGCATCGCTACATGGGCTGCAGAGTTGAAAGATCTTGGAAAAAAAGTAGCATCTTATAGTCCAGCAGTTATATACAAAGATCTGTTTATGGTTATAGTATCACTTATGTCACCAGTAAAATGTGATGTTGCTACAAAATGTATGTTTTTTTTCATATATTTTGACATTTTGATTTCATACAATCCTGTTGTCAAATGTTTTATTTCTTTTCGTAACTTGTGAATTTCTCCGACTTGTTTAGGCACTTCTCAACAACTCCTACTTGTACCACATGGCTCACGGAAAGGATTTTGAAAGCAGAGGAATAGAAAGTAAGCAGTTTGCTAATATAGTTTTCTGTACATGTGTTGGCCTAAACTTGAATATTCTCGTCGTCTGCTTTAGTTTCAGGAATCTCGCTGAACCTTGAAAAAATGATGGCACAGAAATCGAACGCAGTCAAAGCATTAACTGGAGGAATCGCACATCTCTTCAAACAGAACAAAGTCAGTTTGCTCTTGTCAACAACTCCCCGTGTTGTGTTGGAAAATGTATTTATTTGGTTCATTAGTTTAAGAGCTCCTTTATTCGTCCCACAGTGGGGAAATGTCAGTGTTGTATCTCCGGTTACAGAACAGTAGGAATGAGGAGCACACAGAATAAGAGGAATGAACATTAACTCTATCTATTTTATGCTGAAGATTTCATTTTATTTTAGTATAAAGTATAAAATCCCTAGCTTTAGCATAATGAAGAAGCAACACTTTAACAGTGACAAAAATGTGCTTCCAACATTTCTGTAAATGTACCAGATTTATCCGAGACGGCTCCTGTTCATCCACTGATCCACAATGTTGTTATTTTCTATGAAGGTGACCCATGTGAACGGGTTTGGAAAGGTGACTGGGAAGAACCAGGTGACCGCCACAACAGCAGACGGAGAGCAGGTCATAAACACCAAGAACATCCTCATCGCCACAGGCTCCGAGGTCACGCCCTTTCCTGGCATTGAGGTAATGGGTCTGTGATGGCGGTGTCTGTCCCCGACCAGTTTGAAGGTCATTTGTCCCAATCAATATCGCCATGGTCAATGAACAGGAAATAATAAAAACTAGACTTGACTTGACTTTGGCGTCGTGTGCAATTAGGGTTATCAGATATGGATATAAATTCATGCTTACAAAACTTAATGGTAATGTAATATTTTTAAAAAGTGTTCCCCTTTCACCCCTTTTTACGTGGTTCCTTCCTTGCTGTTTTGCAGATTTTTCTGTTTTTTATGGTTTTGATTTACAGCATGCTTCTCTTATATTAACCACTAGTAAAAGTATGTTATCTGTGTGCGTGTATGCTAACTTGGAGCATCAAAACTCTGAATACTTTAGTGTACGAAACAGTGCCCTTCTAGTGACTGAACAATTTTTGCCTTATTTTTCCAGATTGATGAAGTGTCCGTAGTTTCATCGACAGGAGCTTTGAGTCTGAAGAAGGTTCCAGAGGAGCTCATAGTCATCGGAGCTGGAGTCATCGGAGTGGAGCTGGTGAGCATCAAAGTCCTCCTACAATCTCAATTGACTTTTTTTGTTCCTAATGCATCCGTTCCCTTCGTCCTGCAGGGCTCCGTGTGGCAGCGACTCGGGTCTAAAGTCACCGCTGTGGAGTTCCTCGGCCATGTGGGCGGCATGGGCATCGATATGGAGATGTCCAAAAACTTTCAGCGAATTCTGCAAAAGCAAGGTCTGAAGTTCAAACTGGGAACTAAAGTCATGGGAGCCACAAGGAGGCCAGACGGAAAGATCGATGTGGCGTGAGTTTCCAAATGTTAACTTGTTAGGTTGGACTTCTTTCATAATGATAAATGTTTTATTTTTTTCCTGCAGGGTTGAAGCCGCAGCGGGAGGAAAGAACGATACTCTCACTTGTGATGTTTTGCTGGTGTGTATTGGACGGAGGCCGTTCACTCAGAACTTGGGTTTGGAATCTGTGGGAATCGAGCTGGACAACAGAGGCCGCATCCCGGTCAACAACCGCTTCCAGACCAAAGTACCCAGGTAGAAGCTCAGCCTGCATGCAGTCAGGGTCAATACCTGCTGGTTTTGTCAAGAATTCTAACCCATTTTCAGTATTATATCGTAACTTACACCTCCCAGAGTATTAGATTTAAAAATGCAATAGATTTGCCTGAATGAAAAAAAAACTAATAATAATAATGCCTTTTTATATAGCACTTTTCATAAAAGGCATTATTTTATTAAAAGGCACTTTTCAGCACTTATAGCACCCAAAGACGTTTCACATTCATTATTGGTGATAAACTGGGCTGCCCTGGGTCATAGAAGAGAGGCAACCAGTATAATAATAATAATGCATTGGTTTTATATAGCCCTTTTTTGGACACCTGTCCATTATTCTTTCACTCCATACACAGTGGTGATAAACTACCACAGCTGCCCTGGGGCACACTGACTGAAGCGAGGCAACCAGTATGTACCGTCGGCCCCTCCAATCACCACCAACCATTCACACACACACCAGACTCATTCTAGGCAATGGGGGTAAAGTGTCTTGCCTAAGGACACAACAGCAGTTTGGCACTTTACAGCCGCAGCCGCCCCACTGTGACTGGTGTTTCTAGAGGTGAAGGACACAACGACAGTAGACAGTGGGAGTCGATGGTGAAGGTGGGGCTCGAACCCACAACCCTCTGGCTCAAAGGCCAATGCTCTACCAACTGAGCTACTGTATTGGTATGACTTCCCCGACCACCAACAACCATTCACGGACACCCAAGACTCATACTCAATGTGGGGGAAGTGTCTTGCAACAGTTTGGCACTTTACAAATGCAGCTGCCCCACTGTGGCACATGGGGTCAGTCCCAACCTGCCCTGTTTAGCTTCTGACGAGGTCTGGCTTTCACCTGCAGGTGGCGCCACTCATACACATTTGATTTTCCCACTGCCTGCTGTAGGATATAGGATGAGTATAGAATCATTTTGGTATTGCTGTTTTTTCAATAAATTGTAAAATATATTATTATCACTATTATTTATACATATATGTTGTGTGCGTTATTGTCAAAACGTATTTATATGATAACCTGTAACTTTTCCCTCCTCTTCCAGTGTATATGCCATTGGTGACGTGGTCGCCGGGCCCATGTTGGCGCACAAAGCTGAGGACGAGGGGATCATCTGCGTGGAGGGCATGGCCGGAGGAGCCGTGCACATCGACTACAACTGTGTCCCATCTGTGATCTACACTCACCCTGAGGTGGCCTGGATCGGCAAGACAGAGGAGCAGATCAAGGAGGAGGTGAGAGAACACACACTGCTGTCAAATCATTGTGCTGAGTTGAATTGATCTGATGAGGACTGAGGCCGCTGTCATGTGATCTCGGAAACCCCTTCGCAATCTTCTGAATTCCAAAAAACAGTAATGACACGTCACACTCACTGGATTCTCTTTGCTGGTTCATCAGAAAGGCACAGAAACCCTCACTGCTGTGGCTCTGGTGTGTGCTGTCTTCTCTGTCTGGTGGTCACTGGGGTAGTCTTGCACAGTTTTTCCAATGTGGTTTTACTGCAAATGGCAAATAAATTCTTGAATATGAGAAATACAGGAGCAAACATGTTGTTCTTAAAAAGTGCTCTTACATATACACTTTGTTAGCCTGGCCTCAGCCATCCGTACACTCCGTTCAATCATCATTTCACTGCATGTAACGTCTGGGTCTAGTCCAGGGGTCGGAAACCCGCGGCTCTTGAGTGCTCCTGGAGTGGCTCCTGGAGCCTTTTCAAAAATGTCTGAAAATGGAGTGTGAGGGCTATATTTTATTTCTAGTTTGAATGTGGTTTCTGTAGAAGGAAAAACAATCTTTACGTTTTTAAATGCTGTAAAAATATGTATAAGTAATATCTAATTTCAACATTTCTGTCAACATAGTGCGTCATATCCTATGACGTGCGGTCACGCGGCCCCGCCCCATGCGGCCGCTGCTGTAAACAAACCGGCGTGTGTGACAGTGTGCATCATAGACTGTAAGTGCACATGGATCCCAAAGCTAAAACGAGAAAGAGTCTATAACAAGACTGGACTAAGAATGAGAATGAACATTTTCTTTCAGTCAATGAGGAAGGACTGCTTCATGTTTGTAATGAGAAGTTTTGTTGCAACACGAGGAACAATGACGCGCAAAACGACGTAAACGGTGATTACGTGAAGGATTAATTCATCAAAAATTCAGAGCACCTATTTTCAGACTTCAAAACCTTCTCAAAGACGGTGAAAGAAAAGGCCATTAAGGATTTTAATTCAGCTCCAGCAAACTTCAGCCTGTGACGTGATGGATATGAGCAGACAGTGATGCAGGTATGTGACCTCTGAGCCCAAAGCAGATTGATTTTTCTGTATATCTACAATTGCATGAAGGCAAAAAAATGGAAGTTAAACTAAAGCAGAGTTGTCCCGTGTTGCGTCATTCACGACACGCTGCAGTGAAAATACACATTTGATAATCATGAATGATTATTATGTATTTGTAGCCTTTACTTTGTCATTTAGATATTAGGCTAATATAGCTAATACATCTTGCAGCCTGTGTTAACTTCATAAAAGCCTTATACAAGGCTGTTATTTTTATGCGGCTCCAGACAGATGTTGTTTTTAGTTTTTTTGTCAATTATGGCTCTTTGAACATTTTGGGTTCCCGACCCCTGGTCTAGTCCCTAGGTTAGCGATTACAATCGGTTGAATTTTGACCGACCATTCAGAGAGCGTGGAAGGCAGGTGTTGTAGTTAGTTGTGGGTGATGTCAAGAGTTTGCGTCAAAAAGGCAGGTTGTAGATTGATAATGGCGATGGTAAAGTATTTCCGTTCTGGTTTGATCAAAAAATTGAAGCCGGAGCAAGAGGAATGTTTAGCAAATGTAATCGCTGGAATAAATTGTGGCGCTACTCCCCACAGGCTCCGTTAGCGGCAAAGGAGATGGCTAGGCTAAATGTTAACAACAGACTCGGGCGCACTACATACGTCACGGTAAACTCGGATCCAATCGTTTCAATCTGTAAAAGGAGTTAACCCCTCCCACCTGTAAACGGAGCTCAATGGAGCACCTTCAGACCTTAGTACGAAATGTCATTTGTACTATGGTGTGGTACGACCAGGCTAACTGTTTGTATGAGCACAAAAAAAAAGAAATATCTCAAATGATAATTGATATTGATGCAGGGCTTACTTCAAAATAAACACATTTAAATCAGTGTGGTATTAGACTCAGATTGTCTCCATTCTTTTCATCCAAGCACAATCTGAGTCTCAGCCCCCCGAGTTTGTTCCCATTTCTTCGAGTGGGATGATTGCGGCTTTAGTCTTGTGCAGCTTTTTCTTCACCCCTCGTCATCGTCGTGACTGGACTGACCTCACTTTTCCGCATTCTCTCTTCAGGGCGTCCCGTACAAAGTCGGCAAGTTCCCGTTCGCCGCCAACAGCCGCGCCAAAACCAACGCAGACACTGACGGCTTGGTCAAGATCATCGGCCACAAAGAGACGGACAGGATGCTCGGAGCTCACATCATCGGAACTGTAAGAGTCATAATGAACACGGAGATGTACAGGTTACAGAACTGTGTGGTGTAAATGTATTGTTCTCTGCTTGTCCTGTAGGGGGCAGGAGATATGATCAATGAAGCTGCTTTGGCTATGGAGTATGGGGCGTCTTGTGAGGATATTGCCAGAGTTTGTCACGCACATCCGGTAAGTTATGGTTCACTTTGCCATAATATAAAATCTGGTAAAAGGAAGACTGGACTCGTATGTTTTTGGCGTACTGAGGAAGTGTTGGGGAGTAACGGAATACTTGTAATGCCATCATGAATTCAGAATACTTTTTCTGAGTAACTGTATTCCATTACAGTCACTACTTTAAAGTCTAGTATTTATAATGGTTACTTTCTGAAAATCACGGGAATACATACTTTCTCACTTTGTTTTATGAAAAAAAAAAAAAGATTCTTTTTTCCTATTGAATAATTGCAGAACATGTTTTATGTATTTTAAACATTTATTTAGGTTGTGGTTGTAAATATTTTGAAATCTACCAACTTAAGTTTTGTAAATAAAAATAAATTTATAATAAATAATAAAAGTATAAATAAAAGTATTCTTCCAAAGTAATGAAATACTATACAAAATAGATTTTATGTCATGCATTTAGTATTCTGGAATGGAATAAATGTTCAAAGTATTCTATCCAACAATGTATAATTATTTGATCTCAAACATGTGAGTACACAAAGGAACACAAGTAGAAAGACAAATAAGACAAAATAGTAGTAGATTAAATGCATAATCTTTTAAACCAAAATGGTACAAAATGGATACGTATTTCAAATGCAGCCCCACTTCCACCAGCCCCACTCTCTGCTCTACCCTGATTTATAGCGTTTCTACTGACCCTGCTAGACTTTTAAAGTTAATCAAGTCCTGCAGTGGATTTGGAAGCATGGCTATATTGGACAGTAAATACAACCCTGATAGCCTTTTTTGTATCAATTTATTGATACAGACAAAGCTTTTTACCGGTTCCTTTTCCATTCCTACACTGTAAAAACGACAACTCAAAATTGTTCACCTTACTAAGATTTTTGCATTCACTGACAATAAAATTGCAAGTTGGAACTTGAACTGTCTGTTGTGAGCCACTTGAACTCCCTTTCAGAAGTTACTGATGAAAGGTTATTTGATAAATTAAGTATAAATTAAGAATAAATTTCCATTTTACTTTGAAGTTGTAGTTAAAGTAAACATTTTATGGGGCAGCACGGTGGCTGGGTGGATAGCACTCTCGCCTCTCAGCAAGAAGGTCCTGGGTTTGAATCCCGGTCGGACCAGGGCCTTTCTGAGTGGAGTTTGCATGTTCTCCCCGTGTCTGCGTAGGTTTCCTCCGGGTGCTCCGGTTTCCCCTACCACTAAAAACATACACAATAGGTCTGGCATGCGCCTCCTGTACTGGCAACCTTCTGTTTTAGAAAGACTGTGTTTAATGAACTTATATTGTTATGTTTACGATATTTATAAAACTAATCTTTATTGAGGGAACGAGTTTCCTTAAGAAACATTAGTTTTCCCACACTACAGTGTGTGTGGCACGGTGGCTGAGTGGATAGCACTCTCGGTTCTTGGCAAGAAGGTCCTGGGTTTGAATCCCAAACTAACTTTTTCGTTTTTACAGTGGCCATAAGTTGTCACCAGCCTTTTACGTCCTTACATGTTGATTTGTGTTGGTCTATACAATACTAGCTCTCCAACCGTTCCGTTACTCCCCCCGATGCCATAGTTTCCACTTTTTTGATTAGGCCATACTATCACTATCAATGTTCCAATGTAAGGTAAACATCCATTCCAACTTCAAGTGTTTTGTCAACTCCAACAGATTTTCTTCCTAGATCGCCCTGTATTTTGTTCCATCCACCTCTTTCCTCTCCCTGTTAATGAAAGGCAGCCCAACAGCATGATGCTGCCACCAGTGGGAACAGTGGGCCTCATTTATGAAAGTTGCGCAGAAAAAGGTGTACATTTTCGGTCTAGATTCCAGATACGCAAGATCCGACGTGGCATTTATGAACGTGTGAGATCCGCACATAGCCTACGCACCTGCGGCTGTTTAATAAATGCCGCTCACAAAACCAGCGTATTTATGAAAGTCCCTAGTGTCTAGACCAGGGGTGCTCAATACGTCGATCGCGATCTACCAGTCGATCGCAAAGGTAGTATTGGTAGATCGCATTAAATAAATAAAAAATTACACATTCTAAACGAATATATGCAAAAAACTCCTGGCAAAGTGGAGATTTTTGAAAACTCCGTTAATGCATTTGTGTGTAGACAGAGATAACCGGAGTTTTGCGTTCTCGCACGCCACAGTACCCCCCTAAATTCCTCTGATCACTGAAGCATGGATCATACTACCTTAAAAACTGTTCGCTGTGAGATGCTCGCAGCAGCGCTCCACATCAGAGAGCAGCAAAGTGATCGCGGGGACTCACGCTCGAAAACAACCAAACCAGGACTAAACCAGGACTAAACCAGGGCTGAGGACGGGGTCAGTGCTTGTAAACATACGTCTTTACTCTGAGTGTCTTCTATGACTGTAAAAGTGCCGTTACCGGCGTCTGCATCAGAACTCCGCCCACTTCTGTGTTTTTTCCCAACGCAGGACAGGACGTAAGAGACGCACATGTTTGGAATGTTACGAATGTGATTGATAACGCCCATGTGTGGATGCAAATTATTTTATAAACTGAGGAGGGGAAATATTTGGATTTAAAAAAAACAGGCATGGCACATGGACATGGCACCACAGTCAAATGACATCTGTGTTTTACTCAGTAATGTTTTACTGACACTTAGGTGACTGCACATGCGCAAACAACCGCGCTCAGTGCAGGAAAGCTAAACAACGACAAACTTGTCAGCGAGTTACCACCAATTTTCCGGACTATGCATCCCTGGCCGATTCAATTCAGTGCAAGTCATCAGAGTAAACTCGGGTAATGACAAAAAATGTACATAGGTAATTGTGTTGTGCTATATTGGCTCATGCAGTTTTGCATGTACATAAACATACATTGTAGGTATAAAGAATATTTTTTGAAATAAATATATGATTTGCATTTTTGTAGTAGGTAGATCATTTTGACTTGATCCTTTTATAAGTAGCTCGCATGCTGAAAAAGTGTGAGCACCCCTGGTCTAGACCCACTGCAGCACTCATCTCTCTTGAAATTTAGAAGTAAATAAATAAATAATAAATGAATGAATGACCTCTGTGGCACCTGCTGCACACTTCGAGAGCTATACTGCCCGTGAGCCAGTTCCCACATAAGCGCGTTGCCATCTGTTACAACTCTGGCTCAGGAGTTGCAACAACGAGGAGAGACCACACAAGCAATGACGTTTTTAAAGTATTTATTTAACAAAAAGTACATGAACGTGTATCAGTGGTGTGTGCAGTGTTGTAGGTGTGTGAGGTGAACCAGTATGTGGATAAATCAACTAAACTTAACAAAAGCAAAAGTGGAGCAGCCGGTGGTCTTTGCAGCAGAGGAGGCCACAGACTGCCAGCTGTGATTCATTTATGCTGAGGACAGGTGGAGTCTGGGTCCGGCGACCCCCCAACATCCTGTCCTCACAAGGAAGCAGAGCAGTGACTTCCAAAATAAGGGGGCCCACGTGGGCCGTCACACATCCTATCTCTGCGGAGAACAGGGCAGTGGCTGAGACAGTTTTGAGAAAGATCAGGTGTGTTTATTCACAAAAGTAAGGAAAACCCACATTGCTTTGCCAGGGGTGAATTACATATGCGTAATTACGTATACGTCGCAGAGTCTGCCACAGGTTAGTGAGATAAACGGCTAAGGAAAAATAACTTCACGGAGCAGGAGATTGAGACCATTATGAACGAAGTGGGATAAAAAATAAAGTCTTGCTATTTGGAATCCTCAAAAGTGGCATCAAGGAGCTCAGAAAACTGTGGAGAACCAAGCCAGGATCATATGCCACACTTTTACCAGGAGGTACCAGAGCATGTCCCAGAGCCATATCTTCCTCTGATCAGATCCACGCAGCCTCCACGGTGGCGCGCGTCTTTGCTTGGACCCGCATGAACCAAATGTCGTTGCGCACTGGTTGTAGATGCATAGAACAATTCACACTTGTGGGATTCCACAATTTGCGGGAGACTTTACAGTTTGATGTAACCCTTGACTCACGTTAGTGTAGGTAAGGTGGAATTAAAAGTAGGCAAGGCAAGGCAAGTTTATTTATATAGCACAATTCATACACAAGGCAATTCAAAGTGCTGAACAAAACAAGAAAGCATTAAAATCATAAATAATCACAGAACATTAAAAAGAAAGATAAAAATATAAAATCCCTCAGTTGTATGCACAGCTAAACAGAACTGTCTTCAACCTGGTTTTAAACATTGTCATTGAGGAGGCCTGTCTCACATCTTCAGGAAGACTGTTCCAGATTTTAGCAGCATGAATCTGAAAAGCAGCCTCCCCATGTTTAGTTCTGACTCTGGGCACTAACAGGAGTCCAGTCCCTGTGCTCCTCAGAGTCCGGGCTGGTTCATATGGTACTAACATGTCACTAATATATTTTGGTGCGAGGCCATGGAGAGACTTGTACACAAGCAGAGCTGTTTTAAAGTCTATTCTCTGAGCCACAGGAAGCCAGTGCAGAGACCTGAGAACTGGACTAATGTGGTCGTACTTCCTGGTTCTAGTCTGGACTCGAGCTGCTGCATTTTGAATGTACTGCAGCTGTTTTACAGCCTGTTTGGACAGACCTGTGAGCAGGCCATTGCAGTAGTCTAACCTACTGGAGACAAATGCATGGATAAGAATCTCCAGGTCTGCTTTAGACACTATGTTTTTGATCCTCGCAATGTTTTTTAGGTGGTAAAAAGCTGCTGATGTTACTGATTTGATGTGGCTATTAAAATTTAAGTCTGAGTCCAGTATTACCCCTAGATTTCTGACCTTGTTTGAAGGTTTTAGGGAGAGAGACTGTAGGTGACAGATGACGCTCTCTCTTTGTTTCTGGGGACCAAAGACAATCATTTCAGTTTCGTCTGCGTTTAGCTGAAGGAAGTTGTTTTGCATCCACTCACTGATCTGTTGGATACAGTGAAGGAGTGAGTCCACTGGTCCATGTTCTCCTGCAGTCAGTGAGACATAGATCTGAGTGTCGTCTGCATAGTTGTGATAGGACACTTTGTTTCTGCGTTAGGGATGTAAAAAACTATGAATTTTCATGACCGACCACCGAGCTTCATTAACCGGTTGAAACCGGTTAACCGCGTAGTTTAAAATATTCCACGTTCTCTGAAATAACAGCCATTTCGAGCCGCGTACTTCTCATAAGTGCAGCTGAGCGTTCTACTGGATTAGAGCTGAGACAGCGGCGCCAAAACCCGCAACAGCTTTGGCACCTTTGCGCAGAGAGAACTGCTTTTTTAATCTTCCCATTATTCTGTGCTACGGGTTAAAACCAAAACTTTTTAGCAGCAAACAACGGCTCGTCCACATGGTCAGAGCAGCGAAAGACGCGCCGCGTCTCGCAAGTCTTCGCTAAAGTTTAAGTACAAGTGATGTGTGTGGATCTGATCTAATGCTAAGGACCATAAACATGTTCCATATGGTTTGACTGAAGCAGCGTATTTGTGCGGATCCTTTGGGCTCTTTGTGTGTGTGTGTGTGAAAGCTCCAATGTGCAACTTTGGGTAACAGAGGGGAGAGAGGATGCGTGTGGATGTTACGTTTGGATAGGGGGAAAGTGTGTGAGTGTGCGCGCGCGTGCAAGTGTGCGAGAATATGTGCCGCGTGCGAGTCGTCCCGGAGTTTACTGATACATTTGCGCATACAGCTAGAGACAGACCCGCTCGTCACACCGTGCAAATAGGGCTTAAAATGGCGTTATTAAGAGACCTCCCCTCTCCCCCTTTTATTTTTTTTAACCGACAGTTTTGACCGGTTAACGCTGTGACGGTCAACCACCGGTTAAACTGTCACCGATTTACATCCCTATTCTGCGTATTAACTCAGTGGTTCCCAAAGTGGGGGTCCCGACCCCCCGGGGGGTCGCGGGAACCCCTGGGGGGGTCGCAAGATGATTTCCACACGAACAAAAAAAAAAATTTTTTTTTTTTTGAGCAAATATAAAGTCCTTAAATATTTATTTAGCATTTGATTTGATTCAAAAGGACTACTTGTTAAATTGTGTTTGGAGACTATAATATATTTTAATAACGTTAGTAATTTTGTCCCAGTCATTGCAGCGTCAATCAAAATCATCACGTAACACAGCTCACATCATGCGCAGCGACAAAGCGTGTCCAGCTGTTGTTTGCTAAAACTAAAGGTGTTTGGAGGCTACAAATAAATAATACCTTCTTTAAAATGAAA